CAAATGTGCCGTTTGACCTATGGTAACGGCCTGTACATCGCCCATTGCCATTGTGGCTAGGGCCGGTACCAGCAGCCGTTCTTTCTTCATGTGCTCTTTGAAGCACGAAAGATGAGCGACCTGATCCGGGGTCACAGTCATGTTGAAGCAATTTCTTCGCAATCTTTCATGTCCAATGACAAATGAGTAGAAGTAGTCTTTGATGTCCTCGCCTGAGGCTACTAGCACTTCATCCTCAGATAAAGTGATGTTGCAAAGAGCTGCGGATGAGCTCAGCGTGGACAACCACTTACGGACAGGAACTTCAAGCCCATTGAAAGGCCTCGCGTCCATAATGAACCTGTCAGTTTGCAGATTTTTAGGTACCGCGAAGGCACCTGCACCGTAGCCTGCAGGAGCAAGCCAAACTGGCAACAGCGCGAGGCGATTGACTTGATCGAGTTTTTCAAGCAATCCAATACGGTTACCCTCAACAGCTCTGACTCTGACTTTCGGAACGGACTCTCTCTGCACCTTTCCCAGACTGGACCTGGATATCGGGCGTTCGTAAGCGTCCCTGGTCTCCGGGTCAAGGAAGCGCCTGGGATCAAACCCAGGAGATGGGCCAAACTTTAATCTGGCAGGATCAACATCTTTCGCCACGTGCTCTGCGACGATGTTGGTATGACCTAGAACTCTACTTGACCCATCTAAGGTGCAATTGCCTGATGATTCGGCAGTGGGCCCGAACTGATCGCGAAGGTTGTGTAGCAGTGCCTCGGTAGCTTCAACTTTGGCAGCTGTTCGGCCCATGGATTCAGCATCTATTGCGGGATCATTGTTCCATACACGGATTTTGAGCGCAAGCCTGTCCAGAATGGCTTGTTTCAGACTTGCAGCAGCTTCCTTCGTCACGTAGCTTGGGCACGACATGCCGGGCTCACCTTGAAGCCGCAAAGATGTAAAGGAGGTTCTGGCAGAACAAGCAGGGGAACCCGCGTGCAGCCACGATAAAGCAGCGGATACTAGAGCAGTGCCAATGATTTCAGGCTGTTTGCTGGCTAGCTCATCAACACTGCGAGCCGGCAGGCCGCCACCTGCTGTCAAAGGGAGGGGCCAGAACTCCTTAGGGCTTTGACGCCTGTCAGAGGCATCGAAAGTGCAGCGGAGGAAATGATAGAAATGCCCGTCCGTCTTGGAAAGGCATTCCAATGCAGCATGCCAGATGCGATCCGGCTCGACGGGGCTCGCATCTGATCCAGGCACCTTCGGGGCAGCAGCAGACGATGAATCTTTAGCCACCTGCAAAGGTGCGTGAGGCAAGGGCTTGACAATTTCAGGCTCACTTAGCTCAACGCTCGAGGCTGTACAAACGCTTTGGGGCTTCTCAAGCGGAGCGAGCAGATGGGCTTGCAAAGGAGAGGCTTCATCATGGAAGCCCGCACCGTCGTTGCAAACCAGATTGCTCTCGACAATGGGAGAGCCAGAGGGCCTGGCTTCTTCAAACGAGCAGCAAAGAGAGGAAGGGCCTACCGAAGCAGCAGCGAAATCCCAAGGCCTGGTAAGTGACTGCTCAGGCGAGAGGCAAGCTGACGAGAGGCAGGCTGAGACCCGATGCGGGCTGGAGGGGGACGGGAATGAATGCTGCGCGTGGCAACCTTGCCCCGCATGCGACATTGCTGCACAAGGAGACGTCAGCTCAGGCTTAAGCGAAACGTCAGGAACAGTATTTTCTCGACCCTGAGGGGAGACATGAACACGATGCAACTGCCCATGACTTCGCGGTGAACGTTCATCAGCGGGCATGGCAGCGGAAGAAGGAACCCCGGCTGGAGAGCAGGGGCTCAATGACAAAGGATTGGCTCTACCCGTAGGGGAGCTATGCACAGATTGAATGCAAGAGAAAAGTGGCGTGAAGCAGCCTCTAAAGACTGGCGCTCCTACGACCTCGTGTACATCAGAGTCAGGGCTAAGGCGTCTGCTTAAGCAGCTAGGCTCTGAAAGACACAGGTTAGAACCACGATCAGGATTGAAAAATAGGCTGTGATCAGGAATACCGTGACCATCTTGCAAATCATGCTGAGGCTGAGTCGCATGACCTGTAAAGTCAACACCAGGCAGCGCAAGCGAGCTAGTGCACTGAGAAAGGTCCGGCCAACCACTTTGCGGGACGACCTTATCCCCTCTAGAGCGCACCCCCTCCGCACTACCTGAAGAGGCACAGCCTAAGCAGCTGGAGTATCGGTCCCTCGCCCGCGTGGCTTTCGCTTCGGCTTGGGAGGGCCCTGGTCTTCCATTCCGGCATCGACTGACGTCGTGACATCGGTCCTCGGGTTTGGAGTGCCCGGCTTGCCCAGTTTCCGGCGGAGCTCTACATAAGCATCTTTTTCTTTCATCTTGTGAACCATAAGTTCCACCCACCGGCTTTCCAGGAGTTTTGTATGCGGATTTTCCAGCGAATCGTTCATTGGGCGTCGTTGGAATGCCGCAAACGGCGGCCCAGTCTGCTCTAGAAGTGCTTCCTGAGATAACGCCCAACTCCCGCCATCGATTGCCGCCTGATCTATGGCGGCGAGCAAAAGAAGCAGGCGACAAAGTGCCTGTTCGCTCTCGCCCTCCCGGAGGAGGTCTATGGCTCCGCACAGTGCCCATGTTATCCTGATAGTCACAGGAAAATATGAGACGCGACTTCGGTGCTCGAACCAAGCACGCGTGGTCGCGGCCTGGCCGCTGAATGCGCCGGTAGAGCGACGAGCCAACAGGTCCTCCTCAATTGCAGAAAGGATTGAGGACGATAGCGCGGCTGGCTGCTGAACTACAGCACGTTGCAATGCCCGCAGCGCCGCAGCCTTGGAGCGAGCAGCTGAGGAGGAGGAGGAGCCCACGACTAACCCAGAATCGAATCCGGTTTCGGCTCTGTCTAACAAGCCTTCCAGTGTGTGAGGCTCCGTGCGCTTCTCGGCGAGTGTCTTGACGATCCGAGTCAATTGTGTCACAGCCCTGGCTACTCCGTTCCCCCCTGACACATCGGCCCCGCCTGCCTCCTCGTCTACTTCTGCATCGCTTTCCGAGAGCGGGTTCGCTGTGGCCGCGGTTCTCGTTGCCAGAGCGCCCGGCTTGGCAGCAGGGACATCCGTCATGCTTGTCCCCTTCACTGAAGCTGAGGCTAGCGCTGCAACCCTTGAAAGCTGAGTCTCCGTGACTCCTGCTGCCCTGGCGGCTGCTACAGTCTGCGCTGAGATACCCTTGTACCCTACAGGCGTCAGTCCAGGCGGGGCCGCTAAGCTCGCATTTGGGCCCGGTCCCGCAGCTTTGCTTGAGGCTTGCATGATCGCCGGCTGGACCGCCACTGCTGGGGACTCCAGTTGGGAAACTAGAGTACCAAGGGTCTGCTGCAAAGAATCGAGCACACTCTCCACACGATCCAGCCTGGCTGACTGGTTCGGCCTCGCTCGTGCAGCACTGGATGGCGCGGCAGCTCCCGGCGCTCGTAGGCTCGGAAGGTCCGCCTGATCGCCTGAAGTTGCAGACACAAAAGCGAAGGCATCCTGGCAAGCACGCTGCAACGCTAGTGCGAGAGGAAGGGCGGGCTGGTTTGCTCCCGAAACGAAGGCATGATCGCAAGTCTCCCCCGAAGGCGGGTAATCCACCAAACTGACAAGCTCGCCCTGCAAATAACCGACCCATGCTTTCACTGTGATGCCGCTTTCGTCAGCTAATGCTCTGTCTTCAGGTGAGGCTGCAGCCACCTCGACAGCAGTGGCTCTGACAAGACTGCCGGCGGGCAATTTCCGATTCTGTGCTCTGCGATTCCACGCAGAAAACGGCACCGCCACTAGAAACCGAGAACCGTCCGAAGACAAACCCAGTATCTCAAAAGTTAACCCTGAAGCGAGTTTCAAACGGCCTACTTCGTACCCAGGCTCAACAGCTCCACCGTGAGCGAAAACTAAAGCGTCGGCAAGCCCAAGCGGCTCGCCTTCGAACTCGTCCTCCTCCTGTTCAGCTTGGTCCTCAGCAAGACCGTCCTCTTCAGGCAGAATGGCTTCAGCCATCAGACGTTAGTGGTTGGCAGCCCGGCCTCAACAAGAGCGGCTCTGGCTTCCCAGCGAGTTGGTAAGCCCACGAAAACTGAACTACCACAATCACTGCCGCGTTTGCACCGCGACGATACCTCAGAAAACCTCTCCACTACGAGAGGCGGAGAAATATCAATCCCTGTGTAATCACGGCAAATGATGTAAACCCGATTTCGGAGAGGATTCTTATCCCTGCCCGAAGTCCCCAGAAATTCGCGATTCAGAGCCCTTCGCAAGAAACGGCCTACCTCTTTGGCTATGTCCTCCCGGGCCGCGTGGGAGAGGGCAGACTGCTGAGATTCGGCCGAAGTGTCGCCCGGTACACCTGGCGAGTGATGCTCCGGAACGCTTGCGACTCTCTCCGGCGTTACCGGGACAGCCGGACGGCCCGAGGGCCCAGCAAGGGGTACTTCAGGAACAAGCTCGAACTCACTCTGGCTGTCTGCTGCGGACAATAGACGCCTAAGCAAACGACCTTGCACCTCAACTACTGCACGCAACTCTTCAACTTCAAACCTGAGCTGCGCCACTTGGCTCTCAAGGCTCATGCAAGATTTCAGAGCAACCGATAATAGGGCTCAGCAATGGGCCCCAGCAACCGGCGCACTCTGTGCCGGATCCAAGCTGACAGAGCCGCTTTTAGCAACGCAAGTGCGTCTAGCAGCGGCCACAACAGAAACCCAATGCCTATACCTACAAGAACCGAATGCAAATCTAAACTATCGGATGCGATATCCGATGGACAAATACAATCAAAAGGTGCCGGCAAAGATGAGGGCAGTGAAGAAGAGGATGCCTCGTGAAGCGCCCTGAGGAGCAAAGTCGCGACACCACCTCCTACCGAACCTCCAAGGACCCCTACCTGCAAAGGCTGAGTGGGCATGCACCTTGAGACAGAAAAGCTGAGGCACTTTCGGGTAAACATGCGTGTCAAAACTCGGCTCAAGTGTAATGAACTCGCTGTTCCACAGAAGCCATCTTGCTCGCAGCCTGCTTCAAGGCCGTCTCGCCATCATGAAGGTAGCGTTGAACAGCCGATGACGACCACCGTCCCGTTCGCTTCACCACCTCGATCTCGCCCGTGGCCTGGAAGAGCGCCGATGCTCCGCCAATGCGGAGAGAATGGGACATGAACCTCCCGGGAGGCAGGCCCACACCAGCTGCGGCTTGCTGCAGAACGTACTGGACCTGTGTCCTCTTCAGCATCTGCCCATTGGCCCACCGGAAAAGTGGCTTCAGAGCCTCGCCTCCGTGCCCGAAGCGTTGGGGGGCAATCCCCGGAAGCGTAGCAGGGCCTCCACCACACACAGATCTTTGACACCCGAGGCGTACATCGTCTTGCACGTGCCGAAGGCCTCCTGATCCGTCTTCGTCTTGCGGAACTGGAGGGTGACAAAGGCCTCGCCCTTCTCATCGCATTCGATCTTGAGGTCGACGCCTCGCATGATCATGGCATAGTCGACCCCGTTGGACTCGCAATACTCCTTCGCCCGCAGCATGAAAAACCATGCCGTGTTGAGGGCCGCCAAAACCATGATTGAGTCGAAGCGCTCCTCCGCCGTAGCCGCCAGATGGGGGCCCATTTCCTCAGCAATCCATTTGAGCATCCCCGGCGTAACGCCCAGTCGCCTGGGACTTTTTGGTGCTCTTTTGTCCAAAGCACCCAGTAGCATCCATAGACGGTGCATCTTCTCAGTGGGATCACCTTGGCCTCCACGTTTGTGCCCGTCCTTGATCGCGAACACTGCCTGCTTGAGCGAAGCCACTGAGTTTCCCAGCCAGCCCAGGTACCCGAGGAATCCGAGCAACTTGTTCTCGTTCGCCTCGACAGGCTCCGACTTGTCGAGGAACTCCGTAGGCCACCCTTGTCTCGCACTCCAGGCCCTCCATTTGCTGTAGATGCCCGCGTACTGCTTCGCCGTGCTGTCAGCGAGGTAGCCACACAAGTTGTCCTCGACCCACTCCTCGACATGAGCCCCGACTTCACCGGTGAACGGTCTGACCGGGCCCGGTTCGATATGCACCTGCGCGGCCCCATGTGCCGCTTCAGCCTTTCCACGACGAGTGCCCCCTCTTGGAGCTCCGGCCCGCCTGGGATCGTCCTCTGCCTCGTCCTCGCTGCTGGAAGCGGGCAGCCACAGCACATCGCCCCATCTCCACACGGTGACTTTCTTGATGTAGCTGCCCGCGTCGCCGTCCTTCTCGCCCGCTCGGCCGCCTTCATGAACTCGAGGCTCGCACCCTCCGGCCCGCCGATCGTCTTCTTGTCCAGCTGCTCGGGAAAGTAGTCCACGCTTCCACCGTCGCAGCCACTCCAACACCTTTGCGAGGTTCGCATCGTCCCAGCTATCCCATACTCCTCCGGCTCGAGCGTCGGAAGAAACGGAGTAGCCCGCCATGAGCACAAGTGCCGCTGCGGTTTGCCCCCCGGTGGCCTTACTTCCTTCTCTCAAAAGAAACCCGGGCTCATGTCCTTCGCCGCGAAGTTGATCCCAAGCCGTCGGCCGCCTCCCTTGACATAGCCACACTTCTGCCTCCGTCAGAAGCCGCACTGCACCAGGTGGGCCCCTGGGTTCCCAAACAACACACTGCTGGATCTTGCCGTTCTCACACAGCGGCCAACGCAGCGGCCCGCTCGTGCTCATCAGCACGTGCCTTTCGCCCTTCACCCAGTAGTGGCCCTTCAGGAGAGGCAAAAGGGGCTCACGGGGAATGCCAGAGTCGACGAGGATCGTGTCCGGGTAGATCCACTGGCTCACCGACGTCGAACGCGCATCTCCCAGCACAGCACTCATCGGCGGTGCCAGTGTCCCCCTCGACGTGTTGGCGACGAACAGACCCTGGACAGATCCATGTGGAGCCGCCACCATGCATTTCCGCCTCCTCGCAGCAAGCTCGCCAAACTCCGTGGTGAGAAACTCGCAAACCTCAGTGTCCCACATGGCCCGTTCGAAGAGCCTCGGGCACTTGCCGCGGGCCCTCGAAGATCACGAGCTGCGCCTTCCCCTCAATGGCGGTCTTGCTGGCCGTCAAGATCACCTTGGCGTGCAGGTCGGGCGGTAATGAGGCAAAGACCACCTCAGCTGGGAACACCGGCCCCGACCAAGACGATGAGCGTCCCTGGCCACCCGCCGCGATGGCGGCCTCGACAAAGTCCTTGACGACCCGGTCCGGACCACACAGCTCCACCGCGCGGAAGTCGCTCCATTTGGGTGCGATCGTGTGTGGCACCGCCCGCTTCAGCCTTCGTTCCTTGAGCTGCATGAGCACCCTGCGGTCCTCTGCGCCCCAAGCCAGCAAACAGGGCCCAAAGCGCTCCGAGTCGATCATCGCCTGCCGGAGGGCATCCGTAACGTCGACGACCTTCCAACCCTTGTCCTTCACGATCGCGTCGAACTCCTCATCAGAGCACCGGGTGAGCAGGTCGGCGTGGACATTGTGAAAGGTCCTCCACCACGTGGCCACAAGTGCGAAGCGAAAGCGCATCTCCAGCAGGTTGATCACGCGCACGAGAAGACGTCCCACCCTCGTGCCCGCCTTCCTGCCGACGGTCCATTCCTTCACGATCTTGTTGTCCCCGCCGTAGAGAACGATCTTGCCCTGCCACGACTCCCCGACCTGGCACGCAAAAGCCAGGAACGACAGCATCTCGGCGACATGGATGGCGACCTCGTCCTCCTCGCCACACCGTTGAACCCACTCAGCTGCCGCTTTGGCCTTCATCCTCATCACGGAACCGCTGGTCCAGTCGATGGCAGCGATCATGACCTTGGTGGCATCGGAAGACACAAAGACAGTCCCAGCATCCCACTCGCCTGGGAGAGCGAGACGCTCACGGATCGGAAGGAGCTCGCGCATGCTGGCTCCGAACTTCGTAGGCCACGTCTCCGGTCTTGCACACAGCCATCGCGACTCCTCGAACAGCTCCCAAAGGTCACGCCAAGCCTGTTCACACTCCTCGGCATCCCCAGGAACCGCCAGCTTCGGGCACACTTTTGCGCCGCCATCGCCTCCACCACCCAAGAATCGGTCGGCCGCCTTGAGCTCGTTCTTGAGCCCCCGGACGATCACGGTCCAACCAGTCGCCAGACCACGGAACCTCTGCACCGCACGCACCGTTAGATCCTTGCAGCCGTACTCGAAGGCCCCGTCGCTAAGAAGGTGGGCCCCTTTGAGGATTCGTCTCTCCGGCAGGTGGATCTCCTCCGTCGCAGTGTCCATGTCCAAGCCCCACACCGTCTGGAACGTCCGAAACGGGCCTTCCACGAGGTCCTTCTCCCGATTCACCGCCGCATCGCCGAGGAGCGTCTTCACCCCGAGCTCGTACACTTCACTCGCCACCCAAGGCCTCAGGCCCACCAGGGGCTCAACCAGCACGTTGTCGTCGACGAGGATGCGGCTCTCGAACGCCCAGGCCAGGTCTCGTCGGGGTTTCGCGGGGCAATGACGTCGTAGGAACTCCTCGGTAGCTTTGCCCCACATTGTCCACTCACCCGGCGAGCCAGAAAAGCCAAAGGAGCTGACGAGGTAGACTATGGTCATGCCCTCCCCGGTCGCCCTGTCGCCCTCTTCCATCTCCTCTGGAACCCATGGGAGGTCACCCGCAAACAGCTCGGCATCCCTGGGATCGACCCACAGCAGCCGAAAGGCCCCCGCCACATCCTTCTTGCTCATCAAGACCTCGACGCCCGGCAGCTGGCATTTCGCAAACAGCACTAGCCTCGCGATCTGCTCATGCCGTGGTTGGACAGAGGGAGGATGCCATTCTTTGTGAGTGCCCTCGTTGATCACCCTCTGGTCGTGCACAATGCGCTTGTCGGGGGCGATGGAGCGGTCCGGCAGCATCTTGTCGACAGCATCAAAGGGGCTCGAAATCACCGGGCCCATCTCCAACCCTGCCGGCACGACCAAGACACGAAGCTTGCACACGTCCTTCCAAATCTGGCGGTACACTTGAGCCAGATTCCGCCGCCCATTTGGGTGGACCTTCGCCTGGCACCGCTTGCGCTCTCCCACGAACCGTGCAGCCAAGCCCCGCCTGCGAACGTCGCGAAGGTACTCCAGGAGGTCCGGGTGCAGGACGGTGTCCAATCGGGAATCGTCGACGCCTTTCAAGTTGTTGAGCCCCTTCTCCTCGCGCACCGCCCACAGACTCTCAGCGGCAAGCTTGACCGACCCAGCCTCCTGGACCAGACGTGCACCTCCATCACAGACCCGCTTCCAGGCCTCGGGACACCCGGGGCCCCCTTTTCCAGTGAGCTCGATGTAAGTCTGGGCCGCGATCTTCGCCTCTTCGGTCGGGGCCTCGTAGCGTTCGGCACTGCCCGCCCTCGTGTCCTCGCCGTTCACCACCCAGCCACCCGTGGGGAAGTCGCCCGCGAAGCCGATCGTGCCCTCGCAGCCCTCGACGTAGTCATCGTCGAGCTCGTGCAGCCAACCACTGCGGCCTGAAACATCGCCACCGGCCCTACTTGCCCAGTGGGGGGCCCACGGCCCAACGTCACACTCATCGGAGCCCGCTCGCGTCTCCTCCGCCACCGGCCACTGTGGCCTGCTGTCCTCACCCCCCGCGACCAGCGGCTGGTGCAAGGTGGACACCACGGTGCGCACAAACTCCTGGGGGTAGACGCCCGCCTCTGCGCACCTGGACTGTGCGGCCCCCGGTCGAGCGCCAGCCAGAGGAACGTGCCGATGAGCTGCTCCAACGCCCGGGCAACACCGCGACAGGGCGGCCGCAAAAGCCTCACATCGTGGGAAAACCAGCCGCGTGCGATGATGATAGTAGCCTTCACCGTCAGGCGGCCCCAAGCCAAAGGCGCACATGGGAAACTCCACAAACTGCACGTCGGGGCGGCGAAGGATCTCCCGCCACCAAGGCAAATCCCACATTTTGGGATAACGACCAGACTTGCCCGAGGACTCGGCAATGGGAAAGGCGCCGTTGCGCAGGGCGTTGAGGAAGAGCTCCGCACCGACCTTGCTCAGCGTATTGCCCTGAAGCTCCACCTCCTTATGGGGTCGGTCGCCTTGGCCACCCCATGGGCACTGAAAGGTGCGAGTGCCCCCATTTTGAGCGCACCAATCGCAGAAACTTGTGCAAGGGGAGGCAATCCACCAGACGTTCGCGTCGCCGCTGCCTGCAAGATAAAGGGGACGTTTCCACCAAGTCCCAGGATGGAGCCGAGCTGCCCCGCGCCACGCTGGCTGGCGAAGAGCCCCGTGTCGATGAGGGCTTCTGCCAGGCCTTCAAGAACTTGGTGAGGCCACGCTGCCCCTTCTCCTGCTCCACAATGGCCGCCCGCACCAGCTCCTTAGTCACCTCCTTCAGCGTCTGGCCCCGCTCAGCGGCGATGCTCACTCTCACGTCCTCCTCTGATAGCCCAGCATCGCGCCCCTCAGCATACTGGTTGAAGAACTCCTCAAGCACAGGGAGGGGATGTTCCTTGGCCGGTGAGTCCAGCAAGCCCAACTTCGCCAAATTCTTCTGGATGCTCGACCGCGGCGTGCGGCCCGGCGAACTTCCCCTCACTCGCTTCTCTGGCTCACCGCCTTCTGACTTTACCTCCGCGAGGAGGCGCTTAAGATCACGAAGCCCTTCGGCACCGTCATGACCTCGTGGCGGTAGCTCAGGTTCCTCCGGATCGTCTTGTACAGGCTGAGGAGGGCGAGCCGGCGAGCGTCTGCGAGAGCTCGGCTTTCGGACCTCGCCCAAAGTGTGGAGGCGGCACCGACGAACACCATCGCCAGACTCGCCCAGAATTCCCACATGAGCACAACCGTTGTGATGGCACTGCTGAGGTCGCCGCCGTCGTTCGTAGTCCAAAGCATGCTGAGGGCAAAGATCTACACGACCCAAATCATCAAACCGGTCCTCAAAGAGCAGGTCACAGAAGGTGGTGCCCGGCATCCGGCAAGGCTGGGTCGCTAAGCTGCAATCCCCGGCAAGATCGGCCCAGGCAACACGGTGAGCACCACACGCCTTGGCTGGCTCGGTCTCCGACTCGGATCCGAACTCCTTCAGCGGTTTAGGGGGCCTGGCCGGTGACGCCCACAACCATGACCACAAAGCTCGACCCGCTTTGGCTGCGCCGAGCTCCGCGTTCTTGAGATGGAAGCGCTCGCCGTCGAAATCGCGAGCCACGCCGTACTCCTTGAAGTGCTGGCCCTCCTCGTTGCACACCAGGTTGCGGCAAAGATGAATCTTGTCGTAACCCTGGCACGCCTCCACAATCTCCTTGTCGCCCCGCATCGTGTCCGGCTCGACAGGGACAAACAAGCCGGGCGTTCTGATCGTCTGGGAGTCGCTGCCCGCCTTGAAGACCGCCACATGCCCGCCGCGACGAACCAGGATCCACTTGTCAGCGCCACCGACCTTCTTGAAGGCTCGGAGGTCCGCGGTTTCGGGAATCCTTCCCGTACCCGGGCCCAAGAACTCGGCGTCAGAGGCTTCAGGCACGCCCCCAGCCGCCTGCTGAGCCCAGTAGACCAACGTCCCAAGCTTGCGGACGATGGCCCTCACTAGCCATACGACCCCCATCACGACCACCGAGATCAGCGACAGCACCGGCCAGCACAAAGCCCACAGGTAGTGGGCACCCATGCACAGCAGCAGCAATGCCAAGAGTCGGAAGATGCGCTGGCAGCCCGTCCTCACGCCTGGCCACGAGTTCCCGAACAGCATCCAGCCGATGAAACTCACTGCAGTGTCGAGGACCATGCACAAACCGCTGTCCCACGACCACATCCGCTCCGGTACACCCTGAGCGTCGGGCCATGTGAGCCAAGCAGCCCAGTCGCTGCCAACATTCGCGTGGGACACAACCCACTCACGGAGCTGCGCCCGCTTGGACTCGTCCCGAGGCCCGGCATCCGCCCCAGTCTGGTTGGTGACGTTGCTGTGCAGCCACCACCCGCCGCCCTGCTGCGCGACAGCAGCCAGGGAGATCAGAAGCCGAACGGCATGTGGCATGGAGCCCTACACACCTCACTGAAACCAAAACGGCCCTCGGGTCGTAGCGACTTCGCGAACGCCCAAAAGCTACGGTTATGCCTAACCTTGCACATAGGTGGCCGAGGTGTCGAACATCACCGGCCAAGTGAAGGGCTGGAAAGCCGGGTGCGATAGCGCCCGACTCGCGTAGGAGTCCCACTGAGCACATGGTCCCCCTGTTTTCGAAGACATCGAAAAGAGCAGAACGGCCTTGATGCCATCGAGCGTATAGTTCGCGAACAGCGAACAGTGGTAGCCCGAGTTCGGGGGCATGACCGAGTCCCGCTCCGTCAGCACATTGATCGAGCTGGCGGCATTCGAGATGATCTCCTCGGCCAGCCAGTTCTGGAACGGGGAGATCACCCGGTCGTCGCGGTTGTCGATGACGAGGAGCGAGTTCTGGGTCTCGTCCTCTTCCTCGACCACGACCTGGCGAACGAACTCAGGCCGCTGAACAGCGAAGGGGTTGTGGGCAGCAGGAGCCCCGCGGTCACGACGTCCACGACGATCGTCGCGACCCCAGCCTCCAGAGCCCCAATCGCCGGATGCGGCAGCTGGAGCCGCGGGATTCTCGGGAGCCTCTGCCTCGCCTGGAACGTAGTGTCCCCAGTTGCCCGGATTCTCAGGCTGACCAAGCCGGCGAGGCAACCCGAACTGTGGGGCCATCGGAGCCGCCATCTGCCGACCTTGATGGAAGCCAGCGGGAGGGAACGACATGGCTGCGATCGAGCGAGCCTATTCACTTCCACCTCCCACGCCGATTTTTCGGTATGGCCCGATCGGCTATCGCCAAAATGGCCACGGAGAAAATAGATCAAGTCTGTTCCAACGATCGCGAAACTGATCTCCTAATTCCTACCCACCAGACCGATAATTAGGAGACATGTGTGTGTGTGTGTGTGTGTGTGTGTGTGTGTGTGTGTGTGTGTGTGTGTGTGTGTGTGTGCGCGTTTGCTTATATTGATATTTATGTTTCTACCTATACGCTTAGATATTACTTAAATGTTTGTTCATAACTTCCTGACTGATTTGTATACCCAAGCATACATACAGACACACAGACGTGCAGACATATGAAAAAAACACTTAAACCCTCAAACTGATATGCGGACAGGTAACCAGATAGACAGCATTTACTGGTACGGTCATCGCATGCTTGATGTCTACATGGACATGCATTCTTGTGGCTCTTACTATCTACTCCTCTATTTGGCTGAATCCTACATGCTTCCAGGGTTTGTTTTGTACTTGTTGATTCACCTTCAACCAGTTCGTTGAATACCTACTCGGGGTTTCGGTATTGAATGCAACTAGACACGTGTGTAATTGCATGAACACATACTTACATACGTACTCATCACATATGCACGTATGCATGACTGTGTAGATGCTCACTCACACATACGTGCAAGTTCATGTATGTGGATTTGGGTATCCAGGTGCGTATTCGCTAGAAGTACACACGTGTGGACTCTGCACCAACAAGCATGGCTGGCCCGAACTCCTCGAAAGGTTGCTCCCTGTAGGCGAAGTCGAGGGCCTCTCGGAGCCTCCAACTCTGCAGCCGCATAGACTCGGCATCCGTGATTTGAGGGCCTGGTGGGGGTGCCGGCAGAATCCAGACTGAAAGTAGTTGACCTCTACACGCCTCTGCGTGGATGTTCGTGTGCATGTATGTATACGTGTGTGTGTATATGTATATGTCTATATATATACACACCTATATACACACATACATACATACATCCATCCATGCATGCATGCATGCAAAATACATGGTTTGCTCAATGCTGCCGCAATACTATGACGCACTGCTCCACACGGTGCAAGTCTTGATCGTGCGGTATTGCATTATGCTACATGATACAGTAGCGAAGCACCACATTGCACATTGGACATCCCTTCTCCCATATGGTTTAGCATGGTATCTTAGATGACAATTTGCAAAGTTGCAAAAGAAAGTTCCACCACATTCAGGCTCGCATTTCTTTACGCTAGATTACGTTGGATTGCCTCGGGTTTCACTGTGCGGAGCTACACTGCATCAGGCTGCATGTCCTTACATTACACTACGTTAAAGTCAATGTCTGACACTAGACTGCTCAGTCCAAGTTGTGTCTGCTCACCTTTAATTTGCAATAGCAATCACTGCTATACTCTGCTGTTTTCTTGACTTCGTCGTTGCAATCACTTGCATGGCTAGACATGTTGGGCTCCTCCTTCGTGTTGTTCTCAGTCTGTGCTTTACGACACATGCTGCATGATTGTGCGTTCTGCTGCTGTTCCGTCAGGGAGACTGCACTCGCCGAGGCTTTCGTGAAACTCTTCGGCCTGTGTCTGAAGGATCGGGGAGCACGGCAGAGAACGACTTCACTGACGTGGTGCCAAAGGCCTCTCGTCCCCAACGACCGAAAATCAGCACTGGAGCCTACCGGTCTACCTGGCAACAATGAGCAAGACAGAAAAGCTGATGTTTGCACTAGGCTCCTGCAACTGTCGTGTAACCAGGGATGCTATCTCTTCGTCTGAGACATTCGGTGCTTCTGGATGCACCCTCCAGCCCCAGCGTGCCAACACCCAGCTCAGAATATCTTCAACGACCTCTGCCACGAACAGGCTTCCGAGCGCCAGCCCTATGCTGTCCTTACCCGGAGGCATTATGGGATGCCAGTTCAAGAGACGCGTAAGGGCAATAGCACCCACAGCGAAGAATCGCGGATATCCCATGCAATATTTCACTTCCTGCAAGAGCAAGCTGCACTGAGTCGGAGTTCGGCGGCCACAGGTCAAAATGGCAAGCATTCGTTCGATGCCTCCTACTCTTGCTATGATGTTCCACAGCATGCCGCATGAGATTGGAAGTATGAAGTCAAATTCTGTGTTGGAGTGGTGAGCTATGTCCACGACGATCAACGTCAAACGAGCCCCTTCGGCCATCGCATGGGCAAGAGCGATACCCAGAGAGACGGTGATGCCCTGGTTTGAACCAACATACCTTAGATCAGAATAGACATGGTTTTCACAGTGTTTCAGAACTTAGAAGTCTTCCCAACCCTGCATGGACGACAACATGAAAAGGCATGGCAAATGAATTGCCGGCGGGATGCTGCTCACGAACAGCTTTGTTGGTCACGAACTGCTGTGAAAAAACTCGGGCGATGATTGCCGTCGCGACCAGCTCATACATGCTAAGCAGCATCGGCATGAAGACACCTTCTCGGGTGAAGCAAGCTTTGACCCCTTGTTCTGTGGCCGCAAGGACCCTAAATTGAAAGGGGCCCGGGCCTAGCCATGCTCCCACCACGCGTTTGGCCAAAGTGTAGGCCGTGGTCCCGAGGAAGAAACCAACGAGAATGAAGCCGAAGGTCGCAGGACCTCGGCTCTGAATTTCGGGATGCTAACGAGAGTATTTTAGAAGAGGCGAGAGAACCGCTGAACTGCCAGTGAAGGCATGCAGACAAAGCAGCCCATTCCGGCTGCGTAGGACTTGACGGCAGGGTCGAGCTGCGGGGCGAAGAGAGCACCAATGGTCTCGCTCAACACGATCACGACAATGTGGCCGACGCCATATATCAGGATGAAGCCGCAATGCCTGGAAGCGGTCCGGCAACCCGCACCAGGTTGAGGCTACTTTCATATCACTTCATAGCAGGACACTGTTAAGCAGTCTCGTGTGCAACGGAGAGGCTGGTAAGGATCCTCCATGCGAATGCAGATGCCGAGCACATAGATGGACAACCCCACTCCGTGGCCAAAACAACTTGCTAAGAAACCTCTCATTACACCTTGACCATTTTTCCGTGCAAAATCAGACACGAGCACTGGGCCAAGAGCAGTCTTGCAACAGACAAGACTAGTGTCTCCCGGTGCATGTCCAAAGACGGCAAAGCCGCGTATGTTGGAGATGCCGATGATATGAACAGGCAGAAAGTATATGCAAAACCAACCAAGACACCGGAAACAGGTAACGAACCAATCGGTTCTGGGAACACCTGGAATGCCAGCCTCTGCGATACTCCAAGCCATGAGCCCAGCAACCATAAAGAGAGATGCAAAGAAGGAAGCAGCAAGGGTCTTGTACATGCCGGGCTTGCAGAGGACAACCTCCCCGTATGGAGCCGATCCGGGCAAATCGAAGGAATTTAAGGACCCATTTCGTGTGACTGCGTCAGGGACAGGGAGACTTCCCTGTCTTCTCTGTGGCCGTAGCTGATCCGGGCTTCCCAACGGCGGCGTAGGCGGAAGTGGTGCTGGAGGCGCAGATGGCTCATCAGACATCTGGCCAAAAGACCCCATCTTGGCGGGTTCTTACATTTCCCAGTCTGGACAGCTGCTCTGCCTCATAGTGAGGCCACGGCAGCATCTACGAGCTTGAGTTGGTTTCATGGCAGCAGCTTCGCCGTGCCGACTCTAGTTTGCAAGAGCAGCAAAGAGCATGCAGAAATTGCCGCGTAGAACTTCGCTCGGATCTTTTCTGGCCTCCTCCGAGGGAGTCTCAGCGACGAGCTTGTCAAACTCTTTCAGCATAGCACCTTTTTTGGAGAGACTTTGGAGGGTCTCAGGGGAGCTTGCAGACACGACGCTGATGGAAGGCCTGTTCCAATAATCCAGCACGCGAAAACACACACATACACACAATGCTCACTCACACCAACCCAGACTCTCGGACGGTTACCCTCAGACCTGTGCTACCAGAGCACACTCCTGGGACTCCAGCACCTAGACGAGGGTTTCGAACTGCGAAGTACGTACCCGAAAATGACCAACTGAGTTTCATTCTGCCGAACGGCTCGCCAACCTCGAGTTCTGATCGTCAAGATGACAAAACCTGAATAGTCGCCGAACACAAAAGGTGCAACCAAGGGCGCTGTGGACGCTGTCGGCATCTTGTCTGAAGACTTCCAGACAAGCATGTTCCACCGCGAAAGACTTCCAGTGAAATGCCAGCTCGCTCCTGAAAGGAGCGGAGGTGCAAAAGGAGCAAGGCTGGTCGCAAAGAGTCCATAGTTTTTGGAGCGATCACTCAGAATCGCAGCTGGGTGGCTCAGACAGAAGAAGCCCTCAAGACCGGCTTACTCTTGCCCGGAACGCTTCTCAGCCGACTCTGTGGACTATGGATTCACATGGGAGCAAGTGGGCGCTGGCAGCCGGGCTTCTTGTTGATCTCTTCATAGAAGGGCTCAGAGTGACTCTTGGTAGCCCTGAGCATGGAACAGCTGCCGGGTCAAGTCGCGCGAAAACTTCGGAGACAAGAAGATGGGCTTGTGTGCGAATCTTGAGCGGCTGATATACAGCCCAAGAACACGCCAATGGTCTGTGATACGATAGCTAATGAACCTCCCTGCCCCAGACACCACAGGCTCCAACATCCTCTCGAAGTTCCCGAAAAGCCCAGGCTTCCTTACTCGACGCCTCAGCTCAGCCGTGCCGTCTGGCAGCGCCGCCACCTGCGAGCGACAGAATATACTTCGTGTCCAGATTTCCGACGGTTTTCTCGACTTCGGGGCTACTGAAGCTTGAGGATCTGGGCTGTTGGGCAGAACGCTTCGATTGTTGACTTCAAGTCTTGCTATTTCTCACGGCAGCCCACGTCAGAGCATGAAGGAGGGCTGACAAGCATGCCGTTCTTCTTTGCATTGTCAAAGCTGTTGCCTCGAGCTTTAGCCGCTTGAAGAGAGTAGCCAGGCGCTTCATACCACAAGTCGTCTTTGCCTTGCGAAGCGTGAACTCGCGAAGGAAACTGCTGACGAAATGCAAGCCAGACCCATTACACCAATGTCCTGATTTACTTCCTGGATTCCTCGCCGATGCTCAAGGTTCTGATTTTCTAGCTCGAATCAAAACCAAGCTGAACACTGCGGCACTCCTGTGTGAGTGCCTCTATCGACTTGCACTTTGACGGCATGCTTAATTACATTGTATGCTTGCATATCCAGGGTGCATCGCCCAGGTGCTCTACGAACTCCTAAGCAGCTCGAGAACATGATTATATGCTTCAGCTGCACGACGAAGAACAAACCAGAATTGCCGAGAGTCCTCCGATGCAAGGATCTTCCTGCAAGGCTCCCACGCATGCCGGACGATGCAGGCGTCTTTCCCATTACTAAGTTGTGCTAGGCATACACGCTTCACTGGCCTAAGGTCGTCCACCTCGCTGGTCTTGGGCAGTGCCGACTGCACCACATGTTCGCACACCGTACCTGAAGCAATGGATCAACCAGCTGTTCCTCGCGCAGAACAATCAGAACGCCTGCCATAAAGATGCCCTAGAGACTTTCGTCCCGATGGTATAGTGATACACTTCACGCCCATCTTACTGGCACCATGTTCAGCCCCACTGCAGCCAAATCACAGGCAATGAACTTTCCCGCCCGCTTGCCCGCAGAGATGCGCTCCACGGTGCGCTCACCGATGGAGTCACTGGGCCAGGGCTCCTTTAAAGAACACCCCTCGAAACATCCAAGAGGTCTGAGTCGCAGAACCCACGACACTTGCGAGCGAGCATGACGGCACATGCAATTCTTTACAGGCTAACAGCCAGCACAATGCGAAACAAGAGGAAGGAGCTGATCATCTTTGCAGACATACGCTTCATGCGGGAGACTCACGGTAGTTTGTGTCTGCTGCCATGTTTTGGCAGCTTCAATGCGACTTCTTCGCAGAGGAAGGCGGGATACCTGACGACCCCAGCCTCCCTGAGCGGGAACCGCCTTGTGGGGGTCCGCCGACTACGGTCGGGGCCCCCAGGAGACGAAACACCATGCGCAGCGGCCGGGCGAAGAAATTCACGTCACTCCGGGCATAGTAGTACAAAGGGACGGAACCAAAAAGAAGTGTGCAGAAAACACAGAGGTCCTCCAAACCTCCACGTCGTGGTCTGCCAAAACCCTGTCCTCTTTAAGGACGAGCTGCTCAGATCTGGAGGCCTCCTACGCCAACAATCACCTGGAAGAGTGTGAACAAGGAGGCAGTCGAGGCCCAAGCGCCACTAATGTCGAAATCCTCGTCTTCTGTGGTCGTGGCCGTGGCCGTGGCCGTAACCGTGGCCGTGGCCGTGAACGTGGCCGTGGCCGTATCAGTGGACGTTGCCGTGTCCGTGGACGTGACCGTGGCCGTGGTGGTGGCGGTCGTCGTTGGGCACTGTGTTGCGGCGTCACTCATCGTGAAGCTGGTGGCAGCCGAGGTGCAACTCTGGTAGTTACCGGCGGCATTGACTAACCAGTTGCTGCCCACATCAGCAATCGCAGCCTTCACGTTTGCCACAGTGCCACTGGTCACGCCTTGATAGCACATGCTGACCACACTTCCCTTTGTGATGGCATCAGCAGAGTTCGCCGTGAGGCCAGCAGGCAAGGCAGTCTGCCCCCCGTTGACGAAGCCCCAAGTATCTGCTTCGGTGCTCGCGGCGCAAAGGGGGGTGTCGTCTCCGCTCACGGCAATCAATGTGTCACCGCCGTTTGAGAGCTGTTCACCTCCGCTTGGCCATTCGAAAGCATTCCCGGAGGTCTGACCCTGCACTCCGCCAAGGACTACACCCGGTAACTGGCAGGAGGAAGCGGTATATGTCAAATCGTTACTGCTGCTCGCTCCGACCCAATTACCGGAGCCATCGACCATCCGAAACGTGGCGTTGATGGTCTCGCCGGCAGCCATCGGCTCCAACAGCACAAGCTGGAAGCTGTCCGGGCCCTGTCCGTTGATGGAAATGAAAGCACAGCTGCCAGGACCAAGAGCAGCAAGGCCGACCCGTGCCAAGCCCAGCGCAAGCACCATACCGAGAGTCGCCATACTGGCCATACTCAGTCTGGGAAAGAGCTAGCTGTGGCTGTGATCTGAGCAAAACTTCGCAGTTCATGCAAGCTCGTGTCACCGATACCACAACCGGTCCGACGGCGCTTCAAGACTCTGAAAAAAGAAAGGCTCAACTTTGGCTAGACGAAGCCTGGCAGCTCACCAGGCACAGTCCCGAAAGGAAGAGGACGGCTCGCATGGCCCAACGCGCGCACACGGCCCCTTCGACTTGTGTATCACCAAGTCTTTGCAGTGTTCCAAACGCTTCCTCAAGGCATCTTGCGGGGCTTAAGACGTAAGACGACGTAAGAGCTCCAAAATCTACTATGTCTGGCGCAGCTCTACGGAACGCAACATCTGGCGATGGTAACGGTGCCGATTCTAGCTCATTGTCTATTCTTCCCGAAGCTGGTGATTCAGGACGTGTGGATGAAGAAGCTGCGGCGGGAGCAGAAGTCTGCAGGCTTTGTGTAAACAGGCATCTCTGCATCTATGAAAATTGATCGTAAGATAGTGAACCACTTTTTGACTCAACTATGGACTCCCGAAAAAAAACTGTAGACACAGCCGAGTGGGCCACATGTTGAGATTGACCTGACTGGCCAGAAACAAAAAGGTCTTCCGCCCACCTCCATGGACTCACGCATGATCAGCAGCTCAGCCTTCCGTATCCTCACTGGAGCAGCAAAGCCCCTTTGCTTTGCCTTCGGTCAAGATTCTTGAACCTGCCCTGGCGGTCTCGGGCAACTGGACTTGAAAAGTCCACCAATCTACAAAGCCCGAATCCTGTGCTGTCCTTCTCAAAAGCGAGCTCTGCAGAGGCAGCTTTGGCCGACGCTCGGGCACAGGATGTTTGGCCTGGCAGCCGTGGCAGAGGAAGTGCAGGTGCAGCACATCGAAACGCGCGACAATGCCCCGGACCTGCATCATTCTGTAGCAGCAGGAACTACCGCGCCCGTGAAAAAAAACTGCCTGCAAGGTCTGCGTCATCGGATTCGAGGCAGTCACAGCATCTCTGCTGGAGGGCACCTCGAACAGACCAAAGCTTCAAGCAGAAAGGGAGATATCGGAAACGGTTCCTCAACTCACCGACTCTACAACTTTCGATGCAGCAGCATGGGAGGAGACGATGGCTCTGACTGTTTCACTCTTCCCTTTAAGCCCCACGCAACGAAAAATGGGTCCGACCTTGGAAGCGCTTTGCAATACTAGCAAGACCTCTGAAAGGGTGAAGGCATTCCCGAAAACGACCATCGGAAGGAGAAACTTTCCACTTCTCAAAAGACGCCTGCTGCCCTCTGGCCTGCACTCTTGCGCACCGGGCAGCCACAAAAAACAAACCAAGACACCGAAAGCGCGCAGGTTTGTCGGAAGGTCGAGTCCGAGCAGCTTCGGGGAGAAGTTCAGGAGCTCCCCAAGGCTGCTCTCGGCGAGCCAGCGGGTGTCGTCCTGAAAACGCGCAGCACAAACAAAGGGCTCACTCCCAGGCTGTCAGAGGGTTGAAAAGGACTTAAGCGTTTGAGTTTTGAGCCCTTGGGTCTTCGGTGCACAATTCACGGTCTCGAGACACTCCCCTACTGCTCTATTGGTACTGCAAACACTGTCTTGATAGCATCTCGAGCATTGGCTGAAAGACAATGACAAGGACCAAGATGTTCAAGACTTAAGACATCTGCGGCAAATCTGTCACCATTCACATCTCCAGGCGAAGGCCTTCATTGCCACGAGATACTGCGGCTCAACCACCACGCCTCGAGACTTAGCTGGCATTCGACGGGTGCGTAGCAAACCCGAACAGCCACCAGCTACTGCGGAATGCACATCTGCGACTTTCAAGAAGTTAGTAGCCCCGGGTAGCCTGTTCACTTGAAAGAAACTGGCCTTGCAACATCCTGCGTGTGCACACTGTGTTTTTCCAGGTCGCTGCCGCTACATTAGCTTTGAATGGATAGGCAAAAGGTGTGCAGTCCACCATCTTACGCCCTTACTGACCTACTTAACAGAGTTCGCCAACCCTGGCCGAACAGCCAGGGCAGGAACCGAAGACTCACACTTTGGTGAGGCACCACGATCCACGTGACTGGAGTCTCCAAACTTTGGGAGACTCCTGCTGACGGTTGCTGATGGCCTGTGGACCCCTAAAAGCCCTAAGACTCTCAGTGCCGACGGGCCGTGAACCCCATGTCCAAGCTCAGACAGTCGCACTCGGACACTTGGCCAATCAGGTGTAGTGCGGGTCACTCATCTCTGAAGCCTCCATGCAACGCTGCAAGCAAACTCGACACCCGCACAATAGCTCTTCAGCTCAACAGCAAGGTCAGCTCTGAGAAAAGACCACCTTAACTCTGCAACCCTGGGCCACAACCGGCCCAATTATTGCCGCGCTATCACCAGAAAAAGCAGAAGTGCCGCGGGAGGCCTTGCTTTCGCCCAACTTGTTCAAAGCCGTTACCTGGGCAGTGAGGCGCAGCGATGCGAGCCCTTGCAACATCCATGCACAAAGATCCGTTCTACTTCCGGACTTGGCAGCTCAGCAGATGTTCTAAAGCCTTTGACTGCAAGCCTCATCGCTGAAATTTCTGACGGGGCTTTCACGAGCAGAGCTCGGCCCCAAAGAGCCCCAAGCCCCCGAAGCCCCCGAAGCCCCCGAAGCCCCCGAAGCCCGGAAAGGCCCCCCTAGGCCCCAAGCGCCTGGAAGCGGTACTCACAGGCGCCGAGCTCCAAAGGCCCTACCCAGGCGTTGTACATCGAGGCATCCTCTTGGCCTGGGAGGCACCCGGGAGCCAGGCTTGGCTTTATAGCTGCGTCTTCATGCGGTTCCTAAATCAAGGTGGAGATCCCATAAATGGAAGGAAACAGTTCTCGCAGCACTGCTGTGCATTGCAAAGGGAGTCCAGAAAAGGTCGAGGGCTCGCACTGTTACGAGTTCTGTAGTCATGTAGTCACAAGCCAAAAACCCATAAGACTTCAAAAGCAGGCCAGCCACCGGTCGCTGCTCCCACTGAGCCCATCCTTAGCGCTTCGGTGGGTCATGGTTTCAGGCGTAGCATGTTGAAGACCTTGAGGTTGATGCTATTGCTAATGCCTCCAAGAATCTCCACCCAGCTCGCAGCTGCTTCTCCGGGTCCGAATGGGTTCCTCAGTTGCTGCCGACTAGTCTCGGAGGTCTGAAACTGAAGCGTGCATTTAGACTGCGATGCTGGTTCATGAACTGTGGATGTTGCCAGAGGCGACGAAAGCATGACGGAGGGAGCAGGGCAAGACTTGAGCTACATGCCTTGGGTGCCAGGGAGGCTCCAGCGAGAGGCTCCCAAGATCTTCCGCATCCGGATCCTGTCGGGGCGTAGCTCAGTAAACCACACACTTTAGAAACTCCTCTTCAACACTCCTTCGACGGCCAAGTCCACGGGGCCCAGCTCTAGCTCCGTTCCTGCCCCGACTCCCGTCTTCGGCCCCGGGTCCTGTAAGCGGTAATCGGCATCCTTAGGGGCACAGACTTGCCTTTCCTGAAGCCTGAACTTCTTCAAGATTCATCTCAAAACCCTTCGGGTGTGCATACATGACGTGCTGGATCTTTGAAGGCCCACGGCAAGAAACAGGTTGTGGCATAAATGATGCTGGTCCCAGCATCCCGCCATCCCCACGAGGAGGTGTCCAGGCGACGTTGAGGCATCCGTCCCGTGCCTTCCGTCCCGTGCTGCACACTGACACTTGGCATATTGAGGTCATATGATTCCGTATCCATGTACACATCGGCGTAGACATCCCTGTGCCTTACGTTTTGTGCGTGTGCGGGCGCATGCCAGAGAGCGCCAGTATGTATGACCTGTGATAGACAGATGGAAAGAGCGGTCGAACGGTGGGGACAGAGTCACACATGCACACATCTACTTTTGTAATTGTTTTTGCACGTATACTAAACCTATGTGTTCACTTGCATGGAAATCAGTTTACACTTATGCAGTATCAGCTTACTTGTTTATTTACATGTTCGCTTGTTCATTTAGTTAGTCTATTCTACCCCCGTTACTAATTCATATGTACGTACCTGTCTTCCCCCACAGAGATATCAGGAGAGACATCGACACAGATGCATAACTTCTGCTTTGGCATGTTGTCATGCATGGCTGCGCCAACGCATGCGCTTGTACATACACACACGCACACAAAAACATGCGTGCTTGCATGCACGTCTCCATGGAGTCCACTTCCAAAAGGAAAAGTACACAGACTAGATGGATGGACGGATAAAGATAAGCAGACAGACAGCTAGAGAGACAAATAAGAGGGGATGTGGTTCTTCGCAAAACAGAACCTCTCCTCCTCGATCCAGGGCTTGCTCGGTGGGTCCGGAGGTATCGGTGCTGTCACAATCCTCACTGGGACTCGCTGTGCTCGCAGAACCAGATGCAGCGACACCCGGCGAACAGCAGCAGTTGGCACATGGAGATTCAAATTCACGACAAGGGGCTCAAACTCCCCAGCGTCTCCGGCACCTACTTTGTTCACAGCACGCACATCCAGGAGATAAGCAGTGTTGCCCCTGAGGTTCGCAACGACGTACCTTGGTGGCTCCGACACACTCGTCTTGCAACAGCAACCACAGTGGATGCATCAAAGTCTCACCTCCAGCTACTCGAGATCCATGGTAGCATGTGTGTGACAGCGAGTAACTACGGCTTGTGATGGCTGCTGTTGCACCTGCCAGGTCACAGTGGGTTCAGCGATTTCGTGCATTCGCAGAGCGTGTACCACTCCGGCAGTTCGTTTGGCTGTGGGTCCAGCAGTATGGAGATCTTGTATCCGACGACGGGCGCTCCGTGATCGTTCCTGAGACAAGCAGCACACTGCACCTCCACGGTCCACGGATAAGCTTCCGACACCATGAGTCCTAAGACCACAATCTAGGAAGAAAAGAAAAGGATGCTGAACGACAGCACAGGGCTTTGGAGGTGACCACTTGACTGTCACTTCAGTCTGCTTCACGTCCGCCATCGCCAGATCGGTTACAGCAGCTGGGGTGGTGCAGACGTGGTACCTGCAAGACCGAACGAGCACGATGCTTAGCCCAACAAAACAAAAGATAGCAAAACTCCGCGAAACTGTCAATTTTCGCGGCTCTTCATTCAGCTGCAACTTTCCTTCAAGCGAGACCAGAGAGAGAGAGAGAGAGAGAGAGAGAGAGAGAGAGAGAGAGAGAGAGAGAAAAAGAGAGAGAGAGAGAGCGAGAGCGAGAGCGAGAGCGAGAGCGAGAGCGAGAGCGAGAGCGAGAGCGAGAGCGAGAGCGAGAGCGAGAGAGCAGCAGGAGCCAAAAACGCCAAGCAGTAACTACGACAACCGTTTCCCCGACGGTACCCAAAAGAGCTACGACGGACGGACCCTTTCTTTTGGATGGTAGGAAGCCTGGCGCCGGTCGTCGTGGTGATCACGACCCCAGTCCCTGTTGGCGCCGTCGTCCTCCCAGTCCTGCTCCTGGCGGCGCTGCTTCCCAGGGCGGCGACGGGGCTGGCGACCTCGGCCCTTCCCCTTCCCCTTGGGGGTGTCGGCGGTGTGGTCGTCCTCCGGCGGGTGGTTGGGTGGGCCTCCCGTCGGTGCCCCCGTCGGTCTCTTCGGCGGGCCGGGCTTGACGGCCGACTGGAGCGCCTCATTGAACGCCGCCTGGTCCGCCATGATCGCCGAGGTCACCTCCTCGAAGGTCCGGGCGAGGCGCATGGACATGGCGAGCTGGTGCGCCGTGGCGTCCCAATAGGCGACGACGGCCTCGAGCTTGCTCGAGTGGAGCCGGGCTTTGGTCGTCCACCAATCGACGTACCTAATGACGCCGGCCTCCGTCCCCACGCCGGTCAGGACCCACGCCCAGCGGATGGCGTCCAGGCCGTCGACGACGGCCCATATGCCCCTCGGGACGAACGGCTGGTTCTCCTCCACCGCCAGGCCGCCATCCACGAACTTGATGTTCTGTGCCCCGCCGGTGCTGCGACGGCCGGCGAGGGGGTTGACGACGCCGAGGGAGGACCAAGTCCGGGACGCCAGGATCTCGCCGAGGCCGAGCGGCGTGTAGAGCTTGGACTTGGTGTGCTCCCAGTGGATCCTGGCGAGCACCTCCTCTGCGCCGACGAGGCGCTCCGCCGGGAACGAGCGGGGCTCACCCCCGAGCTGGACGGCGTTATAGCGGGAGACGAGGTCGGTCCACTCCGGGAAGGTCCGCGGCGGCTTCTCGCCGACCATCGTCGGCAAGGTAGCCGGTGGCGGTGCGGCCGTCGACGGGGCCGGGGCCGGGGCGGAGAGCTCGTTCCACTGCCGCCGGGCCTCCGACCACATGTGGCGGAGGATCGCCCTGACGACCGGCTGCTCCGCCGGCGACGCTCTGTATGTCGTCCCGGCGATCTCGTCGCTGGAAAACCCGCGCGTCCACGTCGGACCATTCGTCGGCGACGAGGGCGAGGGTGGCCGTGCGGTTGAGAGACCGCGCCTTCAGGTACGCGACGAGGTCCGGACCAGCCCCCGCCGACGTGGCGAGGTCGTCGAAGTCGGTCAGGACGTCGGCGACGAGCTGCGGACCCATAGCCATGATCACGACGAGGGGACCGGCGGGGATGGACAGGCGGTGCGAGCAAAGGCGGGCTGCGGCACGAAACAAGAAGCACAGTGCGCAGCGACGGCTCACCAAGTGCACGGCACCGGTCCCTTTTCTCAGGACGACGACGAATCGTCGGAATCTGAGCTAGATGCCACTGGGGAGGCTGCCTCCTCCGTCGGCGACCCGACACCGTCAGCCGACGGGGCCTTGGGAAAGCACCTGAGGCACTTGGCGGCTCCCGCCGGTAGCTCGGTGATCCTATAAAAACTCCGGACGCCGTATGGCCAGGAACAACCCCGCGCTTTCCACAGAAAGCGGTCCGACGAAGCCTCCGTCGGGTCGGGGGCGTGAGCCCGTTTCTGCCGCTCATTGTAAATGAGGTGCTCCGGCGGCGCGACGGCGACCTGCTTCACCGTCTCTGGTCTGACTGGGCCGGGCTCGAACGCGACCGCCGGGGAGTGATCCTCGGGCAGCGGCGCCTCCACCTGAGCCGGCTCGCCATCCTCCAGGGCCAGCGGCGGCTGTGGGCCGAGAGCCGGTGGGGCCTTGGCCTGCGAGATGGCGTCGCCATACGCCGGCCGGACGCTGACTATCTCGACGTCCTCCGCCAGTATGCGCCGGGGGACGTCCAAACCCTGCCAGCGGTGCTGCCTGGACGTACCGCTCGACGGCGGCCGACGACCATCGGCCCAGCAACTGAATGATGGGCGTGTTGACGCCCTTGGACGCCAGCCACGCTGCGCCGGCCACCCGTGCCAGATGGCCGTTGAAGAGCTGGACGGTGGCGCCGTTGTGGTCGGTGGTGGTCAGCTGGATCCCCGCCGCCAGCAAGACCCGCCGGAAGAAAAGGACGGCCTCTGTCTTCTCCCAGGTGTCACCGGTCCCGTCGGGGAACAGGGGTGCCCCACGCACCCACCGTCCGGCACGCCGAAGGCGGGAGACATGGCGAAGCGCCGCGTGGTATGGGCACAACGGCGCCGCGGTCGCCCCGCAAGCGCACCGTAGCTGGCGTTGGGTCAACTCGACCTCGCCGCCGGTCGCGGTCTTGTGCAGGGGAAGCCGGAGGGCGACGGTGCCGTCGGCGACATCAATGTCCTGCGTCCGCGCCGCTGAGAACTCGATCTCGCGGAGCATGAACCACACCGCCAGGATGAGGGCGTCGACGGCGTGTGCCGTGACCCACGGGCTCCACGATTCGGCCCCCGGCGGGTCCACCCTAGAGACCAGGGCCACCAGGCGGTCGACGGCGAAGATGGCCTTCAGCTTCGAGCCCGACGCATGGCCCGCCGGATGAGGGGGTCGACGGCCTCGCCGCGGAACTGTTCCTGGTATGACACGGCGGCGTCGAAATAGTTCTGGACGGATCGATATCCGCGTCGACGGAAGGTGGCGGCAACCTTCCGCACCGCCTCCGCCGATATGGGCCAGGGAGCGACGGCCCAAGTCTCGCACGCTTCCTGCCACGTGCGGACTCTCGACTGGAAGGGTGCCTGGGACGACTTCGCCAGGATGTTCTCGTCGATTTCCGCCAGCGCCGCCTCCCTGTTCTGCGGGAGGGCCGCTTCGTCAAAGGCGGTGCGTTTGCACGCTCGACGGGTGTCCCTCCTGATCGGGATGTCCTTCCGCCTTTCCGCCGGCCGGTCGGGGACCGTCGCCGGGGGCGGGATTGGTCCGCGAACCGTCGCCGCGACCACTACTGGACCGCCGGTCGGTACTACGGCCGTCGCTGAGGGCCCAATCGCGGGCCCCGCCGGTCCGATCTGGTTTGACGGGGCCGGTCCTGGGGACCGTCGCCCCTCCGGCTGGCCAGAATGCCTCGAGGACTGTCCGGGACGCCAGCTGTGACTAACGCCGAGGCCCGGGCCAGGGCGGAGTCGACGTCCACGGCGCCCACCGTCGGCAACAGGGGCAAATGGTCGGATGCCCCCAGCTCGACGAAAGCCCTCACCAGCCGGCCGAAGTCCGCCGTCTGTCCACGGCGGGGCCGCATGGGGCCAAAGGAGGCCTCGAGCCTAGGCGTGCGCCGGCCTTGGCGCCTCGAGCCAACCGAACCTCCTCAAGAAAAAGGTAAAAGAAAAACAGGTGCACGACGAACGACGGGCAAGCAAGAAAGACTGCACTGCGACGGCCGCCCTCCTTTTTGGCGCCGGCGGCGCGGGTACGGCTCTGATTCGGCCCTAGGGCGATTACAACGCCGGGCAGAAAGGAAAACTAATTAAGACGTCGGGAGAGGCCCGCGAAGGCTTCACCGACGTGCCCCGTGAAAGCTTTAATTCCCACGTCGCCCGCGACAAGGCCGTCGGAGAGGTCGACCACGGGGAAATAGCGACGGGGACGGCCGCCGACGTGGATCACCGGTGCCGGGACTGCTCATGGCAGTCCTCGCACTCATGGTGGTCGTGGCGATCCAGGTCGACGGCCCCGCCGGCTCTGATCACCACCGGCCGGAGGCACCTGCCGGGACTGCCGCGGCAGAGACGGTTGGTGCACGGGTGGCCGCACCAGCCCGCACACCAAATTTCGCCGGGAATCTTCTCCGGTATGCGGCCTCCCCGGACGCCGGGCGGCAGAGCACGCAGCACGTAGTAGGCCGCTGCGGCCGACGACGGTACCATGGCCGTTGTGCCGCCGCCGGCGTTGTGCTCGAGGTCCTCGAAGTGCTCCAGGTTGGCGACGGCGAGGGGCTGGAGGGATTCCGGCAGCTCCACGTCGGTCCTGGCGCCCACCAAGTTGACGGCGGCGACGTGGTCGCGCCATGCCGCTGAGCACAACATCCGACGGATGTGCACGACCTGCCGGAACTCGCGCTTGTGCCGGTCGAACTCGGCGGCTGGGGCCCCGTCACGCGGCCGCCGGGGCAGCATTGGGAAGCCGGCGCCGGTGACCGGATCCGCGTCGGGATACATCTCCTGCGGCGTTGGTGTACGTGCCCTGCGAGATGCTCCCGACGGTGCCGCCGATGACGGCGGTGGCGCCGGAGCTGCCGGCATAGCCTTCACCTGTGGCGCGACGGTGCCCATCTGCCTCGACTCCGCCGCAAACTGCTGACGGAGCTCCTCAGCGATGCGAGCCTGGTAGTCGACGGGCTCGGGCACCGGCGGAGTAGCCGGCGGCGCCGCCGGGATCACCGTGGCCGGGGTGATGCGGTCCGGCAGCGTCGTCGAGTAACGCCGGTAGAAGGCGTCAGCCGACGGTATATTGTGGTTGTAGGCCAGCACCGCGTCGGCACGACAGAGGAACCCCATCTGGTCCCAGAGCTGCGGCGGGCTGCCTTTGGGCACCGACGGAGCCGGTCGGGTGGGCTTTTGAGGATACCCACCCGACGGCATTCCTGCCGGTGGAAGATCTGCCGGGGACGCCGCCACTCCTGGAACCCCCGCCTGCGCCGGAGGAGGCGCTTGCTGACGGTCGACGGGGGGTTCCGGGTGGGGGTCCGACGGCGACGATGTAGCCATTCCTGCTCCCGTCGACGAGCTCGACGGCAAACCTCTCAAAGAATCGCCGTACACGACGGGTCCAGGTGCCGCGCCATATTGATAGCCTCGACGAGCGCACGCCTCTCCAACCCAGTCCATTCGGAGAAAAGTTGGGAGAGGTCGTCGCCGGAGGCGACGGCACGGCGGACCATGTCGAGGGCGGCGACCACGTCGGCGGACTGGTAAGTCATGGCGACGAGAGGATCTACCGGAAGCTGAAAATCGTCGGGGGACGTGGAGCAGGAAAGCGGCTGCAGCATCCACGTCGATTCGACGGTTGTCCCTACGCACATGAATGTGCTACACCTCAATAGAGAATACATCAATACACATGTCAGTGGAGCACAAGAAAGTGACGCACAGCTCTCAGCACAGGACCAGTTAGACAAGCACGCGCATCTACATCAAGACGAGGTGCTTCAGTCTCATCTCCGCCACTCGATGGCCTGGAAAATTCGCAGGCACTGACCCTACATGTTCAGGCCCAGACTCAATAGAAGAATGCTGTTCTCAGAGCTATCGGGGTTGAGCATGATTCATGGCGCGGTCCTTGAAGGATGTCGAAGATGCCCCAGGTAGTAGGTCTTCTCTGAAGTTGGTACTCCTGCAGAAGAACTCCAGAGAGCAGGGTAATACTTCGAACCCCAGGGGTCGAGGTGAAAATGCCCTGCAGGCAGTTCGCAGAAGCCACCGGGTGGAAGCTTATATTCAGAACACTTTCTTCCTCAGAATGTCGTATTGAGAGGCTTGTGAGTCCGAAGATTTAAAGGTTCCCAAGCGATAGGGCCCCAAACCTATGTGAGTCGCATGTTTCCTTGGGCCAATGTCCCAACAAACAACGTCACTCCTGCAGCGGCGCCAGCGCCCGCCTGAGCTCGAGTTACCCTGCTATCCAAAAGCTCCAGAATGTCTTGCATACACTGGCAAAGCCTCGACAACAGCCACAGCCACAGCCATCAATAAAGGCCAAGATTCCCAACGAGCGTTGTCACAGGAGTACCGAGAAGCGTACCCTTCGTTGCCCACACCTTTAGCAGATAGGCAGCCAAGCAATGTCAGGAAACCCTACATTTCATGCGCTGCTCTCAACCTAGAAGCAACGAGAGAGACAGAAAGCCGAAAGGTAGGCAAAGAAGATGGCACGGGAGAGAAGAGACACTGTAGAGATCATTGAATGGAGCAAAGACTTTTGAAAGATCTGGAGGACCCCTGCAGTTCTGGCCACGCACATTGGCATAAAGTTCGTCACGTCGACAAACACGTCTGCAGTCAAGGTGCATAAGCCACGAGATGATGATCCAACTTCTCCATTCGCAACGAGAATGGCTCCTTCACCGCAGTAGATGAGCAAGCGTGGGTAGTCGTCACGACCGTTACATGAGAATTCAACAATCCTCATGCGGAGACGAGGCTACTGTAGCTGCGGAGAGTCCTCGAAAGTGACGACAGGGTTCTGGTTGGGTCTTTCGTCATCATCCCCAGCGAAAATCCCGACCTGCTTCGCTTCAAAATACAAGCACTGGACCAAGCATGTTGCGCAGACGTCATGTGCACCACGACGTCTGTGTTTCCGCGACTTGGCCACAGGCCTGCAGACCGGGCTTGGCGGCTCTCTGTGCCTTAGATGACGATTGAAGCCTTCTTGTGCTCACCTGAACCTGACTAAAAAGTGGTGCCTCACTGACTTCTTGCATCACGTCGAACCACTGCTATTCATGCCTGTCCAGATGAGGCCTGCGTGTCATGCAACATACGTGTCCTGTGCAACGACCGCTTCCAGGATCGGTCGTCCGTACTGCAAATCAAAAGCCGTCTGGTTGTGTAACAGGACGGAAAGGAACAGCTGTACCACAAAATTCACAGCTGATAGGTCTAAAGCTCGAATACCCTAAACTTCCTAACTTCAACGTTATCCAGTTCCTACTCTCGGCAAGAAGCCTGCGACACGATGTAGTGACCATCCACTGTCTGCAGCGGTGCATCACGAGGGAGTGGAATGTGGTCGGGCTCCTCTCCAGGGCTTGGTATCTACCTTTTCATCGCGTTTACAAGACATTCGTCGCGTGCTGCTCATGCCATTCGCAACCCAGCCTCAGAGCGGGGATGCAGCGACACGAAGTACTTCAGCGACTCGAACATCCCTGTACAGCAGCAAGTCAACAGAAAACAGTGTTTATCCTCTAGCTTCCAGGCTCTAAGCATCTCTAAGACTCTAAGCACTCCATCCGGGGCACCTGGTTGAAGGTCCGGTGCATCTGGGTGCAGCTCCAACTCCTGAAGCTCCACTTCCAGCAAGTGTGGGCGCTCCTGGAACCGTCGGGGAAGTGAAGCGCAGAGTTGGTGCCACAGGTCGGAGCCTCGATGTCATGCCAGGCGGGTGGCTTCTGCTGGTTCTGCGGAGGGCGGCGTGACACACCATCGCCCATATCCTGAAGAACAAGACATGCCGGCCTACAAGTGGACATCGACCGTCTGGCTGTGATGCATCGCTGAGACCTGTCCTCGATCCGGTGCGGGATCAGTAAGTGATCCTCTTCCCCGTCTTGGGGAACCGAGTTGGGCATCACGGGCATAGACTGTGGCATCATAGGCATGGATCTGATCGACTGGGAAGCAGGTCCTGGGCTGCACAGACAAGACATTTCTAAATTCGTGGCTTGAAACAGCGACGTAGCCGGAATCCGACTCCAGGCCCTCAACTCAAAGCGCCTCTGATCTCCGAGTGGCTCAGCGAGACACCTGGGGCCTGCCCGGGCCGTGGCTGCAGAACCGGCACCTCGCAATCACCACGGATTGACTTCACGGAGGCTTTCCAGCACTTTCTCACCCCACCGTCCCCTTGCACACCAGAAAGAAATTGGCTGGGCACGGAGCCCCAGAGCCTTGCAAGAGAAAAAGTTGGTGGAAAACCGTATTGTATTCTGCGGTTCTTTTCAGTCGTTTGGACAAAGCGCTGAATCGCGCCGTTCTGCGGCGAAACAGTCTGGGACGACTAGCCTGACTAGCCGCTGCCGGTGCGCGGTCTGCAACCGGAACGCTATCGTTCTCGCCGTCCGCCGAAAGGGATAGCATCGGGGTGGGCGGCGGTTCGCCATTAGCGAGTGTGAATGCGCGCAGCCGTTCGCTACACCGCAACGACCATGATGATGACCAATGGTAACGGCTACCTCAAACATGACCAAGACCACGACCACAACTCCGACAACAGCAGCGGTGGCAGAGTGCATTCAGCCGTGAACGAAACGAATAGTATGCGGCAACTGGGTAGCAAACCGAAAGAAACCTCCAGTTCGAACCTCATACCCTTCGGAAGTGCACATTCAAGAAGTTCAAAGTTACGGACATCATTTCTAGCGACGTCGATAAGCTCAGCATCACCGAAGACCGAAACCATGCCGAGCTGCTGAGCTGGCTTGAAGCGTCACTGGGCTTAGGCGGCTGGGAGCGTAGGCCTGTGGGTCCTTGGACGTCGCGGGGAAGAGTCGTTGGGCTTTTCGCTGGCAACTCTCAGACTGCCACCATGCACCAGTGAACATTCTAAAACGCCCGGGATTAACTTTCTGCGTGGCGCAACGAAGCGAGGAGAAGGTGTTCGCGGCCGGCCTGTGCATAGATCACACGCCCCGAAGCTCAACCCCCTGCTTGTGTGGATGCGTGCTGGAGGAGGTGATGAGTGGTTGCAGTGACTCCGCGCTGACCGCACGGACCTAGATTGCAACTTCCCCTTGCAGGGCATGTCCATGAGATGACCCTTGAAACTAGAAGCTGAAAAAGAGAGCCCCCTGGTCCAAAGCCACGGCTATCCACCGCGCCTAGGCAAGCAGACATCCCTGAATCTCTACGTCTCGGCGACCAGCCTTCGGTTGACACGACGACACTGGGACCACGAGAAAGAACCTGGTCTCGGTCACAAGTCACAGCTGAGCGTAGCATCAGGGGGACGACGCGTTTGTGGCAATACAGTGCTCACCATGCGACCTGGCCAGCTAATGACTTATGAGTTCACAGGGTAGTCAAACTCTGGATCATCATCAGCAGTCGCATTATCGCCGTCTTTGCTACAGCTCTACCAACGCTATTGTTGCGATTGTCGTTACCATTGCTTAGCCCGTGCCAATCTCAGATAATTCAGATTGTTCTCGAACACATCAATGCATTAACAGGCCACTTGAAAGGCTCTCCTGCCCCGAAGCCCGAAACCTGAAAGCCCTAAGCCCAAATCGCCTGACCCTCAGCCGAAGCTACGCCTGAATCTACTATAACCCGCGTTTGCAGAATCCTGCATAACTTCTATATCAGGTCTCAGACTGCAATGGACGCTCGAGTAAGTTGCACTGCTTACTGCTCTCGTTACCATTTCACTATGGCTATCACTGTGATTACTGAAGGCGCGTTGAAGCTTCTAACCTGACTCCTACCAACATTATCAGTTTCATTCTTGCTCTTACGGTGTTGAGCCCCTCGATGCCGGTCATATTCCCCGAACTACTAGTTTTCGGCACTCCAGCCCCCCGAGCCATAGCTCCAAGCTTTTCATGCCCTAGGGGCTGGCCGCGTCGATGGAACTGACCTGGGCAAAGCTCAAAAGACAAGGCTACACCTGCGTGCATTACATACAACCGACACGCAGGAGGCTTACCTTGAAGTCATGATGCATGAGAATAATGAATTTTCGTAACGATATCCGAGGTTATAAGTCAAAGACCAACTCGCTTCTTACGGCTCTTTCTTGGCCGTGTGATTGAATGATGCAGGCTCGCAAATGTCAGCGTAATCAATTTTCGTCGACACTTCCTCAGATCTTCATCGCTCGTCATGCACATCCAAAAACAGGCATACGCCTGAACAGAGAGGAACATCACGAAAGCAGCAGTAGGGATCTCTGCATGTTAGAAGAACTGCTACTTGCCGGCCTTCTCGGGGCCCTGTCGAACAGCACCACACGTAGCAAACTAGTAACTGGTATGACAGACATGCTCGTGAGCACAGCCTGTGCCTTTGGGGGGTGATCCAGAGGGCTCAAACAAGCAAACATAATCGCGCAACAATGACGCTTCGGCTGACAGCTGCCAGTCATCATGGTTGGGTCGTGGCAGTGGCACCGACTGCAGATCAAGCATTTACCCAAAACACGGCGCTCTCTCTGCAGAACAGGACAAGTACCGTAGCAGCAGCGTCTAGGGTAGCACAGTAGTTGTAACTCACGCAGAGGTCCACAACTCAACGAGGAAGGAAGAGAAGGTCGAACCATGTTCCCCATCTTCACAACGGGCGACAAGTTAGACGGCAGCGCTGGCACGAAACCACTAGGCCTCGGTTCTGACCAACACAACGTGTCATGCAAGATCTTCACTTCCTACCTGACAACCACACTCAGCTGGAACTTGGCTTCAACAGGATGGATGCTTGAGGCTTGCCGTTACTTGCTCCTCTTCGGTCACGAACCGACGGCTCTGAACGCCCAGCGTCGTCGTGGGAGTTACCTCCCCATGGCGCCCGGGATCCTGAAGCTGTGGCGAAGAGACGAGCCCTGCACTTTTGAGGGTTTACTTCGGATTGCGTGTTTGTGCCCCAGATTCAGTTACTATCATCATGTCGGACATTTAATACCATATGAAGCACAGCTTTTCTCTGGAGGCAGTGAGCTGAGTTCTACAAATTCTAGTCGGGCGAGAAAAGTGTCCTCCAAGAACGCTGTCGCACGAAACAGTGCGTCCACCATGCAAACGCACTCCTGAGCCCCACGCTCAGGACAGAAGATGTCAGAGTCATAGCGATGAAGGTGGCATGTTGACAAATGCACAGGCAGGCCCCGTGCAGGGAAGTTCTCAGCATCTGAAGCTGAGCTGCCCGGGCGTCCAGGACGCTGTTTCTGTCCTGCTCCAGGTGACACTGAGGTGACAACTCTGGGCCTACTAAGCCACAGGGCTTCGCAGAGTGAATGCGAGACATGGGGCTCAGAGCCCGAAGCAACACCCACAAAGCGATGGCCTCATCAAAACGGAGGAAGAGTTGGTACATGTCCGTCGGGCTCGGGGGCGGCAAGCCGTGCTGCCGGAAAACCAGTGAGATGAACTCCTGCAAGCGATAATGCTGGTGGCATAATGCAACATTCGACGATCCTTACACATGGCTATTGATTAAGAACTGCTATACGCTGATAGCCGGAACAGGCTGTTTCCACACTTTCAAGCACGATCATGAGCCTAGTCTTGGTTAAAAGGCCAGTAGCTCGCCTTAAAAGTGGCTCGACGCAGTGTCCAGGACAGGCAGAGTCTGCTGCTGCTTTGAGTGGGTGGCAAGCCACGAATCGCTCATGCTCAAGACGCCGTCCTGGATCTCACCGTTTGCCCATTGCAGATTGCCCGATGCGCTTCTGTCACAGGCACGGTAGATTTCTAACGTATTCCTCAGATATTGCAAGACTGACAGCTTCCAGTGAAGCAAATCAGCACAAAGTCTCTCTTTGGGCCTTGCACCTGCCCTTCAAGCGAGTGTTTCAGGGACCGTCAGCAATCCCGGTTCGTGCTTGCTTGCATCTCCAAGGAACCTCAGAATATCACCTGGTGGGGATCGAGTCAGTTTCCCAGAGTTAGATTGGAATTCTACCACGAGGCAAAACATCGACAGCGTCTTCCCAAGGTCAAGCGAACATCTGCACGCTTCTCTTAGCTTGACACCTGCTTCGTGGAGTCATTGCTGCCCGGTCGCCGCTCTCGATCTGCTGCGCAAGATGCTTCCGCTGCACGCCACAGCTGAGGCCCACGGAGGTGGAAAGCTCCTGAAGGAAGGGCTGTGACGGCTTCTCATGTCTTCTATGGCTTGCATGACTCTTGAAGGTTGAAGGCCTTTGGCTTCAGATTCAGTAAGCCTCAGTAAGCCTTCGTGACTTGCAGCCACGCTCAGTTAGACCACTGTCAAGATCGATGGTAGAAAGGCATTTCAGCATCCAGACACATGCTCTGCATCATGCTCAGCAAGTTGCACCGAACAATCACAGACCATGATATCATTGCATTTGGTGGGCTTCTCACGATCACTGCAACACCATCCTCCGGCGAGCCCCAACGGCATACTCTGCTCCTGAACATTGACATTGCAGCCTGTTGGATAAGAAATCTGTGGTGTCATAGCTGACGGGCGCGGGCAGCTGGCCACATAGCGCTCCTTGGAAGCATTCTTCAGCTTAGGCTGTGGATCGAGGAAAAACTCACCAGGGCAGCCGAAAATCTGCTAAAGCCATGGGGGCCTGCCCGCGGAGCTGTCCACCTGATTTCACGCAAGAAGCACTTTGATGTACCAAGTCGTGGCGGCGCCACATCCACTCCCGGACTCCAGTTGGCATGTGCTTCGGTTTACCAACCATAGCGCCCAGAGAAAAAGGCCACGTTTGGCTTTGGAGAGAGCTTTCCCGAAGAGGGCATTGGAGCGAACCAGGGACAGGAGCGAGTGAGACAGTGCCTGTCGGCCAGCAGCCCACTGCCCCGCTCTATCATTGCTGACACGGAGCATCTGAGGTTGTCTGACGCCGGCGCCTTGCTGCAGCTGGAAACACGTGTCGGCAGACAAAAATGTGTTTGTTTCAACATGCCGGGTGTTCCTGCTGCAAGTAAGCTGGCATCAGCTGGTGTTGCACTGCCTCCGGCAACGAGAGCACAATCAAGATGCACAGAGGCTCTGCCAGGGGTGACTTGAGGATTCTGTAGAGCAAGCTGCCCCACCCTGCATCCCCTGAATAATGCAGGCATGCACTTGTGCCTGCACTGGTGTCGGCAGCAGTGACGAACCAGCGGAGGGCACTACCTCGCACAGGGTCCCTGAATGAGCTGAAAGATCGGTGTCGACACTGCAGGAATCGCCGGCACTGGGACATGGCAGAGTCTTCTTCTTTCAGGGCCTTGCTCCTGCTGCAAACACTCACGTCGTAACATGACCCCTCAAAAATCTGCAGAACTTGAGACCTGGAGCTTCTGACGTATCTGCATGGATCTTCTCACCAGGGAACCACGGGAGCCCCTGCTGCGGACGCAGCCCCAGCAGCTGGCAGGCGGCATACGGCCGGGGCAGACGGCGCCGCGGCCACAGAGACTGTTGGCTGCGCGTATCGCGTGACCAGCCTCCTGTCATGCAGCCCGGGACATACTACTGACCGTACCACCCAAATAAGCGATTGTAACAATAACAACATTAGCAAAATTATCAAAACTCTTCTACACACTAATATGCACAAACATCCAGACAGGCATAGACAGACATATCTACATAGTTATATATCTTTGTATCTATATATATATATACCTAGTCATTTAATTATCTATAAGTTTATATATCTACATACCTACATATCTATAATATATATATATATATATATATATACCTATATATCTATTAGTTATATGCTATGCTATGTATGTATGTATGTGTGTATGTATGTATGTATGTCCGTGTTCTATATGTGTCTGTGTATCTATATGCTATATGTAGCTCTAAGAAGTTTTCCCACTGCACCTGACCGGAAGCGGAGCCAAGCCGTTCTGAGCCTGCGCAACACACTTGGCAATCAACCGGCTCACAGCAACTCCTTGAGTTTCCAGTAGCAGCTCTTCCCTAGCTGCTGTCCGTGCCTGGTCCGTTGCGGGGAGCGTCTGGGCCTGTGCAAGGCGACAAGGTGCCCGAGAGGTGCCGTGTTAAGTGGAGCGACGATTTGCTCTAACGCTGCGTCTGCTTCTGGAGCACACGACATACTGAAAAGAGAAGTCCAACGTAGATCATGCCCACTGATGGCTGCTGTCACAACTACACTTGCTGCAGGATCGCAATCACGTGCATTCCCAGCCACTTCCAGCAGATGTCCCGCTTGCGACCGTACTCTGTGATCGGCTGGAGAAGGTGGCATGGGCTCTGCCTAAAATGATGACAAGAGTCCCACACTGATAAATGCCAAGTATGCAGGATCTCTGCTTGTATTTTCCCATGCTTTTGCACACGAACGCTAATCACTGGTCTACTGTGTTCTTCTGCTCGGTTCTAATTCTGCCTTACCTTGTGGCTTTATGGCTTTGTGATGCGGTTCTTCCCAAGCATCCAAGCAGGTAAACACACGACAGGTACATAAGCAGATTAATCTTCTGGGCATGTGCACATAGACACATACAAGCAGACAGAACAGAAAGACAGAAGACAGACGACAGACACACAACAGACAGGCAAGCAGGCAGGCAGGCCGGCGGGGGTGCGGGCAGGCCGGCAGACCTCTATTTCTTGCATTGTAACAATGCAGGAATGGTAAAGATTTGGGGTTGGTGGGGCGGCTGTGCAGACTATCGCAGACAATTGCAGCCAGAGGCCTTTAGGTGTGTCACACATCACAACCAGGCCACCACACTGGTACCAAATCTAATCCAGAAAGTCTTGTGCCAAAGATGCAAGCCGGTGATCCTGCCCCTGGACGGACAGCGACGGCGCAGCCTCACGAGCCCCAGCATGATGACGTCACTCGCACGGCTCAGAGCCCCAGAACTTCCTTGCTGTCTGGCAGGTGACAGAAGTTGAAGTCTAATCGCTCAATCCCGAGGCAAATCTCCAGCAAGAACGATTACAGTATGGAAGCTCATAACAATAGTATCAGGAAATCTCCGGCCTGCAGCGCCTCCCGCCCGCTGCTCCGCGGCGCACGTGATGCAACTGGCCGAGCTGCTGGCTCAAGTGTTTCGTGTTCGGCCCTTTCTGTCACCAGCTGAGCTGCTTTGTTCTTCTGGCTGCTTGGGCTCTTTTCTCCTCCCGATCGGTCACACTTTGCAACCTTGACCGAATTCTCATACTGTTATATACTGTTGACATGGCCCCATGTGCAGGCATGATTACTGCAAGCAGCGTCCACAAAGCAGCCTCTACACCGGCACTGCGTAGGCCCAGAACTTAAGAGAGGCTGGGCCTGCGTCCAAGTCATCGGGCAGGCCCCAACCGTTCCGAGGCTCTGGGTCTGACCGGGGGCGGCTTCCGGCAGCTTAGGGTTCGGAGCGGAGAATGCTTAGGGCTTAGACGGTGTTGGACTCAAGGCGGAAAATTAAGTATCGTGCGTCCTGCTTTCGGGTGCGATGACGTGTTGGGGGTCCGAACAAGCACGACGCCAGCTGCCTCAGGGTAATGACCGAGTTTCTGCTTCCGTTTCATTCAGCTTCTGCACTCGATGTCTTTCTTCGGTCTATCCTGCGGAATAGGCAGCAGTGCATCTTGTGCTCCATGCGTTACCCCACGAAGTCTCGCGCGGAGGTATGTACGCACAGTTCTTGAAGAAGACAAGCAAAGCCGCTCGCAAGAAACAAGGTTGCTCGTCTGTCCCTCTCTCTCTCCGTCCTCTCCTCCTCTAGCTTGAGAAAGACGGCTAGCACAACATTGCTCGAATGGCTGGCGGGAAGGTTGCAAGTGGAACTTGCTAACCTGAAACTATGCTGCTCTCGTGAACTTCTCTGACGGCACACTGCCTGCAAGTCTTCGTCCTTCAGGCATGTAGTCGTCCTCTCTTCCGCTGTAGTGCGAACTGGAAGGAGGAACGCCCCAGCCTGCAACCGAGCTTGCTGAACACTGCGAAGCATGTCAATGTCAACATGTCTCAGCTGTTTGTTGCAAGGTAACAACATGACTACATCCCGACCGAATCTTCGGGTCGGATGAATTGGTCCGGCAGGCTAAAGGAGAAAATGTTCAGTGTGCTTCCGATGGCCTGAATACTGGGCCTCGTCCGACTGCACAGCTGGGAAGCTCCAACCACCACCTTAGTCATCGAGTTCGGCTTTCGTTTTCCGCAACGAGAGCAATCCCACTGGGAAGTAGGCATGCGTGCAACCAAGCGAGGCAAACGACACAAGCACAAGCAGTCTGCCACGTAAAACATGAATCGCCTTGCAGTGCAGGCGCGATGTAGACACCAGGTCGCCACGGAAAAGCGGGATGTGTCGAAGGGTCCGAGGTCCCGGCCCCCGTTTCGGAAGCTCTTGCTCGGGGAGGTGGATGGTCCAAAGACATCCTGGAAGTCATCCTCCTGGGGGGCTCTCAAAGTACTGGTAATACCCTTGTATGGTAAGGCACAGACTCTGCACGTGACTTGGAGCTTCGTGCTTCGGCTCAGGAATCCTCACACTACCCATGGCAGCCCCCCTTGGTCTCTGGGCCTCGAGTTCCCCAATAGCCACGGGCGGCCGCAGCACGCCGGTCGGCGGCCCCGCCAACATGGCAGTCGCGGCCGCACTTCTTCAAGAGGGTAGGGTGTCTACTGAAGCTACTACTCGTGTATCTCAACATACCCCAAAGAGAATACAAGACGGAGCAAGTTTTGGAAGGGCTCAGGTTGCTTCGGGTGCAATACCCTCACTGCAACCCCGAGCGCTGGTGGCATCCAAAGTCACTGCTGTTCCTGCATGGCTGAGAATTTGGCAGCGATTCGTCTGACTTGGCTTACGACCTCAACCGCGCTTGTTTGTAGTAGACCGTGACTGTAGGTCCTACGACTTTGGGACCCCGAGCTTCAGCCCGTGATGATTGTTGGCACATGGCTCCTTTTTAGGTTTCGGGAATCTTCGGGACTTCCCGTGCGAAGATCCTTCCATGGCTCCGTGGGCCGAAGCGGTGTTTGCCAAATCGCGCGCGAAGCAAAGCTCTCCGCCGCTCTGCATACCACACACAGGGCACTGCAGCACTGCAGCACAGACATGTGCCTCCCCGGCTCCCTGCAAGTCGCCACTTCTCGAAGGCTTCCACAACGTCCAAAGACAAAGCCTGGCAAAGAGCTTGGGCTTGGGGAGGTTGCGGGATGCGAGAGCTTCCGCAAGCAGCTCAAGACAGAGCACCTCTTCTTTGCGACTCGAGCTACACAGAGTGGTGCCAGCTTGAATCATTTTTGCCTGACTCACCCGACGTTACTGAACGTACCTCAGGAAAATGCCATCAGCTTATCGACAAACTGACATGCCCTGCACGCTCAAGCCGGCCAGGATTACTCGACAATGGAGGAGAGAGTCCACCAGCTCCCTCTGTGCCTGGCCGAGTATTCAACACCACTCATCACCACCAGAGCTGGCACGATCTGTAGCTGCAGCTGCTTTTCAGCCCAGACAGGTCAACCGGCTTTGCCATGGCTGCGCCCGTCCCGTCCTGGCCTCGCTGGCTTCCAGACGGCCCTCGGCAAAATCACCAGCCAGGCGTTGCAAGCGCCGCAGGGAAGCCTCTCACAAGAGGCGATTGCGCCCAAACTGCGCATCTGCTGCTCTACCCCGGCATGCTTGGCAAACCTCGCGGGAGGCCACCGCGTCTACAATCTCCCGCGAAGGTGCTTGGGCCTTGGCTCCATGAAACCTCGAGTAACACCTCAGACCTCTTGTGAGAACACTGAGCTCGGACACTACGTACACAGAAGCACAGGAAGCCCCAGCACTGAGGCCACACACTTGTCGGCGCGGTCGGCTCATGCAACGTGCCAGTGGCCCAGCACGCACATCACGCCTGCGCTCGCGGCTCTCAAGTCTGGGAGCTTTGTGCCTCGGAGGGGACATCGTCCTTTTCATCCTGTTCATCGTCATCCCCGTCGTCGATCTCTTTTGTTTGCCTTCGTCGTTTACTTCCTCGGCAGTGGTGGTGGCAACGGAGATGGTGCTGGCGGCCGCACAAGGCGAAGCCGAAATAAGACTGGTAGAGAGACCCATACCGATGATGGCGATGATTATGAGGAGGAGGAGGAGGAGGAGAAGGAGGCTGCTTCTGCGGAGTTGCGAGCTGGGTGGGCCCAATGTTTTCGCAGCGCCGTCTCTCTGTCTCTCCAAGCAACTGAACTTTTTGTCCTCTGGCTTTAGTCACTAGTCTAATGGGAGCGAATGCGCCGCCAGAATGGAGAAATCGGATTGGCTGAACGTCAGTGGTTCTGCATTGCCGCAATTCTACAGGTGTCACGCGGGGTTTGCGTGGTGACAAAGGAATCAAGGCTCTGGCGATTCACTGTCGAGGTTGCAGACTTATTGACTTGACTAGTCTGCTGCCGTTCAGTGCTAACTTCTCAAGAGTCACAGCGGCTCCAATACACTGTCCCATGATTCACATCAGTCGGCAATGTCAGTGCAGACACCGGTAGGCATGGGATCCTCCATTCGTGGCAAACGGAAAACGCCGAAGAGTTGCCGCAGTAGTTTGCGAAGCTTTCCGTCATGCGGAAAGGAAGGGCAAGATTCAGAGGGGCCATGTAGCCGAACGTTGAATTTCGAGGAAGCCGCTGAGAGGGGCTGCTGCAGAATAGGGCACTGAACTTGCAGCTGCTTTGCACGAGCAGCCACTCTCAGAGCCACTGCAAGTGCATCTCCACGGCCCTTTTGCAGATTCCTCGACAGGCTGTACATCATGCACTAAGTAACTATTATCTTCGCGCACGTCCGTGAGACGATCCTGGGATTCGCCGCCATCACGGGCGTCTGACGACCTCGGCTCTACTCCTGCACATCTAGATAGCGAGGAGTCACCTCATGGTGATCAACACGTTCCGTCCATACGGCACATTATCATGCACTTTGCTGTCTTCTTGGATAATAGATGGCAGTAACGACGACGACGACCGGCGACCATGACAAAGGACGACAACGAGGCTGAGGATGATCAGCACTACCATCGTCACACGAATCATGATGCTGATCCCTTTATGACTAGTCTTGTTATACTCGAAACTACCTGTCACTTACTTCCTTTTGTTCTCATAGGACTCTAATTGCAATTCCTCTTGTGCCTCGTATTCTGCTTGTTGTAGTCTCACTGCACTAGAACTGCCTCGCTGAACTCACACCTACGCTTCTGCAGCAGCTGCACCGAGAGTGCGCGTGTGCGACCAGGAAGCCCTGCTGCTCAGCGGACCTCCATGAGAAACTCCTCGAATCAAGGCGGAACTGAACTGCAGAAGCGCGGAAGAAGGTCAGGTGCCTACATCATCCAGACCCCGGGGCCCACTCCGTCTAAGACACTCTTCCAAGACCCACGAGCCTCAACAGTTACTGGACCCGCCCAAGCACAATATATCATATGATACTGCAATTCAATCATTATAGTCTACATCCTAATCTATTTGCAGCATACTACAGTATATCTTTTGCATAATATCAAAGTATACTGTAGCATAGTATCTCTTTATTACACCATAGCATACCCTAGCATACTATCGTATCTTTATCGTATCACAGTGTATTGCAGAATTATAACATAGTCTCCACCGGGCTACTCGGAGGCTGCTTGCCGAGCTGGATGAGGGCACGCTCTGCGGCGAAGGCCGGGCCCTTGCCTACGGAACATATCATATTTAGGGTTCCTTTACAAGGGATCTATAAGGGTTGCTTTAAAAGGGATCTATAAGGGTTCCTTTAAAAGGGATCTATAAGGGTTTGTTTGAATGCCTTTTTCCAACTGCCAGAGAGGAATCCCGGTTGGGACAGTGTCTGCGCAACCCTCAAACTTACCTTCATATTTAGGGTTTAGGGTCTGGGGTTTGGGTTTTTTTTTTTTTTAACCCTCTTTTCTCCCTGTCCCGAAGGTAAGCAAGAACACCAGGTTGGTGGAGGGGTTGAACGGGGAGGCCAGTTCAGCAATGGGGGATTCACCACCCTAACAGGATTTAGGGTTTACGTATCATCCTATAAGTCGAGTAGATCGTAGTACATTCCAATACAACGGTTCAATATAATGTAATACAGTACGATGCAATGCATGGCAGCATGCAAACTTGACATGGCAAAAACAGCGCATTTCTTGAATGCCTGATGGAGCTTTCGGGTCTGGAGCGAATGACAACAGTCTGAGCGTGTGCTTCGTGTTTTCTACCAAGGACTTGCTTCTCATCTGTTTCACGCATCACCATCCACTTCCTATTCGCCTTTGCGTGCGCAAAACCTTAATGTTAGTACTGGTACTACGTACTAGGTTGTCGCTGCTGCTCTTACTTTCTGCCTTGTTTAGCATACTCTCGCACCTCCTAGTTCTGGTATTTAGCATGCTCTTGTCTTACCATCTTCACAACCATGATGGTATCACCCTGACTACTCTTGGAATGATCATTGCAAGCGCTTTCTCCGTCTTCGCTATCCCTCATACCGGTACTAGCGCTGACACATACAAGCAATGCTGCAGTTCTCCGGACGTTGCTTCAGCATCTGTTAATTGTGATTGATGGCGGCATCCCTGCGGCCAATGTATCTTAACCCTTGTGAGCACGTGAGCGCTCGAGCGCGTTGTTCAACAGGACCACTGGGTTGTTACCAATATCCCTTATAGCTTATAACTCTAACTACTACCTCATGCGTAGTGATCGCAATTGCCCCCTGTATGTTGTTGTTGAACGTTCCATTTTCAACGCGGGGAGTCTTGGTAATGGCGACTACGGCTGCTGCGATCTTGCTGTTGTTCTGAAGGCTGGCTTCTTGCATTTGTGGTTGTTGCTGCCGCTGCTCATCATGTGTTCTGCTACGATTCTTCATTCATTCGCCCATTTCTGATCCTCACTGGCGGGGCTACCGCTCACTAGCATAGCATCAATAACGTCCCAAAGTCGGACATGCGACTACTACTGCAATCACTCTCGTCTTGCTGCCACACTTGCACTAGCTTGCAAGCTTCCTCTTCCTCTTCGGGCCATGTGGGGCCCTGCCTGCAGTTCTTGCCTCGCTGCTTCCACACGTCGCGCTGCGGCGCGAGTCATGGCCGGCTCCTGAAGAGCAAAGCTAAAAAACCAGCTCGGAGTAGGGGACAGTGGAGGGCTCAGGCTTGTTCTCAGGCTCCTTACGACGAAGGATATATAACCTTGAAGGGATGGGTTCTTCGAGGGTTTGGGGAGTTGCGGAGCATGAGGGCAAAGTTACTGTGCATAGATCCCCAGATGCTAAACCCTAAATCCTGAGGCCAAAAGCATTGAAACACTCATAGTCCCAGCCACACCCCAAAAAAAACGCTCTAGGCCAGGCAGGCGACATCTCCATATTCGGAGCCGAGCTGGGCTCTGGCAGCCTCAACCTGGAAAGTCGACTGAGAAAATCATGCTTGGAGGTTCATGGGTAGTCATAAGTAGGGTTATAAGTCCCCTAATACGAGCTCTCAGTACAGTTACCCTACTTATAACCCCACTTGTAACTACCCATGAACCTCCTAGTGAGGACATGGCCCTTGTCGCCAGACCTGGGACCTGCATAGAGAAACAGGCTTAAGGCGGAGGAACTGGGCCGCCTCGAATTCCAGACCTCTTCAAAGTATGCAATGCACCTACAGAGGGAGCACTCTTGCATTCCACAGCACCACCTAGTGGGTGTCCAACATCAACTTTTGTGAGGCGGCTTTCTCAGGTCGCAATGTATTCGACGAGGCATCGGGTTGGAAGCAGGGAGACAGCCGTGATGATGATGATGATGACGAAGATGAAGATCAACATGAAGATGATGATGATGACGACGACCATCCTGGTGAACATACAAATCATAATGAGGTTAAAGACAGGGTGCATGTCAAGCTTTAGGCGCAAAAATGTCGCGACATATCCCATAATTGCCCACAGTCTTCAACTGAAAGCCACCCGCAGCTCTGCCGCAGCATTTGCAGCGACGGCCAGCTTAGCCTGGACGGAACACCCACAGCACCTTCTGGATCTAGTGTCGGGCCGATCGGCTGCTCCGGCAAGAGGGGATGCTTCAATGAAGGCACGTAGGTCCCATTCAAACCACTATCACTAGGAATAGAAGCCGGACCCGTGCAAACCCTGAGAGCTTCAAGGCCCGATGCCTCCTGCCCGCCGCTGAACCGCTGCCTGAAGAGCTGCGGACTTCCGAACAACAGGGGAAGAGCAACTGGAACAAGACCTAAGACCCAGCTGGAAAGTCCCAACCTGTTTCTGTCTCAAAAGAACACCGGATGCCACAATCCGAATCGAAGACTGGATGAATCGGGATCTGGCACCCAAAAAATCCCAAAAAAGCTACCACCCTGCAGTGAGTCAAGCCCCTCTGTCTCCCGCGCGGTTCAAGAGCAACAGGTTTCCGACAGCCGGCCATCTACCGGTACTTTGTTCTACGGTGAATCATGAAACAAATCAAGCTGGTCCTGGGAGCAGAACCTAACCGAAATACCAAACCCCAGATCTCCAAGCACATACCTATCTTATGCTCCGGGCCCTGTCATGCCAGGTTACATGATGTTCTCGTCGACCCAGGGTGCCATGGCCAGGGCAGCACCAAAGCGCAGCGGCAGCAGCAGTCTCGCCACCTGAGATGCTCTTTAGCTACTCCTACCATAGTTGGTAAGGCTCTTGGCCACTATGCTCAAATAGTGCTCAGTAGCAGTGGTCGTCGTAGTCGCCGTGGCGGTGGCGGTGGAGGTGGTGGTGGGTGGCAGCAAGCATATGGTCAGCACAGCGTCTTGACGATGACGATAACAAGCACAACACCGAAAACGACCACAACGACGGCCTGCTGTCGTTGTTGTGTCTTCTTCGGAGTGCTTCGGTCTGTGCAATGGATGCAACATGAAACCGCTGAGGATAAGACTGGCAAGAGTTCGTTGACCGTGCTTACAAAAAGGTATGTGTATGTGTATGTGGGTGTGTCTTGAAAGTTAGCTTATACTCATTCATACGTTCACCGAAACCTCTTGTCTTTATGCACAAGGATTTGCTCATTTTCAGCTGTTGCACACAAATCGGCGTTGCACATGGCTAACACAACACACAACACTGGATTGGGCCGTGCACACGCGATGCCTCCACTGGCCTACTTGTCTCGACTTCTGGGGATGCCGGGGACTGTCACCCGGAGCCGTCGGAGGCGTTGACGTGCCTCAAATACTAGAGTTACTAGACTAGAGAGTAGCAGAAAAGTAAATAAATAGGTAAACAGACCGGTAGATGCATGCACGTGTGTGTGTGTGTGTAGACAGTGTGTAGACGGGCAGACAGACAGACAGATAGACAGACAAGCAAGCAAGCAAGCAGGCAGGCAGGCCGACCACGAACCGATGGACGGACGGACAGACATACATGTTGGTACGTATGTAAATTTACATGTTGGGACAGCAAAACCATAGCACACGATGCAAAGACCAGTAGCAGCAACAACTACACCTTACTCTGCATTGTCCTGTTGGGCTTGGCCCTAGAAGATGCTGACTGGCCACGTTGGAGGCAGCAAAGACCATGCCAAAGACCTGGTTGCGATGTCTGTGCTATCCCTGTCCGTCCCCAGCTGATCAAGTTGATGTGGGTTTGTGAAAACTCCGGGCCATGACGACATCGTAGCAAACATCCAACCGGCTGCAGGAACCAGACAACGCACCGAACATCACGAAATGTACGGAAATGCTTCAAGAAAATCTAGGAATGGCAAGCTGCGGCGGCACTCTCTTCCGGCTTGCTGAAGTCGGGCCAGTGGCCAGCAGTTTGAAGGTAGATGAAGACTTCCTCAGCATCCGGCTTTAACTTTAGATTTCTCAAAGATCGACACATCACAGTGCCCGTGACGGATTTGGGCTTGTCTTCTACGTCCCTGGTCCTGGACTTCTGTACCTAACTGGAGGCCTCCATTTCGTCCCAGAGGCGGTGGGGAAGGCGACCGCCCAAAAGATCAGCTCCTTTGCTGATGGATGGTAATGCCAGCACACAGATCACCAGGACTCTGCAAGGCAGTCCACCGCCGAAAGCAAAGCAGTGACGGTCTACAGTGACTATAGTGCCTCACAGGTTGATCATGCTCATCCCTCAGTGCCAAGAGGCAGTAATCACGTAGGAGAGGGTTCCTGGCAGGTGAGCATGTCGGATGTCTGTCACTCTTTGCAGTGGCAGCTCATGAGGCATCCTGCTGCTCCGTACTTCTTCACGTCATCCATGGTGATGTTGCCTCAACGCATGGATGAGAAGGGCCGGCTTTGGAGGAGCTTTCAAAACCGAGCGGCCGTAGGTGGAAGGGTTCCACACATCGAAGGCTTCCGCTTCTGTGGCTTCTGCTTGACGGGCGCATCGACCTCCAAGCTACTCAACACTCCAAAGTGAATGCGGTGATGCGGGGGGCTCGGCCCATGCAACACGCTTGAGCTCGGAAGCTTCTAAGCCTGCCAAAACCAACTAGGCACCAAAACTCGAAACCCCAATAAAACACCTCGTCCCCGGCGCGTGAGGGCAACGGCGGCACCAACGACAGCCCAGCTGCCCACGACCTGAGCCCCAAAAATTTATGGGCTGCCTGCTTCACGACCGGTTGACCGGGTGCACTTGACATCAGCTGCGACGGACACAGCACATTGATGGTACAATACCAGTGCTGCCTCTCAACTACGCTCATCGAAGAGCTCTGTTGTGGCCTTCTGTCAAGCCGCTTTTTTGGCTCCTGTTCGATCAAGTAGCTATCCCACACCTTGCACCCTCGCATAGCCTCATGCCGCTGGGGTCAGCGCCACGGCGCTCGAGTTCTCCCGCAGAGACTGCTGCTTCGCCACGTTCGCTGAGTGAAGTGGAACTGCGCAAAGTGCAGCTTGAGCTCTCTCTTCAGGGTGTAAACACACAGGGGTTCCGACGGATTTGGAGATTGAAGAGCTTCTGGCGTTGATGGCTCATTCTATTCCCGCTTGCAAGATACCTGCTGGTATGCGGAGCAAAGGAACTAACACCACATAGATGAAATCTCAAGCATGAAAAAAACCCACGTAAGAAGGAACAGAACGGCTTTCTCACAAACCCGGGATCATAATCCTCAACTCTACATGCTCCGCCCTTAACCCTTCCAGCCTGTGGAGGGACCCACGGTGCGGGTGCTTGGCGCAGTCAGGAAAGCCTTCAGGCTTGGTCGAGGACATGACATATCATATTCCAATCTATTTGTCACTATCAGATCACAAGTATCAGACTAGCTATACATGACTCTCCCTTGATATCAGTTCCCATTAGTATTTGCGACTGTGAGATGGATACGACTGCGCCACCACTGCCATCACCAGCAGATCAAAAAGACCAACGCACAACCTCAACCACAACCACAACCACCACCACCACTACTACCACCACCACTGCCACGACGACGACAACGACGACAACAGGAACAACACAACGCAAAAGTGACTTGTTCATTGTAATGACCTTGTTTTGTGGAAATGGCGGGCTCGATGGGTAGAGCGTGGAGATTCCAACTCGAATCTTGAGATGCTGGGATCAAAGTGCCCTGAAGAGCTACACGGCTACAGGTTAGGAGAACCAATCTGAAGCACACGTGGACCGTTCTGAGACTTCTCCAAACCACGCTTCTTCAGGTTTCTCTCTCTTCCCGCAGGCCTCCATAGCGGGTGGAGCAGGCTCGGCAAGTTGAGACAGTACGCTGAAGCTCTTTACGCACACCATGCCATTTACAGCAGCACAGGTTGACATGCATGGCAACAGGAACGAAGAGACGCATGACCTGCTGGCCGGCCCTTTTTTCTGCATCTCGTCGTATCCGACATATGCTACAAGTAGCTGTAGAGTCGAATTTGAAAGGTCTGGCACGAGCCTGAAGTCGGGCCATTTTGCAGCACATCCATGGCTGTCGTCCGAAAGCCTCGGTGCCTTTGGGAATCGGCGACACGGGCTTCGAAATGCGGGCATGGCTGCGCAAGAAGGACAGAAGAACAGCCTCCCTTGGCATCTGGACAGATCCGAAAATCGTCTAAAACTTCAAGCAAAGCGGCGCGGCGAAGGTATTTCAAGCCGGCAAAATAACGGTCCCAGAGGAGCCTGGATGGGCCCTGCGTTTGCGGCACTCATTCTCTCAAGAAGGTGGTGCTACGTTTTAGCTCCGTGTAGCTTCCATCGTGTGGGCTGACGCTCTACACGATTGAGCCTGACCCCAAAAAATACAAGCATAAAGGGGAGTCGAACCGAAACTGGCACTATGTGCCATGAGATGCAGGGGTACCAATCCAAGATGGAACCTGATGAATTCGCGTGCCGCAATAAATTGCATGCAGAACCGAATTCGTCACCCTGTCACTGCCCCTCCCTGTGCAGACCACATACTTCTGCTGCAACGGACAGAGACTTGCAATAGCTCTAGTGTATGTCCGGTTCCTCCAATTCAGAGTCCGCAAGCACCTGTGACTGACCTCTAGAGCTCAAGTCACTGTCGGTGGAAGATCTAACGCTCGAGGGAGCACACTGCTCTATTAAGTGCCTGGCGCACAGAAGCCCGCTTCCCGGGCGACCAGTCCTTCAGACCAAACTGCAACGTTGAAGCCTGGCACTCCGTGAGGATCCCCAAGAGGCCTGAGGAGAAAAAAGCTACCCAAACTCCCAAACCTTCCTGAAAAATGATCCCGGAACATCCCGATAACCCCCCTAAACCCCGAACGGGATCCTCCACGTTGCTCGCGACGGAGCTCCGAGGCGAGGAGCGCAGCGACACCCGCAGACCAGCTCTTCGACCGCCGAGCTTGTCCTGAAGGGGGACTGGAGATGAGGGATCTAGGGCTTAAGGTTCGGAATGCTCTAGGCCATCATAGTCTTAGGCAAAGCCGACTGGCAGGCAACGTCTCCGCGAGGATATCGGCCCATTTCACGAGTCGAGAGTGAGGAATCAATTGTCTGGATTTCTTCTGTGACCTTCATGTTTGTTTGGACGGGCCACAGCGATGTCGGCCACCAGTCGCTCCAGGTCATCGAAACCTGGCGCGAGGTGACAATCTGAGACCACGAGACATGCATGCCTGGAAAGGAAGATCTTCGCAGAGCGCGTCGCATGATGGCAGTGATCAGCAGTTGCGATGCTACTGAGCTAGTGTCTGTCAAGCAGGAAACCTATGCAACATCAAAGCCGAATTCAGCTGATCCAACCGACTCAGCAATGCTTTCACCTCGAAGCGATGACCGTGTGAACGCTGCTCCGCAACTCCGGCATCCGGTAGCGCTTTCGCTCCACGCATCCCACACCGCTTGGACTGCCAAGTCAACTCCGCCCTCTAAATCACGCCAAAATCCTTCTCACACAAAGCCCGAACAGCACGAGAAGCGTTTTGAAGCCGTCTTTTCGAACTTGTCGAGTTCTGATTCCTGGCCAGTGCTCGCAACTCGCACGGGTGCTCTAGCGGCAATGCCCAACGTCAAACAAGCTCAGGAATGTCACGCAACGGTTGCCATCAGATTTGCTCGTGCTACAGCCCTTCGCTGTCTGAGTGTCATGACAGCTGCTCGAGTTGTGAGTGTAAGCGAGGGAGAGCGAGCGAGAGACACATAGAGACACGGATGTAGCGCATGAGACGCTCGTGTTAGCTATAAGCTGCTTCTTCTGGGCCCTTAGCGAGCGCTCCCCAGAGGCCTCGGAGTCGCGCAGCTCTGGCCAGGGCTCGCTCGGGGAGGCCAGGCCTCACGGCTCAGGGTTTGGAGCGACAAAGACTGGAACGGAGATGGATGGGACACAGAGGGACGAAGAAGAAGAGGAAGAAGAAAGGCGTGATTTCAAAGTGAAACGATCAGCTGCAATCGAAGATGGGCCCCGGTTTACAAGGTCTTGAAGGGAGCCGAGCCAAGCTAGAGGAGTCCAGTAGAAAGGTTCTCCGTCGCTCCAACCCCGAGCTGAATGGGGCCATGCACCTCCGAAGAGCTGCACCGGTAGCCCGCTGGAGCCATCAAATTCTTCGAGCCTGTTGTCGAGACTGCTTTAGCTCCGACAACATCAACCACTCACGCGGCCGGGCAGGAAGCTGGTGTAAGCAGTGAGACTAGGCATGAGTTTTTCATCATAAGTTCGAGAGAATCGGAAGACAATGGCATGTTCGCAGCGTAAGCTTGCAGGAATGTCGCTGGCACGTGAGTCCGCGGAAGAGACAACAAGCGAGAGACTTCTCGCCAAGGATCGTAGGTATACCTCCCCGTGGCCCTGGGTCAGATGCATCCAGAGGACAGGGTGCGTCCTCGCAGCGTTTCTTTGGCAAATCCATGCAAGAGCTGGGCCGGGCATCATTACAACGCAGTCACTCGCAAAGGCACAGTCCAGGTTCAGGCTGCGGATGAACCGCTTCCATCTGCTGTCCGAGATGAGGGACAAAGCCTGCCACAGACATGGAGATTTGCCATTCCATTGAGTGGGAATTGCGTATCATTGCTACAGAGAAGGGAGAAGCGACTTATGGGCTGACGTCTGAATGGTCCCTGGACTGCAACGTCGCACCAGAAGTTCTGAGACTCAGGCTCTTCAGCCAAGAGGCCGTGTCGAAGATGTTGCTTCCTCGTTTCAGCCGCGCGTAGCCCAAGGCATCCTTGAAGCTGGCTCCGAAGCGCTGGCAAAGCTGCGCCACCTCGGAAGCCCGAAGGCGAAGGCCGCCGAGGCCGCGGCCAGCAGAAGCCGAGGCCGCGGCCATCAAGTTCATGAGGAAGACATGCCAAAAGCCGGCGAAGGCCAAGATAAACCAGGCCAAGAGAGGCTCAGAGGCCGTAGCAATCTCTTCGAAGCTGTTGGCGCTGTATGTCTTGACAGACACTGAGAGCAGGGACTGGAAGGCAGATGGAAGGCTGCGGAAATCACGAAACTGCACCCCGGATGTGCTCCCAGTCTGGGGTAGACAGGCCAGGGCAGATGCGAAGGAAGCCGTCAGGAAGGCGAGAATACAGCAGTACACGAACATGTCCCACCACAAGCTGGCCACGAGCAGCACAAAGCAGGAGAGATGGATGTTGCCTCGGCCGCAGTGTATCTCGGAAACCCTCGCATGTTCCCTAGCAAAACGAAGCGATGCCGTGTGTATTGCGAGGGCGCGCCTACTTCAAATCTTGAATCGCAAGACGTTGACCCAATCTGAACCACAGCACCCAACTACCGTGTTCTGCTTCTGCATTAGCATTGCTTTAGCTTTAGCCTCGTCTTCAGGAGCTACATGCAGGGGTATAACTCGCGCTCCTCTTCCTCCACAACCCTTTCTTTCCACCATATCCAGGGCCAAACCCGCTCCAAATTCAGGCCCCAAACCGCAAATCCAGGCCCAGCCCCAAATTCAGGTCTCAGACTCCAAATTTAAGCCCCAAATCCAGGCGCCAAACCCCAAATCCAGGCCCCAGACAGGCCTAGCCCCAAATCCAGGGTTGAGGGTTTAGCGCCTTTTGGAAGTCAAGCATGTTTTCGGGCACTGGAAAAAAACCAGCAGCGCGGACAGCAGCCCACGGAGCGACTGTCGCAAGCACCGGCGCTAATGAGCGGACAGGCAACGCTAAATCCCAGTGGAAGCAACTCTTCGAAGCTTCTGACTGGTATGCTTCAATTGTAATCTGGTATGACACACTGCTCAAACCGACTCCCTACATTGTCTTGTGTTTCAGGCGCCAACACTGCCCCCTTCTGCTGTGCCGAGTTCAAAGGTAGACTTTCCTGCAGGTGACGCCCATAGAAAGAACCTCAACCTCTTCGGGATTCTGGGATGCTGTCTCTGCACGCTTTACGGTGTTACGGCGTTTCTTTTCATTAGTTATCCTTATGGAGTCGTCCTACCCAGACGGCATACCTTGGCATGCTCTTGAAGACATGCCCACAGCTGAGCTGCTGTGAATGAGTTCAGAAGTGAGGACGAAGTAGAGCAGCATTGGTATGCCTGAGAGCACAATGATGGCAAACTTCTGGGGCCGAAACATGATCGAACCACTGCTGCCCATGACCCTGCCACCACTGTTAGACGCTCCCGAAACCGGTCGGCCTGTCTCGATTTGAATGCCAAGGCACATGAGACCCGTCGATGCCAGCTCTCAACATCACAAAGGCGCTGAGAAAAGTGACAGCATTCCAGAACCTGGATGGGGCCGCTGCTTTCGACCCTGCGTTGCGCTTTCGGCGATTCTTTTCCGTTCGCACTCCTCCTTTCAGCTGAAGATAAGGTCGTACCACCTTGCCAGGTGTCCAGTCATGCTTCCGAGTAGTAGTACCTCCCGACCTGGACCCTTCCTGAGTTTCGACTGTGCCACCTGACCGACGCCGGCAATTCCACTGCTGTTGACAAGGCAGAATAAAGCTAAAACGAAAAGGAACGGCTGAGCGCCATGCTCCGCATGTCTCGGAAAACGCGATTCCTCAAGTCCTTAAGTGTCGCCATCGCTTAGGTCAGCCGCCGGGGAAAGAAGCTGCTGCATCGGGCGGCTAGACAGTTCAAAGTTCAGAAAGTTTAGGCCCTGTCTTCGACAGGTGCCCATTTGTTCCTAGGTCCTGCGCTGCCTCTACATGTTTGTTAGAATGCACAGGTGGCTCCATGCTTCACAGCACGAGCTCGCGGGGTGGCTGGAGCGAAGGGATCGGTCCTCACCGGCGGAAGAAGAAAGTGCGCAAACTCCTCCTGAGCCACTTCGCCACTAAGGTCCTCATCCATGGCACGCAAGATGAGCAGCAGATCCATCCTCTTCATTTTTGGGAATGCCCGCAAGATGCAAAACTCAAACTCTGCGACGCTGAGGGTGTCATCGCCGTCCAGGTTCCACAGCCGCCACACCGCACTCAACGGGTCGATGTGGTGTCCCTCCAACAGACTTTCGTCATGGTGATCCTGTAAGGCGACCCAGTCTTGGAAGGACTTGAAGGTGATGCATCCACATCCAAAACCGGCGAGGATGAAGGCCTTGTCGAGCATGGCTTCCTTGAGATCAGGATAGGCCCTGCGGACCATCAGAGAGAACTCTGATTTGCTCAGGATGTTATCACGGTCTTTGTCCGCCATGAAGAAGCTGGCCTGCAGGACCTTCTGCCTGAGTGCCTCGATGACATCGTGATCAACCACTGGAATCATGGTTGGATCAATCTTCTTCGGCAGGATGCTCCGTTGATTCCCCGATAGCTGCTTCGCTTCACACTTCTTCTGGCTTCCGAGGTACACCATCCCCTAAAACGGTCAGGGATCCTTGAGCATGCATCTACCACCCTTGAGCTCTCGAGCAAAATCACATGGGCTCAGCACACACAAGGAGCAGTGGGCAGGAGCATCGAACGGTCCATCCTGCGAGTCATGCAAGCTTCTGGGCGAGTCATGCAAGCCGAGCAACCCAAGGATCGTGCTGAAGACAGTGCAGTACCGGCTCCATACAAAGGAGTGCCTGAGATGCTGGAGTATCTCTTGATCCAGTGCCCACTGCATGGGAGGAACCACGCTGGCACACGCAAGCTGAAGGAGGCATGCAAAGCTGGCACGAGGCAGTTGGACGTTCTCATCATCGCTCAATCACATGAACTCCCTTTCTGAGTTTTATGCCCAGGAGCAAGCAAGTGCAGCACTAGGATGACTTCCACAAAATCCTTGAAAGATCTCGCGAGGTAAGCCGGCAGCGGAAAGCAGCAGTACTTGCAGGTGTCCTCCAACGGAGCACGCTTTCAGTGTAATATATACGTACTTATGTATATACATGTATACATATACATATATGTAGACATATATTTACACGTATACGTATACGTAAAGATAGTATTGAACAACTTTGGGCGCCCCACCTTGGCAGCCAGTGCACTGGCGAACATGTATGCATGTTTTGCCAGTAGCTGGCCCAGGCTAACGGCATAGGTGAACAGCCGGCAGCCTATGACCTGGAGTAGGCGGCATGGAAAATGTGAAAAAGGCATGCAAAAGAGCAGCGGGAAACCATACAGGAAATTGGCCGCTTGACAACTCACATCACGCTGGGGCTCTGCCTTGGGAGCATTTTTGAGACAGGCGTCGACAAACCGGGCGGGGCCGTCGTAATCGATGCTTGGAATATGCTGGAAGCCGATGATGAAGCTGAGCAACGAGAGCACAAACCTCGAAACATCCCGCAGGGGGCTAGCAGTGATTGGTGTCCAGGCTGCTCCCCGAATTTCCGCATGTCAAAGGAAACATCTCTCGTGCCAGGCCCCAGACACACACACACACACACTTGAGAATCTTGAACCGATTCATGAACACGCCTCCAATCGAAGACTGGCTGACACTTCTCTCTCTACCAACACAGTCTGCGAGGATCTTACCGTTCAGGCAGTTGTCCATGACATGATCATGCACGCCGCACCGACTTGTCCCACGATGTGCAGACCACACCCGATCACCCCAGTGGTGCGACAAGAGCAGTCGGCCAATCGAACAACTCTACTGTTTCAGGCCATGCAAACTCCAGGCTCTCCAATGCTCATTAATGAAGAACCCTCTCATCTGCGAAATGGAGGCATCAACCAAGGAGCTGAAGCAAGTGCAGCGAAGTCGATTGGCATGGTCCTGCCTACCCCTAGGTCTACCATGCTCGCACCCCAGACTCCAACACCATCAACCGCGAAACTCTGGACCCATGTTTCGGCCCAGGTAACAGCACCTTCGAGTACAAGAAGGCAGTCCCGCAAATGCGAGACCACAGCAGGTCCGACACAAAGATGGCGCAGGGATGGCAGATCACCACCGGGTCGCTGTGCCTGGGTCGGGAGAGGTGCAATTTCCAAACTTTGAGAAAGGCTGCAACGCTTTCCACATTGGATTCGAACCCTGGTGGCATTGTTTAGATTGTCCTGGCAAGCCGTGCGCAATCCTACCCCACAAGGCTAAAAACCCGAAGAATGCTCCCGCCGACCCAGCTGCAAACTGAAATGCCTGGTGGCATCAAGGAAGATGCCCACAAACCCAAACCCAAAAACCCAAGAAACTCGAGGCTTTGTATGCCACGCTGCTTGACCATCTCTGGGATGGAGCTGGTGAGTCTGAGCTCCTGTGGCGGAAGCACCCATTTAAGGCCCTAAGATGTCTGCAATGCAAAAGAGCGTAGAAGCGGAAAGCGAACCCAAAAGCGCTAGAAATGCTGGTCCCCAGCTCAGGCAGGCTTCCCCCAGACCCAGATACCTTCTGGAGGGAGGTGTCCGCGAAGGTCTAACGACAAAGATGCCCAACCCAGCTCAGGTCCTCATCCACCAGAAGCGGCCCGACATAGTAGTTGACGCGACGCATGCCCTTGGATCTTCAGGATGTGAGCAGCAGGGCTCGAGGTTTCCCGAAGTTGCCCATGGTATCAAGAAGCGAAAGCTACACCTCACAATGGCGGCTCCATGTTATGACCCTTTCCCAAGGCAAAACAAAAGCATTGAAAGAGCGGACAGCACGATTGTCACTCGGAATGCAAGATGCATCAACCTGCCACCCTTGGCAAAGCTGCCAAAACCTAATATCTCACGGGCCCACCTGCGTCACCTTGCTGGATTTCCAGATGAGCCCATCCAGCCTGGACTGGTCAGGGGCTTTCCGGGAAGACTGCAAATCCATCTCTCTCTAGCTCTCTAGCTATCTCCATCTACCCACCTCTGCATTGATGCATCCACCTAGCACGCGAGATCGGTAAGTACGCATTGCATGTATAACACATTGTATGTACGTATGTATGTATGTATGTATGTATGTATGTGTATATATATATATATATACATATATATATATATACATATATATATACATATATATATATATATATATATACATATATATATATATATATATATATAATATATATATATACGTTTTGTGGGACAGACAACACAGGGAGAGAGGGAGAGAGGAGAGAGAGAGAGAGAGAGAGAGAGAGAGAGAGAGAGCGAGAGAGAGAGAGAGAGAGAGGAGAGGAGAGCGAGCGCGAGCGCGAGCGCGCGAGCGCGAGCGCGAGCGCGAGCACGAGCGCGAGCGCGAGCGCGAGCGCGAGCGCGAGGGCGAGCGCGAGAGCGAGAGCGAGAGCGAGAGCGAGAGCGAGAGCGAGAGCGAGAGCGAGAGCGAGCGCGAGAGAGGGAGAGAGAGACAGACAGACACAGAGGGGCGGAGAGACAGAGAGACGGAGAGACAGACAGACGGAGAGGCAGAGAGACAGAGAGAGACAGAGACAGAGAGACAGAGACAGAGAGACAGACAGAGAGCTCGAGCGCGAGCGAGCGAGGGAGGCAAGGGATGGAGGGAAGGAGGAGGGACTGAGGGAGGGAGGGACGGGGGGAGCTTTGACAGACACGGACATGGATATTGCATGGAGCGATGGAGAGATGACAGACAGAGAGATGGCACAAGGAAGAGAGAGAGTGAGACGTAGGCATAGGTGTAGTTTAGTTGTGTATGCATGTGTATATACATAAATAGTGTGCATGCATTTAAGTATCGCCGTACATTTTCATCTACCTAGCTACCCAATGTATCTCATGTATGTTGCATACACATATATTTATAATCTGTACATCTGCGAACCTTTGTACAAGATAGGCTCGATGAAGTCTCCTTGCGCATGAGATGTGACGAGTCTACGAAGGTGTAGCCGAGCGGCAATGTGTGCAGCAGTGAGGGTGCCCGTCGGCAAAGAACTGGCACAATGTCCGGGTGTCGTTTCCACAATGCCTCCAAGGGTCCAGGCTTAGGGGTTACGGCGCCTAGGGTAAGCGCTTCATAACACTATTTGACAAGTGCTGGTGCCGCGACAAGCTCTCCGCGTTTTTGATAGACACGCCCGAACCGGGAATGCATCATCAACCCATATCAACGCTCATTTTTTGCTCTGAACGTGCGCCAGCCCCGCACAAGATCCGAAGCAGCTCGGGGTGGCTGAAGTGCCCCCTAAGTAAAGTCTATGCTGTTATAGTACAGTATAGCATAGTGTATAGTATAGTATGTTGAAAATCTTCACTGATGTCAGCCTCGCACTAAGCTTCAGGACGCAGGCGCGGCAACATGTAAGATGCCACGGACAGTGCCGAGGCCAATGGATTCGAGACTGTTCATGTGCTGACACAAGTGGTTGTCGGTTTTCAGGCAACTCGCGACCCTACCGTTTTGAGGTAGGGAATGTGCAACTAACTCTCTGTGACAACCTCAAGAAAGCCCTGCTGCACGGATGCACTTTTCCGCTCTGGCTGCTCTGCTACACGGGTGCTATCGACGCATGCTGCTGTGCCCACCATGCTAGACGGAATACACATGAAATGGACGTGTTTATGCGCCGGGAATCAAGCAAACGAGGACAACAGCGAGGAAAAAGACTGACGAACAAACAACACCTGAGCAATCAGGCAACCTCCAAACGTGACTGCATTGTCATCGACCTCGCATGACCAAGACCCAACCTGATTCAGTACCCGTCCAAGGTCGGTCGGAAGCAAGTCTCGCAACCCTCGACAATCCATGACTATCCCGCCTCCATGCCATAGTAGTACCGTGCTCGGTCTGCTCGGATAGTCAACAGGTCAATGAAGATGGCCCGTACGGTGTTCAGAGCTCCACTCTCCTGGGGCTGTCAGAGTTCAGTTATGGCCGGTAGTGCTGAAGATTAAGCATTGGTCGCTTCTAGATACCAGCAGTGACATGCGAGAAGCAGTAGTTGGTACTAGCTAGAAGCTGAAAACTGTCAGTAACCATCACTGGTTTTGAGCAGCTAGCAGTAAAGCACGCCTGCCGTGTGGCTAGTCGCATGAGCTTTTGGGTTATAGATGACAGTGGCTCATGGTAAAGTTCAGCAATGCTACCACTACTAGTACTGCTAATGGTACTATTGTTACAACTACTACCACTACCACTACCACTACCACTACCACTACCACCACCACCACCACTACCACTACCACTACCACTACCACTACCACTACCACTACCACTACCACTACCACTACCACTACCACTACCACTACCACTACCACTACCACTACTACTACTACTACTACTACTACTACTACTACTACTACTACTACTACTACTACTACTACTACTACTACTACTACTACTACTACTACTACTACTACTACTACTACTACTATACTACTACTACTACTACTACTACTACTACTACTACTACTACTACTACTACTACTACTACTACTACTACTACTACTACTACTACTACTACTACTACTACTACTACTACTACTACTACTACTACTACTACTACTACTACTACTACTACTACTACTACTACTACTACTGCTACTACTACTACTACTACTACCACTACTACTACTACTACTACTACTACTACTACTACTACTACTACTCCTACTCCTACTGCTACTGCTACTGCTACTGCTACTGCTACTGCTACTGCTACTGCGACTGCGACTACGACTACGACTACGACTACGACTACGACTACGACTACGACTGCTGCTGCTACTACTACTCCTGCTGCTGCTACTTTAACGACACCGTCGATGACTACTACTGCGACTACGACTACGACTACGACTACGACTACGCTACGACGTCGTCCACGACGACGACTGCGATGACGACGACTGATACTACGACAACGGCTCGACGACTACTACTTCCACTTCCACTTCTACTTCTACTACGACTTTCTAAAGGATCACGCTTCGTGCAAGTTCGAGATTGCCGATTCACTTTGGCCAATGCTGACGGGCTGGCACTGGCTCTTCCGACACACAGGAAGACTCTTAGTCTGGCTTATGTTTAGCGAGATCTGCTTTGTTTAACCATTTCCATCCAGCATCAATGGCCCAGAGAAGAGGTGATATGGACTCCGTGCCAACTTGGACTTGGAGGAGCACCTCAGCTCCATCAAAAAGCAACACAGCAAGACCCCGCAGATTTCGACCGTGATGCGCTGCCTTGCAGCCGGAACTACGAGCTTGAGAATTCGACAGTTCTCAAACGTTCTGCCCGCTTTGTGCTAGAATTCGCATATGGTCGCACGGTATCTTGCTGAAGTCTTGCTCACGGTGTTCGTCTGGAGACTTCCGGACGAAGCAGAGACCAGGTTGAGCATTTAGTGGAATCTTCGAGCTCTGGAGCCACGACAACTTCAACCAAAGTGGCAACCCACATGAGACCGAAAGCCTCTCAGTGTGGCCGAAGACACGGAGTCCCTGCATCGGCGGGGTGCGGATGCCACGGCCTTTCTCAGCTCCCGGGCTGAATCCTCGAGCGGCAAAGACCCAGTAGTACTCGAGTTCAGAGTTTAGGAAGGAGCCGCCAGAGCTGTATGTACCTATCTCGAACGTCAGATCGTCGTCTGCATTTATGCATCAGCTGGTCAGCTGGTCCTTGCTGATGGATTTCATGACGGCGGTAGAGCCTCAGAGTCGGGGTTTGAGACGGGCAGTGCAAGGCGGAACCTGCCAGGATTGCAAACGTCGGGCCACCACGACACTGCTTGCAAACAGCTTGAGATGCAGACCTTCCGCCAAAGTCCTGAGCAACATTCGCGACACCTTGGATGATAGCAAGGAGAGCTGAAACCTACTTCCAAATCGTATTGCCGTTGGGTCCCCATAGCCCCACCCAGTTTAAGCCCAAGAATCCAAGCTGGAGCTCCAGCGCAGGCCGGGGAGCCAAGCTTCTTCGCCTCGGCGGGCGATCACGAGCACCACCAAAGAAGAAGCAAAAGAAGAAGTGCTTTGGAGCGCCGGAGGCAAGAAAAGGAAACTGCGACCGCATGCTTGCTGCGCAGTCGCTGTACTTGCTCACCGTGCCCATCAAGGACTCTTGAAAAATTCCAATGAAGTCCTGGCAAACGCTGTGCAGATCAGATGCTGATAGGGAGGCAGCTTGCAGTCATTGGTTCGACGGAAGCCGAGTATCAAGCAAGGCATTCAGAAGCTCTGCGTCAACCGAAATTCAGATCCACACATGACATGTCCGCTGTGCATAGCGCCGATTGTATCTATCATCAAGCCCAAGCAAAATCAAGTTGAAAAGGCTTTATGGTCCTCAGGGATCCCCATCCCGGCGTGCACGAGTCCAAGGGCGGAAACAGTCCGGACGGTGGAGTGCGTCTTGCAAAAAATCTCCGTCCTGGTGCAAGCTTAGGGTCTACCGCATTGTGTCATGAATAGACAGAGGCTTCGAGAGGCATGAAAACTTGTGTCACTTGTGCACTTCGTCAACCACGGTCATAACACCGGTGCAACAAGCCTAGCCAGTGCACGACGATGCTGCATCTCATCGCCCGCCCCGTTTGTCTGCAACTGCTTCTTACGACAGGCGTCAGCAGGTTCAGTATTTTCCCTCCAAGCCAGGACAGCCGCTGATTGTTCGCCTTGACAGTGTCCTGCATCGAACGAGTTCAAAACTCCACAAATAGAAATGAACGCGCAGTGATCGAAATCCCCCGCTCCTGGCATTCTGGACAGTTTCTGATGAAGTCTTCCCAAATCTCGAGCCGACAATCTGCCGCCTCCTCATCATCCATGGAACCTCAACCGATGTTGGCCAGATGCGAACACATGTTTGCGAAGCTGTTCGAGTCCGAAAGGCCCATGAAGCTTCGCAGGTGGCTCTGGTACCTCTCCCAAGGGCAAGGCACGGCACTGAACAAGTCGTGGAACAGATGGGACCGGCTACACTGTTCCGAGCTACCTAAAAAACTCATTGCATTTGGGGGATTACCAGGTTGATGTCAGGAACCTTCCTTCTCAAGACTTCAAACCTTTGGTCTCAAGCTCCCTTCCAGTCAATTGTTTTAATCCTTAGAAAAGTCAGACCTGGAGGATCAGGAAACACCAATAGCGCGCTTGTTTAGGGAAAGTCATCTGGTCGCACTGGCCCAGCGGCAGCTTAACCTCAAGGAGTGGTTCAACACATTGCCAGAACCAGCGCCACGCTTCTTCCTTTGCTGCAGGTACTCTGGCTCACACGCAGGCATGCATTGTGGTGTTGGAGCTGTCGGGGAGATGTGAGATTGATTAAGCCAATCAAGCCTGATGAAGCTTCAGAATTTTGGTATGTATGGCGGAGCTATTGGACGTGATGCCGCAGCTGGCGCATGCATTCTGGAATGAGATCGCTGCAGCGGAAACAATCCCCTGGCTTTTTTTCCAGGTCTCGTGCTTCATCTTCCAGTCCTGCAGCTGGAGGTGCTGAAACGATGTGTGCACGCTACAGGTCTCGACCCCTGCTCTTCCGGCAACGTCCGCAACGCGTACCGAAGAAGACTCGCCCTGAGAACGCCCTAGCACTCCAGCCCCCCCACTCCTTCTGCAAGAGCGACCTCAAAGAGGCAAACAGCACGGACTGGAAGCCTTGAAGGTCTACCTGGCCACAAGGTTGTGTGAGAACACGGCACATCCAGATTCAGAACGAGGAACATTGATACTCACCGTGCCTTCTCCGTGCGCGAGTGGCGCCAAAGAAGCAAAGACAGGACGTCACACTCCTCCTGTAGCCTGGCGATGTTGCCTCATGGAGGGTCAAGGTATCAAGGACTATCTGTGCTCGATGAGGACAAAGATCAACACAAGGAGCACTCTGTCTTTGAGCAGCCTTCCTAGCTGCAGCAAGCAATGAAGGGCCAGGTTGCCAATATTCAGCACCAGTGCATCCATCGAGTTCACCTCGGCTGACTTTGAGTAACACTTTCCACACTCCTTCCATGGTCCGTGCCCCGAACAGCCCGATCTCGCCCCTTAGAGTGGGCAAAGGCACGATCTCAGAGAGCCAAGACGGGTTGCCGAGGCCCATGACCGAGGCATTAAAGTGCGCCATCTCCGCGAAAGTGCTGGGCACGAGGGCTTCGGAGACCACCGCCTTTGCGCCTCCCTTTTCCTTCCCGGCCTTGAGGTCCTCCGCAGCTTGCTCAGTCTCTTTTTCCGAGGACTTCTCTTCCTCGTAGGTGAGCTCGATCTCGGTGTCTACCTTCTTCTCCGTTAGCTTCTCTTTCTCCGGCGATTCTGCGCCCACAGCTCTCCAGCTCGTGACGAGCAAACGAACCCTCTTTGCGTAGTGTCGCTGCGTTGATATCAGGCACTTTCCCACAGCATCTATGAGCTCGGCGATGCCCACTTGGAATGCCTCTGATGCGCTGCCCAGCTTGGCAAGAATGGTGTCCACTAGCAGCGTCTTGAAAGCCTCGAGATCGGCGGCTTCGATGGCCACGTCCAGGTGCCGCAGGGCGACGAACTCAATTCGTGGCCGCAGAAGGTTGGGTTGACTCAAAGCAGTCACCAGGTCATCAAGGATTCGCCATACCTGCAAGATGGGGCCCAAGAGAATTTAGCACATCCAACTATAGGCAAGCATGGAGAGACGAACTCATCCAAGCTGCGGTGGTCGAACGCTTGGACATATGCAGCGTATCCGGCAAGGCCTCCACAACCCGTCACTCGCTTTCTAGATCCCTCGTCCCAAAGAAGCACTCACAAGCCTCCGAGAGCAACCTGAGGAAGTCTTTTGCCACATTGGGCCGACGCTGGAGTGTCCCCCATGTCTGCCGAACCTTCAGGGCTTATCTTCCGGGCTATCCAGAGGAATCAGAAACTCCAAAAGCTGCCTGCATGGACAACAACCCTCCACTTCTGTGGAAGGGAATCTAAAAGAGTCCGATGAAGCCACTGCTTGTTGCCGCAAATCGTCTCACCAAGCTCAAAGCTTCCGCGAGCTCTGGCGGGCCCGACCGGTGCAGTGGCTTGGCATCTAGACCGCACATCGAGAAATCAAGAGAATTGGGCCCAAGTTTGCAGTGCCGCCCTCTAGACATCTTCGATGTTGCGAGATCGGTAAAGCTGCTCTCCACACGTGTGATGTATCAGGAATGAAAGTTTTGCTGTTTCAAGTGCTTCGTGTGGCATAGCATCAATAAGTCATCCACTGCCTGCATCACTACCAGTCACTACCACGAGCCAGTTCTGCCTCCTGCCTCCTCCAGCACCGGCTCCTCCAGCTCTGGCAACTCCACGAAGCTGGCGGCGTCCATGGCACGAGGCAAGTCTCTCTCTCATCAGCTTTGACAAGGCGTGAGAATCTGACAGCGATGACGACTACAGCCACTCTGCTAAAAGACCGGGGTCCTGCAACGATTATCTCAACGATTCTACCACCGGTCTCCGTTCTGCAAGACGAGGGAGGGAGGAAAATGAGAGTGGCTGCGGGCACGAGAGCAGCAACTGAGGAGCAGTCCAGCAGCCTACACCTCGAAGCGCCGAACCCCCCAGCACCAAAGGAGAAAGCACGAAGGCACCCGAAGCCCCAAGACTCAGTGATGCTTAGTGTCTCGTTGCAATGACTCCGGCACAGCTGGACCAGAAACCTCAGCACCGTCCTGCAACGAGGGGCCTGATTGCAAAGTCTGATCATCGGAGACTCAAAGATGCTGGACCAGACTCCCACAGTCGAAACACGACCCCAAACCAGCATCTACAGTGGCACAGGAAGGCCTGGGTGCAGCCGCAGCAGCAAAGGGTGCGGACTGGTGAGGCACACGGATTCAGGCTTCGTGACGAGGACTTTCGGGTGTTGGGAAAGAGCTCGGGCTCATGCAGCATGGCAACATCCGAACTCCGACAAAATCACATGTTAGCAACATCGAGCATCACTGTGACTGTTGCTACAACGGTTCTGAAGACCACGATCGGAAAGTATCTACGGCAGCACCCATGAGGCCTCCGGCCGAGCAACTGGACGGTGACCTTGCATGCTTTTGCACCCGAAAACCGGTATCCACTTATGCTGATAGGTCTGGATGCTACAGTATGGTTTGCAGCGCTGCTGAAACCTGCGAGTTTTGAATGTGACAAGAGGAGCTTGCCATTGGTAGCTCCGACTTCGCCAGAAGTCTCTCACAGAACATGCTCCTGCAAAACCCTGTCCGCCCTTTTTAGTCAACGAACGACTGGAGGCAGCCATGGCAGAATGCCGGCTGAATTTCCAGCATGCTGGATCTAAATCTGGATTTCGCCACTGCTGTTCTATTCAAGCTTCATGGAAAACCCGGGACAGCCCCAGTGCAATTCGAAAGGAGAGAACCGCATCTCCCGCTACGAAGAGGGTTGTTATACTAGTGACTCTCCTAGGCTTCAGGTTCCAGCATGCAAGCTTTGCTGCCTCGCACAGGACCTCGTGAAGAGCCGGGGCAATCCCAAAAAGCGCCCGCGTGTCCTTGCTCACCCGTGTTCCGCCAAAAGGGAAGGCACGAGACTCTCCACGTTGACCTTGCTAAAACAAGACAAACGTCTCAATTCGAATTGAAAGCCGTCAGCGTCAGTGGAGGCTCTGACCCACCGTACTTGGTGCAACAATGATTTCCTGGGTCTTGATCCTGCATCACAGAAGCCATTACAAACATAATACGAAGTTGTAGCTGGAATCGTCCAAACCATCATCATAAGCTTGCCCGGATTCTACTTGAGGAATCTGGGCGGCCGTGCTGAATCGTTACAACACTGCGAGCTGAACTGGGTGACGCTGGACGGAATTCAGCTAGATTCCATGCCCGTGGGCGCAAAAGCTGTCAGAGTAATTCTGGAGCACATCATGCAACGCTTCCTCCAGACACCAGCATGTGGCATGCCGGAAAACCGACATTCTCTCGCACTGCCCGAGAAGCACGTCGTGAGATGTCGTGAGCCGGTGCACTGGTGGACAGCTGTGCTATAAACAAGGTCAGGACCATGCCTGACCAAGCTAAAGGGCTTTGCAACGCCGAGTCAGAAAGTGACAGGGAAGGGTGTTCCTTTGAACTCTTGTTGCTTCGGAACTCGCTCGCCGCTTGCACCTCGAGCAGGTCGGCCATTATCCATGCACTACGGAGATGCATCCAGGATGCATCCAAAAAGGCAGGGCCTCAGGTAACCGGGTGGCTATCGGCCCGCTAGGCTCATTCCGAAAACCACTGGAGTTCTGCGGCGGGGATAGCACACCTACAGTCTCCGCGACCGAACCTCTGTTCAGTGAAACTTGTCGAGATAGAGGCAAGAAAGCTGGGAAAATGAGCTGGCTGCAGCAGTGAACTGGCCTCAGCAGGCTCACCAACAGAGAGGCAAAATGTCTACCTTTCTTTCTTCTCTGGCTCTTGTATCCGCCGAAATTCGTAGAAATAACCCCGTCTTGCTTTGTGATGCACTGTGTGCTGCTTTGTCCGTCACATGTGCCTTTTGCTTTCCGTTTCTTGTCGGCTGCTTGCATCGTACCCTAAACTTAAACCCGAAATGCCCAGCCTAAAGCCCAATCCCCAAACCTCCGAAGATGCCTACATGCCAAACGCTAAACCCTAAATCACAAAACCCGTAAAGCCCAAACCCCTCAACGCTGAACCCTAAACCCAATGCCCCAATCCCAAACCCTGAACTCCAGCCCCAACCTGCTGCCTTCTGTTCTGTCTTGAAGCCAAATCTTCCAACCCCAAGCTCAAGCCCTGTTTCACCCAAAAAAAATCTAGACCCGAAACAAGCCCCTGGCAAGCCCAAACCCGGTCCCCAAACCCGCAAGGGCGCAAAGCCCAAACCCGATAATGGATCCCAAGCTCCCAACCCTAAAGAGTAGACCGAAAGCCCCACTCTGTTCCCGCAAACCTTCACCCCCAAACCGTAAGCTTCAAAGTCAAGACCCCAAAGCATAAAGCCTAGTTGCAGAAGCCTTCAAGGTGCAAACCCCGAAGCCAAAAACCCTAAACACCCCTCAACCCTCTACTTGAAACACAAGCCGTAAGTAAACCCCAAGCATGAGACCCGAAGCCCGAGGCCCCAATGACCCTCGACTGTAATGTACTGTAATAGTAACAGAGTAGTCCTTAAACTCAAGCGCTGCACCCTCGTCCTCAAACCGTAAACCATAAACCCAAAGCACGTCAAATCCTGAGCCCCAACCACCGCAAGCCGTAAGGTCTAAAGAATCTAAAGTGTTTTGTTACAACCCCAAACGCCAGACCCTAGCTGGGCCCAAACACCTGAGACAACCTCAGATGCCAAACCCTAAAACCCAAACCGTAAAAAAAACGGAAAAGACGTGGTTAACCCGAATACCCGAGACCCAAGACCCCGAGGCCAAAACCCTCACCGACAAGCCGTACAAGGCGGGAAAAGATACAACTAGACCCAAAACGAAGGACACACCCCACAGTTCATTCCACGTCAAGTCCTGAGGGCAAGACTACCAGCCGAAGAAGTTCCGTAGCGCTTCAGCCCAGCTGAGCTCCGCATCACTCTCGGAGGCGGCGCCCTGATGCGGAGCTCGTTGGCTTCGCGTTGGCATGGTTTCAGACCGAAGGCCCAACACGACAGGCCCCTGCCGCTCGTGGGCTCTCACAGCTCATCGAACGGGCCTCGTCCTCATTGGCCTGGGACTCTTCAGAGTCGGATGCCTAGCACAGCTACCCAGCTCTCTCCTCGGCTGACTTTACTCCAACTTCAGTGGAAGCTGCTCTTTCTAAGCCCTCGTCCTCGCTCTCTTCTCCTTGTTCTTCAGGCTTCTCACCTGATCGCAAGCCCCCCACATCGGCTGAAAAGGTGTATTTCAGGGACTGGCTCAACTGATGTGGAATGGACTCCTCGGGTGCATCAGACAACCCAAACTACAAATTGCGTGCATTAACCATTCAAGTGATCCAACTGCAGGAGGTGCGCCGCCTTCGCCGTCACTTTCTTCCTCACCATCCCCATCCTCCTCGCTGTCGCCGTCGCCTTCCTCATCTTCGTCGTCCTCCTCTTGGTCCGAGTCCTCCTCCTGCGAGGGTAAACAGCATCTCGATGCTACACAGGGACTGAGGAATGATCAAACAGTCTCTGGCACAGCGAACGACAATGCCTGGCTGGCACATCATGGAGATTGCAACAATTGCTCATCCAAGCTCCTGCGGCAGCTCAACCTCTCGGACGGCAGAGAGCTCACTCGGTGGCATCGGCAACACAAGGGTCGTAGCCTTGCAGCCGGCAGCATTCCACAAGCACAGGCACTCCACCCTTGATCTTGTCGGAGGCAAGACAAACAAATCCAAGTGCGTACAATGCTGCTGCTGATGACCCTAGCTTGACTGCCTAGACTAACTCTACTAGATGTTCAACACTTTATGCGAGAACAGGGAGTTGGGCCCAAGTGAACACCGGGGCAAACTGCAACCAGCGTCTCCCCGCAGTAACAGACCAAATGTCGGCTCGATAGAAACAATACTAACATGTGTCCGCAGCTGAACATGGCTCTACGTCCAAAAAGCAGAAGTTCTGCTGCGCTCCTGTGAAGCCCGGCCTGGGCAGGATCCGGGAAGACCGACGTCGGTGGCTCCGGCACATAGGGCCTGGAAGTGAGGTCAGTTCCAGGCACGATTCCGTGAGCGACGACGAGAAATGACGACTCTGGAGTCGAAACTTCGGATAACTTCGGGATGGAGGCTGAGATGTGCAGCCAAGCCACGCCACCGGCACAGGTGCGGTGGGTACGAGCGAGACAGGTTGAATGCCTTGCCAGGCCAGAAAACTGCAGCATGCCGAAAAGCCATACAGAAAGGGGTGTGTAAGACTCATGCAGTCTGTATTCATTTGCTGCACGAAGTGGATCCAGTGCCGCAGGAACCGTCATCACGAAACTGCCTGCAACAGCTGCCATGGCTGCAACTCCCGCGGATGCCTCGATTCGTCAGGTGCGGATTGAGGTTTGCATCCTTGTTTTAGAGCCTTTAGTCGGACCCTTGTGTAATATCCGTTCAGACTAGGAGCTGCCACTGCCAAGGCATCCAAGCCCGTGGCCGGCACTTGCTCCTGCCGCGACAAGCCAGGACGTCGTGAGGTCGCTCTAAACCCTGAATTTTTGGCGCCAGGACTCTCGACTCTGGCACTGAATCTCAACTCTGCACCCGGTATCTCAGAATTTTTGACAAGAAGCCATGAGCGCCATGAAGCGCCCCGACCGGAGCCTCGGAAGAGAGCTGAGAAACGCCAAAAGGAGTGAACGCATCCCCTCTACGCTGCGCATCTCTGTGCGCCAGGTTGAGGCACAAGTAGTAGTTTTAGTGCTGCTATGTGTGCTACGCGCGGAGACACGGAATGACACAGATACGAAACTGGAGAGAGAAAGAGCAAACAGTTAAAGGGTTGTAGTCTCACGACCAGACCAAGGTGTGCGACGACCCACAGGCGCATGTTGCCAGGCGATGGCTTAAATTCCTAGATTCGTAGATGTTGCCACGGAGGTGACGACTATGTCGACCCAAGCGATACTACCTGTCTACAACGAGCAGCAAAAAAGAGCGGGGAGTTCAGACGTTCGGTCTACTTCGTCAACCCGATTGCATGACAAACACTTGCTTTCATGCATTGGGTCAGAAGCGCTAGTCGGCCAAGCAGCTTACGCAGATTCTCAAGCTTCGGATCACTTCGTGCATCGCCAAGCTTGGCGGAGCCAGCTTCAACCGCCAACCTGCATATACGTCAGGCACATCGAGAACCGCAGCTGCAACAGTTCAAAGCTCGGGCCCCAGCTCAAGCATGTTCATGCCCAGGTCTAGACGCTCCTCCATTCTCAGAGCTGACTCGCGATCGAACGCTCTGCAGGCTTGAATCTTGATCTTCAGGACTCAAGAGAGGCTAAGCCCTAAGCTAAGCTCACGGAGCAACTCCTCAGCTGTAGTTGGCAAACCCGCGACGATGCCTCGGAAGCCTGAAGCAGTACAAACGGTCCATGACACTTCGCACCCCCGGAGGCGTGACTGATGTGGAGCATAGTGGCCGAGCCATGCTGCTATGAGAAGTTCTCTCAGATCTGTCAGGGACATGGCGCGACAACTCTTCTGGACAGTGATTCCTCAAAGCAAACAGTCAGGCATACGCTGGAAATTCCTGCACCACGAGTCAACGGGCCACCTGCACCCACAGAAAGGCTTCGAGCCATCCCGCGATATGCATCGCCTGCACGGTGGAAAAGGGAGACGGGATATTGAAGTGCAGCCCAGTCAGCTCCACTTCTCAAACTGCTTGGCCACATGTACCAAACGGATCGTGCTTCTGAGTTTCCACCTGACTTCTGACCGCAAAGGTCGTCGTGCTGGCTGTTCGCTTCGCAGTACTTGAGGTACGCCTGCACAGTGCACTTCGCACCACCTTCCTGGGCCTGGAGAAAACCTGGAAGCGGAAAATAGACGAGGGCTGACGGCTGCAGATGTAGACTGCAGATGATGCGGCTTTGTTTCCTTTCCTCTGCGTGGCCTGTCCCGGAACATCCCAGGCCAGCAAATTGTCCGCATCCCGCATGAAGCGCTGATAAGTGCTGTCGCTTTTGGCCTGTTTTTTGGAAAACATCTCTTTCACTCTGCTGCTGCGTTCCTTGAAGCACGAGACACTCGCCTGGACATCCGGCGGAGGAGGTGCCGGCGGCGTGATGTTCTGGAGGGGTTGCAGCTGTAGTTCTTGCACCTTGCAGAACTTGACATGACCTGCCTCCAGTTCTGCTTGCGATACATGCTGCACCTGCTGGAAAAGCGGGATGTCCTGCATGGGCTGCAGTTGAAGGAGCTCCTTGTCAGTTGGGGCTGCATGCGAGTCTGTTTGAATCGAGCGATATCAAAGCGTCTGAGCGTGAAATTAGATCACACGAAGGAAATAAGTGTCACCACGCCTGCGGAAATGGGGCTGGTTGCAGATCAACCTCCCAGGAAGGATGCCTGCAGTTCGGAGCTCTCACAGTCTCCGTAAGTGCACTCGCCACGAATTGCTCTCGCACCTCGCATCAGCACGGCACTGGTCGTCTGTGCTGCGGCCACGCCTAGCTGCAGCAGGGTCCTGCGGCACCCGGTTGCACCCGCCACCAACCACATCATCCCCTTGTGATCCCCGCGTGCAGTGCTCTCCTCCTGGCAGGATGGGAGGAGGCCGTCGAAGGGCCTCGATGACCACAATGCGCAAGCACACGACGACGGCACCGCTGCAAAGGCAGAAACAGGCTCGGAGCCGTATCTCGGGGTGGCACGCAGCACTTCGCGGGTCACCCGTGTCAAAGAGGGCCTTGCAGGGCGTACCAACAATGACATCTCCTCGTGCAAAGGATGCAGCACTTCTTGCCCGCCATGTCTTACATTGGCACCAAAACCATGGCATTGCAGCTCCAAGCCATGCCGCCCTTACGCTGCCGACGGTGATTTCTTTGAAGATCCCTGGCCCCATGGAAGCCGCCGGAAGACTGGAAGCCCGCCTGCCCCCCACCGGGCTTGGGAATCGAAGCATCGAGGCCTAAGTCTCACGGGCATCTCCTCGCGTTCGAAGCGTGGATCGCGAAAGAACATATGCGCCGAGGCTCTTCGGCCCCTCCTGCGAGAGCCTTGTGTGACCTGATGAGGGCACCCGACCCGAAGCAGCTGAAGAGGAATCCTTCCAAGCGTAGCCCTCTTCCGACCTCGACCTCGGACGCCTTCGGCAGCGCCGCCTCCAGGTGCCGTGGCCGCGGTGGGGCCTGGCAGGGAAGCCTCTTTGAGATGATGCATTGCGGACCGGTTGATGAACCACGACATCTAGGAGTCTAGGAGGACAGCAAGGATCTTCGACAGAATCCGGAGGCACAACATTTTCCGTGTGATCAGCTGTCAGAACCTCCAAAGATCTTCGAGAGAATCCGGAAGCAGACTCGTCGTCTTTATGGGATTTCCCAAGAGCACAGATGTGCGTCAGGAGGACGCGCGAGGGGATTGACGACAGAGCCCACAAATGACTGCGACAACAAGACTTCTGCATGATCTCGCTGGAAAGCGGATCTTCCTCTACTACAAGCTGGACACCGGTAAAGCACTGTGAGCGGTGGGTACTTTTCTTTTGGTCTCGTTTGGACTGTTCTCGCAGACGTCATTCACAGCAAGCCGTGGGGAAGCCATTCATGACGACTAAGCCTGACTTCAGAAGCTCCCTGCAATTCGTATTAAGGCTGCGCGTGGCAGAGGTTGCAGAAGCAACACTTGCTGAGAAGGACGGAGCACCCTGCAAGAACCTCCCCACCTCCGCCTTCTCAGGCACGGCGGGGCATCTGATGGATGGAGCATCCAAGTTGCAGTCCTCCGAAAGCGGCTGCAAGGAAAAGGCCTGCAGCGTGCTTTGTGATTGCGCGGCTTGGGATACAAGTGAAGGAAGACAAGTGGTCCGTTTGGGGGTCTTTACCCTGAACTTTCATCCTCAAACCTAGAAGCCTTGCGTGAGGAACAACTTGGCTCGTGCAAAGGACCCACAGCCTCCGGAAGCTGCGGAAGCTCGGCAACAAGGCGCGAGGCAGGCATCGTGTCAAAGGCCTGGGCCTGCCCAGGGAAGGAAGACTTGGCGACTTGGCACTGTGACTTTGATTGGCCTAAGACCAGTCACTCAAAACAGCAAGGGAGACTCGGGGACTCATGGCGTGATCAGGAAACCCACACTCAGGCTCTCAACTGCCCACGTCTGCCCTTTGAATCGTGTTTCTGGCGCAGATCCTAACCACGTAGCAGTTCCGCTGTATTGGCACAAGTCTCAGGACGTCTTCGGCTTGTGCCTTCTTCGCTTCCGGTAACTCTTCCGGTGGCATGGGGAAGATCTGGTCAAGACTGTTCTGGATGTCGGCCTCCAAGAACATCATGCAGAAAAGGGCATGAAACTCGAAACTCAGATCAGACCTTTAAGGCATCCGAGAACCGAAGCAGCGGCTCAAAGGAAACAAAGTGCTTGGCACCCGGCCGCCGGAAGCTTCTCCACGTAGATTGGCTGCCTGCCAGCAGGCCAAGTCAAGGGACTCTGGACATTGTGCTGCTACTTTCTATGTGCATGCACATAAAAAGTAGCAGCACAATGAAGTCAGGTGTTGAAAGGGCACTTGCACATGTCTCGTCACCTTGTGTGAGACATGTGCCTTCCAGCGCATCGTGCACAACTTTTCACTCAAACAGTCCCGTCGACCAGACGATCCGACCTGTCGAGCATGTGCAATTCCTGAGACGTCTTGAAGGCGCTGAAGATCTCGTCAAGATCCACCCTGTGGCGCTGCGATCTGAGGAACCGCTTCTGATGCCCCAAAAGGAGATCAGCCTCTCGCTGCCGTTTCTGCTGCGGCTACGAGAAGCTGCCAGGGGATCGAACTCCTTCGGGAAGTCCGAGAAGGCCTCGCAGTGAGAACACGACAAATCATAGGGCCTAACCAGGAAGCTAGAGGAAGTCCACGGCTGCGGCCGTGGCCTCCATGGGACCACCCTGTCCGTGAGTCTGCTCTGCATCGAGATGCACTATGTCGTCACCTGACGGCATGAGCAGGGCAAGCTGCAAGCTGAGAGCATGCGTCAGCTCACACCACCCAGCATCTCGAGTCTCAATCACGCAAGTTCAACCAGGTAAGTCACCGACGAACCTTCAAGCTCCTTTCACCACTGTCCAGCCTAGGCGTTTGGCCGAGCTGACCTTGCGAACTTCCATCTCCGGGGTACCTGTCCCATCCCCCAACAAGACAAAGACAAAGGCATGACAGCTTGGAGGCTGAAGCAAGGCAGTCTGGAAAACGCCATGCCTGGCTCAGCAGGTGACGCAGATGCTGACCGGAGTGGCTCCTCCCGGACGCTGCCTGAAGGAGCAACGAGAACCCCCATTCCTTCCATCTTCCGGGGCAACAAACACTCTGTGGACACAAATCGGCCGAAGGAGCCCGCAATATTTGACAGCAACGCTCACTACATGGTGCCATGCCCCAATGCCTGCAAACGAGGTGGAACGAGGCACCTTGGTCGGCAAGCTGCAAAATGCATGAGGTGTTGGCTCAACCTTTTGCACACACCCTGCTTCTGGAATCTGTTTTCACATCACAAACAGAGCCAGCCGGCACTCTGCAATGGAGGAAACTCTTGCCACGTATCTCGTTTGGATCTCCCCTCTGCCCTGCCTCATGGATGCTCAATATCCGGGGCACGGCCTGGCGAACTTGCTCCGATGGGAAGTGTGTGGCCAGGAGACAGGGACTATTATCGCTATCATCGCACGTGCGGAGTATGTTGAAGGGCGGCAGCAGCAATCACTATCATCACCACCACAACCAGCACCAAACCACTGGCACCTGCACATGAACCCAGTGACAGAGCGAATTGGACGGACCTCCAGCGTGGCCAAGCTGCGGTACTCATGATCCGCCATGGGTGCCACGTGCGCACCAAGATGCCGAAGCTGAGTATGTTGACAACATGGGGTCGGACTTGTGCTTCAACCCATTGCAAGATACTGGAGCTGCGACTTCAAGTCCTGCTACTTCCCGCAGACAAACAGGAAGTCTACTTGCGGCTTGTTTATCCAGCGAACGGACACTTGCCTTCGGCTCGCAACGATGCTGACATGACATGTCCAAGCGGCGACGATGAGTGCAACCACAACCCAACCGCAGTGGCCGCACATGTCAAAAGCATGCCATGAAGTGGAATACGTGAGCTTCAACATCTAATCGTCTTGGTGCCCGTATGCTTGATCCAAAGCCAACCATCCCACCAAAGCTGCGGCATCAATCAGGGACTTTCGGATACATTAACCACCGGCAACCACACCATCCACGCTCGGGTTCCCACCCGGCAGCTTCAGCGGTCGCCCCGTCATATCGCGACAAGCCTTCGGCGCATCACTGGAAGAGAAAACACATGGCAGATGGCTGCATGAGATTTACAGTATGTGTTTCAACGTTTGTGGTGCAGCTGTATTCCTCAAAACCACATCCCATATGCATGGACTGGCTGGGACCTCAGGACTTCTTCCGTCTGCACTGCCAAACCAAACACTTCATCGATCCATGTGTTCATGGCACCCCAGCAACGAATCCAAAGCCTTCCAACCAATGCTGCGGCAGTGGCACAAACGCAAGCAACACGGCTCAATGTCAAGTCAAGATGCAGCCTGCAGAGGGTTTTGTGGCCTGGAACCATACAGAGTTTCAGGATCCGGGACGTTTTGGTGGATGCAAACCCGCAGTGAAATCTCTAGCAAAGAACCGACCTCCAAACTGCTAAAAGCGTGCACATGATGAGCCGGGTGCTCCACACTACACACTACACCCGGCTAAGAAATGAATCATGAGCAAAACAGCATCAACACCGATGAAAAGGACAATTCTTAGATGACGTTCTTGTAGCTCAAACATCAACATGTTTTTGTGCAGACCAGTTTGTCTCTAGTCACCACAATAAGAAGCCAAACAAATTTATGAAATCGACATGACAAGTTCGGACGGCCCCTTCAAGCACCACATCCACTTGAGGTTGCTAACTTTCCTACCGGGTTCTTGTGGGCGTGTGTTGGTCGGCGCATAGGCAAGCATCAGATATCGGCAAGCATGAGTACATTCCACTGTGATCGAAACAACAAGGGCCTCGTAACGGTAGCGTTTAGGGACTTACGACTGCGACGGCTTCGTGGCTCCCTAAACCCCTAAACCCTAAACCCCAAGCCACGGCCAAAGCGACATCGCAACTCTGAACGATTCAGTTGTTGCTTCGAGTAGTTCGATTCCAAAACATATACCCGGTGTTATGCCCGGGGCTCGCACATCTCCAATCTGCAAAAATGTGCCTTATGTGTAAAAAAAAATATATATATATATATATATATATATATGTGTCGAAACTTTCGTCGAAACTCGCACGTACGTGGTAGTACGAATTTATAAAAGTCATGAGAATATCAGAAAACACTCAGGCCAGGAATCATTTCTTCTCAGAGTCTCAGAGCGTCTCCGCCCGAAAGCATGCGGAGAATCCCGGAGTCGGGATAGCAACAGCTTCAGCAAAAGGTGGCACAGCCCCGTGGGTGCCGAAAACGAAGTTTTAGCCCAATGGCAAATGCATTGGGCTGCGCCGCAGGTGCCCCCCCTGTCTCACACACATGACTTGGTGATCTAGAGACCTAGAACACAACACACGTGACAACCATATCAAATCACATAGATTATAAACTTATCACAACACCTAACCGGTCATGTGATGCAGGCTCCACCCGCAAAAGTCCACAGCTCAGCTGGCTTCTCACTGTTCTCACTCAGCAGCCTGTCCTTCCTGAACCGCCTGATCCGCCGGAGGGTCCTTGTCCTTGCTCTTGTCACTCTCGTCGTACAGCGCCAAGAACTCTTCCATCTTCGCGACATCGCGGCCGGTGTTTCTCAAGATCTCAATCACACGACCGTAATTGGTCTTCGATGCCTCGGTCGTCAGCATATAAGACTTCCTGACGCCGTACACGAGAGGGGTAGTTCCATTGCACTGTTCAGCAATGATCCATCCTTGTGGGATGAACGCGACATCGTCTTGTTTCACGGTGGCAGCCCAGCCGATCGATTTGTCGGCATCCTCCGCGAAATCCAAGATGTACTGAATGAGATCATCGCATTTGGGATCAGCGACTTTCTCAGACAACCTGGATGCCACCTCCTCCACTGGGAAAGCCACGACATTCATGGATCCCATCGCCAAGACGCGAATCATGGCCGCACCATTTGGACACAACCAGCAGCCAGCCATCTTGTTGTCAAAGCCGACATACCACAAGTTGTTGTGAAAGAGTTCGCCTTCCTTCACGGTGCTGAGATCAAGCCTGCAGGGCTGCAGGAAACACTGCGGTGCTATGTTGAAAAAACATGTGGCTTTAGCGAACTGTTGTTTGAGAGCTATTCGACGAAAAGCTACTTTACTAAATGTGTCGCCTGGTTTACTTTACTAAATGTGTTCCCCACTAACTACTTTACTACATGTGTCGCCCGCTTTGCACGCCCCAATGCCCAATAACTACTTTTTTACATGTGTCGCCCGGTTTGCTCATCTACTACATATGTGTTTCCTGGTTTGCTCGCCCGAAAAACTACTCTACTACACGTGTAACTGTGTAACCCGGTTTGCTCGCACCAAAGGCTGCTTTTGTCTAAGTTCTAAGAATCGCAATAACTAACTAGGACGGGGAGTCGCAGCGTCCATGATTCGTGAGAGCTCGATCCTTTGGCGGATGTTGCAACAAGACACAGAAGCTTCGCAAAGCATGGGTTGGACACTGCTTTCGAACCAAACTGCGCAATACACTCAAAAGTCACCATACACACAATCGGACTTTCATGCACTCAGCTATCACCCGGCCTTTTGTCATCACATGGGAACACCTTGTGCATCAATGCCTCGGCAGCCTCCTTGCCACATTTGGCAATCACGGCTGCGATTGCACGTCCCTCGGCCTTAAAGGAATTCGCCTTCTTGTAGACGCCTCCAAACTCGCTGAGCTTCACCGTCACATCGCCCTGATTGCGCCACGTCTTGGCTTGCTCACATGCGCGGAGGACCGAAGGCTTGTCAAGGTGCGCGGCCACGTCGAAATCCTTGCCATCGTTCTCGACAAAGGCGTTCCACGCCGTTTGGTCAATGCCGAACACTTTGTGAGCACTGCCCTTGAGCAACTTGACTTTTGCCGCCGCTGCTTTGGCATGCTCACGGACCTTCTGCAGCTCCTTGTTCTCCTCATCCTTCTTCTCCTTCGCTGATGCACGCTCCTTGTTCCTGGGCCTTTTGCTTGATGTAGTTCACGACATCGGTTCCTACCTTCTTCAATGCCTTCGAAAACAGCTCAACCACGGCGGCGTCCTGCTTCATGATGCGGGTGAACGTGTCGTCGACAGCCTGGGCATTCAACAGCTGCAGCATTGCTTGAGCCTCCAGCTTGAAGAAGGTTTTCGAGTGCAGGACCGCATCCGCCTTGACAAGAGCGACGTCCCCCATGGTCGCCAACTGCTCCTTGAGGGCCTGGTCTGCAGCCGCGACCGCTTCACGATTCTTTTCAGCATCGTCGCCAATGGCCACGAACTTCTTCCATTCATCCACCAAGCCCTGGCACGAAGCGATGGTCTTTTCGTACGATGTCATCACAGCGTCTTTGGCGGTCTCCTGCTCAAGCTTCTCGCTGGCCTCCTGAAGCTTTGTCCTGGCCTCCACGAGCGAGGCCTCCAAAGCCTCAGCCTTCTCTCTCACAAGCTCGAGCTTTGTGTTTTTAAAGGCTGAAAGAGCTGCACCGGTCATCTTCTCGAAGCGCATTCGCTTCCTCTTCGCCTCCGGAGTCTCAATCTCTGCATCCTTGTCCTCGTTCTCATCCGATTGCTTTCTCTTTTGCGGGGTCACGACGAGCTCCTCACCCATTGATGCATCCTGACGGAGCCAGGATTCAGCCTGTCCAAGACCCGCAGTAGAGCCAGCATGCTTCATCAGGATGTCCCGGTCAGCCTCCGACAAGTTTTTGTACTGCTGAGATCCTTCTTCCACCTTGGCCAACACCGTCCGATCTTTATCTCTATGCTTTTCTGCCACTACAGGCAACCAAAGCCTCAGAGAATTGCCAATCCCAAGGCTGTCTCGCTCAATGCTTTCATCAGCGAGGTATTTTTCCCACTCGCTTTTGCTTTGCTCTTTAGACCAGCCCATGATATTCTCACCACGCTTCAGCCATTGTCCATATTCGTAGGGAGTAGTGCCCTCTCGATAACGGACCGTTCTTGCCACGACGAACTCCCGTCTGAAGGCAGACCAATCAATCAATGACTTTCTGCGCCACTTGCCATCAGACGGATTGTCTGAGGAGAACTTCAAGAACACTTCTCTCGCACGATTTGCATTGATAACGGCTTGCTCCAGCGTAGCGGTTTCCCCTTTGCTTTTGGCCTGGTAGTACAAGCAATCGTACTGGCGATTGTGCGACAAGCACCATCGCTTTCCTTTGCAGCATGGCTCTGGGCACACAAAGCAGGTCTTCGGAAGCTGCTTGGCCTTGGCTTTGGGAGCACGCTTGCCCCTGCTCGTAGCTTCTGCTGATTTGGCCTCCTGGGCCAAGAGCTCCTGCTCCATTGCACCTTCCCCGAAATCCATCTCCATGCTCACGAGGCTGGCTGCAATCTGGAAGTTCTGGAACTCGAGAGGTGTCGAGAGGACAGACAAGGAGGCCAGGAATGGCAAGTCAGGTGGATGCAAGGGCTCAAGAAAAATCTAGCATGCCGTGTACCATGGATCCTGCATGTCATGCTGTGATTCTGAAGCAAAATGCATCATGCCGTCACGCCAGCTGCGGGAAAGCACGGGGTTTTCGAGAACGATGCTGATCGAAGCTGGCTGGCAATTCGCAGCGGTCTTCAAACTAGCTAGTCCGGCAGATACGACTGACACCACTTGCACATGTCACGCCAAACTCTGCGAAGCGTGCAGCTTCTGTCTTTCATTGCAATTTGCCAAAGGCTCAAGGCTACGGTCCATGCTGCTTTGGCATTGCATAAACGCACAAACTAGAGTAACTAGAGGAGGCAACAAGTTCAACCGGAGGCAGCTGCAGCACACGCGGTACAATTATGTTAAAGGCATCGAGCGGCATATCAGGATTTCCCTCGGGGGCCTCAGTCCTCGGCCTGGGCATGTGAGTGATCTGAGGCTGAAACCATTGAAAGCAACGACTTGCTTGACAGTGCTCGCAAGAGACCCCGCTCTGGTTGCACTGACATGGCCCGGTTAATCCGGATGGAATGAGCCAATATGTAAAGAAGCCAGGAGCCCATCACAGGAAGGTGCCACCCATTGCCTAAAAGCATCTGTTGCTGAGAGTGTGGCATCTGTTCAAGCACCTTTGCAATCGGAGACGAGGCATCTTTCATGAAAAAGCCGTGCGCTTGATAAAGCTCTCGGTGTGTCAGCGTCCGTTGGGCCTGCCACGAGTGAACCGTGCCATGTGTAAGCATGGACGGTAGGATGCGGCCCGGAGTGCTGGCACCTTTACCGCAGTTCTGCTCCAAGTCTGCGAACCAGGTAAGGTCTTCACCTTGAATCGACTTCCTCAAGTCGTCGTACTCACTGTACCTCAACAGCTGCCCTGGTGCATACATTTGATTGAGCGGAATCTTTGCAGTGTCTGGATTTTCACAGAGACAGAAACCACGCTTCTGGGCCAGCCGGCCGAGCTCTTTCACAACATCTGCATTGTCGGCAAACAGAAAAACATCAGCGGTTGCCTCCATCTGTGCCGCAAAGAACGACTTAAAGTGATCGAGTAGTTGCTCTTGCGGCGGTCCCAACCAGATCATGCTTGCTTTGCTGAGGCCGCAAGTAAAAACACGCCTGCGACGAACAGGCCAACCCAAATCTGTGGCAGACACCACAATGTGCAGCACGTCGTGGCTGCTTTCCAGTGGATTGCGGAGCTTCGCCTGCACAGTACGGGCACAACAGGACTTGTACAGTGGGTTTCTGATTGCACGACATGAGCTGAACTGCAAGAAGTGTGTAACAGCACGCCTTTCGTATGTGTTGCACCGACTTCCTGAACCTATCCTCAAGTCCTGCCTCCACGGGATATCTCGGAGTGCATTCGGACACAAAGAAGTCTTCTTCGCACTGCTCACCTCGGTGTCTGCGTTCTGCCAACCAGACTGCATGGGGTCGCTCCGAAACATCAGCGAATTGAAGGCTCTTCCCTGCTGACGACCAGCCACAGCAGGTTGTTCCTGCCAGGTTGATTCTCAACTGCGCCGTACCCGCACAGATCGGCTCAGTGCAAAGGCCAGGCTCTGCACTGCCAGACTTTGTTCTGCGCCTCCTCAAAACTGGTGCCTCAACAGGAGGAGAACACTGAGGAAACACGAAGCATCCTCGGCCATGGACACTGCAGGGGCTCTTTGCATCTCTTGGAAAGAGCCAAGCACGATTGTCCATCAAATATTGCCCCATGCTCTCATATGCTTTGACAAGCTCACCCTTCCCAACCTTTTCTGTAGGTAGCATAGCATCAAGTAGAGAGCGTGCTTCAGGCGGTAGGCGATCGTTTAGATCACCCATCACACATATCTTGTCTTCATGCAAATGGCTGATTGCCTGCAACACTTTTTGCTGTGGGGCCCCCACATCACTGAACCGACAAAACCGCACAGCTGACGCATGATCTGCAAAAGCTTCATACGTCTGCAAAGCCTTGGTGATGCCAAACATGCACTCGTGCTCTCCTGCCAGGCCACTATAATCGGAGTACATGAGCAAACCAAGCTGCAAGTTGTGCTTCAACCGCTCAAAACGCTCCCCTCTGCTGCCATCTTCTGTGTCCACCAGATGACGCAAGGCAGTCTGTGGCCACTCGCAGAAATCATTCAACGATCGCGGCCCTGGCTTCATGCCCTGGCACCCTCACAGATCCATGTGGCCGTGGATCCTAATTAGATTCCTAGTTTCAAAGTGCTGTGCCTCAAAAGCAACACGGCCATGCTATCATGTGCGATACCCAATAGGCTGGCAAGCAAATATCTCCGTTACGCTTGTGTCACTTCGAGGCTGTGCCAGATGATCCGGTTGGCAATGCTGTTGCACAGCTGGCACAGGCTAGGAGTCCGCACAACTGCACAACATGTTAAGATGTCAAGCATGGACCGACATGCTGGACAGGACTTGTGACTGGACCGACCCGCGACAGGCACAACAAGGCACAAGTGCAAGTGCAACTGTACTTGTCCGAGACCCATCAGGCCAGGGCATTTAGAGCTGCAGCACCCCGCCCCTCCCCTCCCCGTGCCCCACGGCAGGCCCACTCTGAGACTGCATCCCCCTCTCTTGATGGTCCAAACCCAACGTACACCAACCCAGCCCGGTGTACCTTTGCTCAAGCCCTCCTCCTCTCTGCCAGCCAAACGAAACGTACACCAACCCAGCCCGGTGTACCTTTGCTCTTTGCTCAAGCCCTCCTCCTCTCTGCCAGCCAAACGAAACGTACACCAACCCAGCCCGGTGTACCTTTGCTGTTTCCCCCTCCTAGCACGGAGTGCTTTAAAACCCCCCGGGCTTCAGGCTTTCGGCTTCATGTGAACACAGAATCACAGAACAAACATGTCACGCAGAAGGCTTCTCTCATTCTGTCTTCTCAAGCTGCGGCTCTAACTCTCACTCCTACTGACGAGACCAGCAAAGGTGGACAGGCTCGGGAAGGCGGGGCTTGGCTTCTCAAGCAGTGGAGTGGACTACTACGGGGTCGGGCCGGGTGGTGTCATCAGCTGCCAACTGTCATTGTCGGACGGTATTGCAGTGATATTTCCGGAATAGAAGCGGAACGTCGGCTGACTTTGGTGAGTTTGAAACAAGGCATCGCGACTCGACTTGCGACTCATGCGACCTGGGACCTGAGCCTGAGCTTCCGTTGCTTGCAAACGACCGAGCCGGGACCGGCATCCCGACACCAGGGCGGCACAGGGTTTCTGACGCAGACTCTAAAAACGCGGCTCCAACCATAACACAGACAATATGCCTCTCTGTCTCTTGCCACTCACGCTTGCCACTCACTCTTTCCCTGTCTCTCTGTGGTGTGTCTTGGTCTTGTGCTAGCCGGCTAGCCGGTCCACGCCCATCCGAATCTATGTGTCTTCGTCTTGTGCTAGCCGGTCCACGCCCATCCGAATTCTATGTTTCTTCGTCTTGTGTTGTGCTGTATTTGCAACAAACAGCTAATTGAGTTTGCTCCTTTCTCTCTCTCGCTCTCTCTCTCTCTCTCTCTCTCTCTCTCTCTCTCTCTCTCTCTCTCTCTCTCTCTCTCTCTCTCTCTCTCTCTCTCTCTCTTCTCTCTCTCTCTCTCTCTCTCTCTCTCTCTCTCTCTCTCTCTCTCTCTCTCTCTCTCTCTCTCTCTCTCTCTCTCTCTCTCTCTCTCTCTCTCTCTCTCTCTCTCTCTCTCTCTCTCTCTCTCTCTGCCTCTGTTTCCCTCTCTGCACAGCACACTGCACACTCTGCCCACTCGCACAAGACCGCAGCCGCAACATGGTGAACATGTCACTGCACTCACTGCACTCACATCATGTCACTGACTGTCAGCAATAAGAACAAGACATCAAGTACATCAAGAACGAACTGATTGAATGCGAGATACGCTGCCAACTGTCCGGAACATGTACAAGAATATAGTTCATAGCTCTTACGAGAGTACATAGTTTACATTTTGTAGAGTTTAGTACAGGAGTCCCGCATCCGCGAATGTTTGGCAACTTGGAGCCCGTGTGGGCCGCGTGGGTTCCGTTTGGGCCTTTGCAGCACTCTGCGGCACCTCTGCGGGCCCATTTGGGGCAAATCCTCCGAGCTTCCCGGCCTGCCAGCCCCGGAGTGCCGGGGCCAGCATGCAATTTCGAGCAATTCCGAGCGTTTCGAGCAACCCCTGGAGTTTCGAGCAAGCCCCCGGAGTTTCGAGCAAACCGCTTTTATTTCGAGCAAACGGCTTGTATTTCGAGCAAGACTAATCATAGTTTAATAAGGGACACAGGAATGAATTTCGAGCAAGCCCCTGGAGTTTCGAGCAAACCCCTGGAATTTCGAGCAACCCGCTGGAATTTCGAGCAACCAGCGCTCCAATTTCGAGCGTTTCGAGCGTTTCGAGCGCGTGCCCACATAGGGCCGGGTTGGCCAGGTTGGAGGCAATTTGGAGGCCCCGGGGCAGTTTGGAGGGTTTTGGGTGGTTTTGGGCGCTTTCGCGGTTTCGCGGGGTTTTGGGGATCCGCGGAACTGCGGAACCTGTGGGGTCTCGGAAAACTACAAAGGACTTATACGCACGAGGCCACGAAGTGCCAGGTGTGTTTCGCATGACGCGGCAGGTCTGCTTCTTGGTATTTGCTAGATTGCTAAAACACTTCCTAGGACTTCCACAACAATGAACTGGAATCTCGGCTGGAATCACGCAGAAAGTGTTTCTACGCATTCCGCATCATCTCACATGTTGCACGCTGCAGGTGAAACACTGAACTTCTGGACCTCCACAGTCAAAACATGTAACCTGAAGGCGACAAGACGGTCATCTGAATCCTTGATCATTCATCTGCTGGGATATGTCCTCACTGGAGCAGCATCAAGCTCCTCCATGCTTGGTAGCGACCCGTTTTTCTGGGCCTCCAGCACAGCTTTCCAGATTTTCTTTTGGTGATGATCTTTCGTGGAGGAATTTCTTCCCCACAGCGCCCACGTTTTCAAGAGTCGCAGCGCCATATCGGATCCAGCGATGTTCGATGATCGCGTTTTCGTGCACGCGAGAGTCGCAGAACCATGCTTCGGATGCTTGCATGTCATCTGGTACCCTGTGTGGGTCGGGGTGATGCGGCAGATGCCCCAAGAAATGGAGTTGTCGGTACGACGCTTGTGCCCTCTGCTTCGATGCCCCGGTCCCGTTCTGGCACCGGCATCAGCACCGGCACCATCACCATCTGAGGATGAACTGGAGCTCGAGGAAGATGAAGAACCTGAGTCTGAGTCTGAGCCAGAGAATGAGGATGACGATGATGAGTCTGATGAGCTTGATGAAGGATCGGAGCCAACAGCAGCCGGAGCCGCAGCCGCAACTGATGGATCGTCAAGAGGCAGAGCATTGTCATCATGATCATCATCGCTGGCTTCAGCTGCATCATGCATCGCCTCAGCCATGACCCCACCAGCATCATCTGCATCATCTTCCAGGGCAAGGGAAGGAGCGGCAGTCCGTGATCTGCGAGCTCGCCTTTTAGGCGCTGCAAGAGATAAAGCCACGCTGTCATCAACACCAAGCAAATGCTCATCGTCCAAGAACATGAACTGCTGCTTCCGACGCTGCACTGTCTTCACTGGCTTACCCAAAATGGCAGAGTACACAGAAGTCTTCTGCATGTGCGGTACGGCCTGCTTGTGTTCTCCCGCAGTCAGCAAGCACAACAGATACTCCCTGCAGACTGTAAGCTCACCACTCCTGGAGTACCATGTCTTCTCAGAAGTGCCCTCAACATAGCTGGAACCAGAAGGTAGGCTCTCCCGAGACGCAAGCAATCGATGTGACCAATTCTGTTTCCTCAAAGTCAGAAGAAGCTCCATGACTTCCATATCTGAAAAAGGAACGTCGCGAACTCGCACCAATCGCTCTTGACTGAGCAAGACCGTGCTCACAGACACACAAGCATGTCCTGCTGAAGTCAGGGACCAACCTCCATGTTCGTTTTTAAGAACGAAGCCTTGACTGAGCAGCAGGCCCAGCAACTTGGACTTGTCCCGGTACATGGAATCTTGCCCCGGCAAAGAAAAAGGTCCACCTGCCAGGAGATCCTGCAACAAGGACTCGCAAGCCGTGGATGCATACAGCTTTGCATCATCTGCATTCATGTCCGGTGCGACAAACTTGTTGTGCAACATGGGCCCTTGCTTCCATAACCGCAAACCCAGAAGTGACTCCAGAGGCAAAGCATCTAGAGACAAGACCACAGGGGTTAGATTCTGCTCCAGGCTTGTAAGGCAAATCGGCGAAGAACCCACATCCACCTCGTACGATGCATCTGTTATCTTGCGCACGCCCTGAACCTCCAGGAAATTCACTGCCGAATCATGTTGATTCAGACCGGTTGCTTCCGGAAGCACCACTCTTCCTAAAGCCTTTCTAACCAGCTGCAAGAACACGTGCCCCCGCATTGCCATCCGATTCAAGTCCAGTGACCGCTCACGACTCTCGTCCTTTTCAGAATTCACCAAAGACACAAAGCCAAGACTGCGCAGTGCTTCCTCAGCAAAAGGGACAGAGTAAACACTGTCAACGGCACCAGTGTTCTCCTCGAGCATGACCGACATTGCCTGCAGAATGTAATGCCTGAGCACACTGTCGGGCTCGCAAGCTGTTGGCCTTTCGAGTTGCAAAGTCTCAGCTGCAGCCGCAACCTGATCTGTAGAATCTGCAGCTGGTGGCATCAGAGCGGGCCCAGCCTTCTTTCCGATTATCCTACGCAGTGGCAACTTTTCCGGTCGCTGACTGGCCTGCGGATCCTGCGATTGCCCTTCATCTGGGGGCGGGAGCAGAGCTTTTGCATGCGGAGGTTGCGTTGGAGGATCAGGAGACACTATCTTCAATGCTGGCTGAAACATAGTCGCAGGGTCACAATGGTAAATGATTTTAAGGTGCATCGGGTCCCTGTAGTGCTTTATGTACGCAGCTGAAGGGTGATGGGCTAATCCCAATGCTTGCAAAACCCTGGGCCCAGAGTGAACTTGGTCATGGTACCCGGCCAAAGTGTCAAGCATGTTCGGATCGGCTGCAATCGCATCTCGAATGGATCTCATCCTGCGGGCCAGGCTCACGTACGCAGCGGTGTGGTTGCGAGCCAAGGCGATCTTCTTGTGGACCTGCGGCCGAGGCGGGTATGTGTGCACTCAGGTACCTTAAGGTGGGTACCAGAGGATACTTGCGGAGTCAGAACTAGTGAGCTACTCGGGGCAACCAAGCTTGCAAACAAAAACTTTGGAGCTACATGCATACTTTAATTAAATGGGACGGCTTGCAACTTGCAATGATCGAAGATCGCAGCTGTGGTCTTGACATCTGAATTTGAGCTTGAATCCCGAGACGGCCCGAGACCTCACCCTCAAAGTCTCAAAGCTATTAACCTCAACAGTCCAGCATGCAGCTGTGCGCCTGGGCGTGATCGCCCTCCACGGCTCTCTCGGCCACTGGGCAAAAATACAGACGGCCTAGGAACTTGGCTAGCAGCGGCAAGGCATCCAGGTCTGCTTCGTCATCCAAGAATTGCAATACTTGTTCACGCATGCTTCGCTCTTGTAGCTCTGCAACAAGTGGTGTGTCTGCAGGAATCTGCAGACAGGTCCGGAGAAACCTTTTCCGGACATTTGCAGAAGGATGGGCACAGCCGAAAACACACCAGGGAGGCTTCCTCCAGTGGTCCAGCCGCAGATTCACAATGAAAACCAAGTGCGACCTGGCACGTTCAAACTCTTGCAGCAACAGTGCCCGTGACTCTGGACTCAGTTCTCGTGGCAGGGTCGTCAGCAGCTCAGAGGCCCTCTTATTGCTAAGATCTAGCAAGAGTCGCTGAAAAGCACCTTCAGCGATTTCTGGTGCCCGGCATCCACGAAGAGGGCAAGCCCTCCACACAGCTTGAACATCCTTTGGAAATTCGAGGTCTGTGATATCCCACAATTCCCAATGGCACGGGCAGCCTATCCATGTCAGGCAACCCTGAATCACTCTGGCCAAGCTTTCAAGCATGTGCAAGTTTCCCCAGAAATCGGGGTCCGAGATTGCATCATTGACGATCGAAAGGTCCACGCTGCTGCCATGTTGAGCTGCAGCATCGCCAGGCCGCGAGCTGCCGTATTTCTCTGAATCCCACGCATACCGGAGAGCGGCTTCTACTTTTAGCAACTCTGAAACACAAACTGCTATGGAACCCCATCGGGAGGGGTTCAACTTCACTTTCAAGGCTTTGATCTCCTTCTGCAAATGCTGTGTTATAGGGCCACTGAAGCAAGACTTCAGCAAACGATCTTTGGGATCCTTTCGGGCCAAGAATTTGGAAAGATGAGCCATTTTCTTCACTACCGAATCGAAGGTCGTCATGGATCGACCTAAGTCCATGGTGCTGTTGTGCATAATGTGAAGTAAACCGGCGATCCCGCATGATCGTGTGAAGTCTACCTCGGCATCCAGCTCCAACTGATGTTCACGCAGAGGCGCGAGTGAAAGCTCTTCGGTTTCTTCAGGAATGCTGCTTGGAACCCACGGAAAAAGCGTCTTCACAGGAATTGGTGGTACTTTCCGAATGTTGTACTCTACGCCTTGATCTGTTGTAAACGAAAATATGCTTTTGCAGTACTCTTGCAACGCAAGCGGGTTGCCGGTCTCAAGCCAAAAAGCATGAACTGTCGTATGAAACTTGTGGAACAAACTGCTGTGTCCGCTGCAAAGAACCACTGCTGGGAGTAGGTGCACCTCCAAGCCTGCACAGATTTGTGCATGCAGCAGCTGCTCTTTCTCTTTGGTCTCGGCAATGTGCTTGGCCAAGTCTTCTTCATCCGGAAAAACACACGCGGCCACTTCCGAAACAACACTTTCCCACATGTTGTAAGCTTCTTGGGCTAAGAGATACATGTTGCCACTATCAGAAGTTCTCATGCTTGTGACCCGAATCAACTCGAAATCGTAATGCCCTTGCACCGAGGAATCCACCATCACGTATCGCAGCACCCCACCATTTGCACAGTCTTGCTGATTTTTTCGCCGGCAGTGAAGCATGTAGGCAGAGTCGACGGTCATGCGAGCCCTCGAAATCCTGGCCGCACTCGGCAAGCGGACCCTGTCACTGTCCTCTCCTTCAAGGGCTTCAAGCACAATCTCTGCCAAGGATTTTGGCAGCACAAGTTTCACTGCTTGCACGAGTACTTGCTTCAAGTCCCCAGCATCACGCAGGTGGCTACACAACAAAAGGCATTGAATCAGGAATGTTGACCGATATGCCATTCTGGAGCTACAGACTCTCCCTCTGGACTGAAACACCCGGTGCATCATGCTCCCTGATCCCATATCATCCTGAAAATGCTGCAACTCTGCGACGGCACGCGAGCACTGCTGCAAAAGGTCTGAGTCGTCATCTGAAAGAAAACGCGCAGACATCACACGTATAAGTTCTGCAGCATGCCCAGCGGAATCAGCTGAAAACGATGTTCCCGGCAGGTTGCTCTCCTGGTCCAGATCCTCCAAGCTTGGAAGGACGAACTCCCGAACAAGTCCCTGAATGAAGTGCCAACCCATGATCTTTTTTTTCAAGCGCACACCCACAGAAGAAAGGGCGCCCTTGGGAGGGTCTGGCAAAGCGAATGACTGCCACAGGCCTGCTGCCACGTGGTAGGCCACTGCTGATGGCAAACGCACGAACAAATATGCATTGCAGTCGTCAACTAGCCACTCTTCTTCCTTGCCCTCCGAAGCTAATTTCCGGAACAGATCTCCAGGAGCATGAGGGTCCAGCTTGCAGAAAAAATTTTGCAAACGCCGTCGGTCTGTTACTGGCAAACAAATGGGCTGCTCGAAAGGAACCAAATCGCACACTCGGAAGAAATACAAATCATTCCGTAGAAAATCAATGCTGAATATGCTTTGCCACAGGTTGCGTTGCCACTTCTGATCTGGCTGAAGCAGAGACAACGGCTGATTGACGAAATCGGCTTCAATTCGTGCTGCAGCAAGAATCTGATCATGCGAAAGATTGCAGCCCAGCGGGTGCTCTTGCAAAGCCGCTCGCTCTGGTTCTGACAAGCAGGCTACAGAGCATGAATTCTAGTTGGTTGTATATCTGCCAGTCAACGCATGACCCCACCGCTGTTCGACACCGTGCGTGCCGATCCAGCAAAAAACCTGGACCATGGCAAGGGGTACCATCACACTATGGGCTTTTGGCCGTGGAATGGTCCTGGACTATGGGCTCTGGACTCGTGTGGACTATGATGAAATCGACTCCACCAATGCCGAGGCGAAATAAAAGGTTGCAGCTGACTCTGACGTCTGTGATCCTGCGAATCTGCGAACAGATGATCTGGTCAAATGCTTGTTCCTGAAACATGTGAAAGACGTACCACATTAAAGTCTGCAAAATTATGGCACTAAAAGGAGCCTATTCTGATTATCTTCAAGCTTCACAGTGCGCACGCACAGAAAAAACATCGACGGAGTGACCAGATCAAACGGTCACAATCAAAAAAACATCTTCGATTTATTAAACCCACTGAAAAACGAAATCTCCTTTCCAAACCGCTTGCATACACGGAACACCATAGTTTCAGTTTAGGGCTTTAGCTCGTGCAAAGTTCAAAAGACTGCACAGCCACGGTTTTGGAAAGCCGATTAGCTGATTGGGACTGGGACATAGAACCGCAACGCTCAACACCACAAGACACAACACTGACACATTTCTTCCATAAAGAACAAATCTTTGGATTTGATTAGGTTTTCCGTCTCCGGCATGACACGAAACACAGGTTGAGCTTTGAAAGTTTGAATTCTGGATTGGCCCAACAACGTCGAAAGTGAAAGCATTACGCTGTGAAACTTCTCAAAACAAAGGTACTGGCACTGTGCACACCATACTGACCGTACAATGAAGCTCATGAAACTGTGAAGGAAGTGCACGATGGAAGCAAGCAAAGCACACCGGCGAATCAGCAAAGATGATGTGATTTGACTCGAAACGTGAACTCACCCCGACTCGCCTCCAATTCACGGTAGCACATAGAACTTTGGAATGGAATCTTTCTTGAAGCAAGTGAAGCACACTGCCCCAACAGCCGAGGAGCTGGAAATGCTTTGATTTGACTCGAACCAATGATCTTCTCCCATGCAATATCATACTGCCAATTGTGAGCACCCTCTCAATCACAACAACACAAAGAACCTTTAGAATCTTTCTTGAAGCAAGCGAGGCACACCGCTCCAACGGCCATGGGAATTCAGATCCTTTCAAGTGTGAATGTGCAAATATGATTCGATTACTCGAACGTGAACTAGCAGTCAGATTGAACTTCAGGGGAGGCCCTTCGAGGCTTCCTACGATTCTGTAGGAAAAAAGAGCTCCTGCAAGTGGAGCTTCCCAGCGCAAAAACAGCCCACGTACAGCAAGCAATCGAAACAGTTGAAGCTACAAGCTGAGATTAACATCTGCCAGTAGATGCCGCAAAATCCTCGCATCAGCGTGCCAGCATTTAGCCGCAGCAAACTTATCAAGAGCATTACCACAGGAGGGCGGCGAGCCTCATGTGCATCAGAGGTGAGCCTGTTTAACGTCTTTGGTCTCGACCCAAACTGCAGATAGCAGACGTGCTTTTTGCAGCCTTACTTCAAAGCAGCAAATCCAAATGCAGCGCAAGATGTGCGATGGAACTGGGCCACACCTGCAGCCACTGTCCTGAACATCTTCTTCAGTTCCACTCTTCTCTGAAACATAATGCGCGAGCTGGAGAAACCATGGGAACCCACATGTACCCCACAGGGAACCGAGCTGACACACTGCAAGAGCCAAGGGAGCCCGCCCAGACCTTTGCGCAATATATGCTAGGAAAACCATGGGAACCCACTTGCAATGCTGCAAAAAGCAAGGAAATCACAGGGAACCCACCGTCGATGCTGTTAAACCATGGGAACCCATTAAAAATGCTGCAAAAAACTAGGAAACCCACAGGGAACCCAGCTGACATGCTGCAAAAGCCAAAAGAGCCTATTGGAAAACCATGGGAACCCACTTCAAATGCTGCAAAAACCCGGGAACCAAACAGAGAACCCATATCGACGGTGAAAAACCACGGGAGCCCACTTAAGAATGCTGCAAAAACTAGGGAACCCACAAGGAACCCACCGTCCATGCTGCAAAAACCATGGGAATCTACAAGACAGCTACAGTAAGTGAAGAACATACACAGACCACCCGAAATGCTGCAAAAAACAAGGGAACCCATATGTTGCCCACCTGAAGTGTTGCAAAAAACAAGGGAACCCACAGAGAATCCACCGTCGATATTGTTAAGAACCATGGGGACCCAATTAAAAATGCTGCAAAAACTAGGGAACCCACAGGGAACCCACCGTCCATGCTGCAAAAACCATGGGACTCTACAAGAAAGCTATCTGAAGAACATACACAGACCCACCCGAAATGCTGCAAAAAACAAAGGAACCCATATGTAGCCCACCTGAAATGCTGCAAAAAACAAGGGAACCCACAGGGAACCCACCCCATCTGCTGCAAAAACCAAGGGAACCCACTTACACACCCTTTGGGTAGTATAACACTATTAGAACGGTGGAAGGTCCCAGACATGCCGGAGTCAATCAAACTCAGTTGGCAGCTGAGTATTATACCACCGGTCCTAAGGGTGAAATCATTTGCCCGCCACCTCTGGGCTCGTTCAGGTTCCCTCGTCTGTATCCTCACACCCTGCAGCATACAATCTCGAATCAAACTGCGGCGGATCAGTAGAGTCTGCCTGTCCTAGCTTTCTGCAAGCGGACAATTTCGGATCCAGATTTTCATGCTGCGCGTTGCTCTACGTAAAAGACTACGGCGCTCAGCTTCGACCTTGCAACAGGCTCAACATTTCAGAAGCGAATGAGCATGATATGACGGGCTCACATTCGTGCATTCGGAAAAACCTGCTAGATGTCAACAAAGAGTTTTGGCTGCCCACATGGACTACAGCAAGGCTCACTTACTCATCCTAAACCCTACACCGCAACGCAACCACGTTTTGTGGCCTTCAGAAAAAGAAGGCTGGGATTACGTCAAAGCAAGGCTTCGTCACTGACTAGCCGGAAAGTTTACCAGCTGCTCAGGCAACAGTTTGGGCAATGCTCATACATTCACTGGCTCAGATGGCAGACCTCATTGCCAGATGGCAAACCCCACTCCGCAGAATCATCGCTTTTAGTGCCGGGCTCAAAGCCCGTAAAACATTCGTGCCCTGCCTCAGACAAGGCTTGCACACTGCTGAACCGCTCACGCTCAACCGAAGACGAAGAAGTTACTAGCTGCCACGCAACAGTTCGGGTCACAGCCAAGCTCTCTCACCCACTGCTTCGGCAGGGCTCGCACCGCTGACCACTCTCAGCGCCGGGCTCAAAGCCGTAAACATTCATTCCCTTGGAAAAGAAAGAGCGAAGCTTGGTCACTGCTCACCCGACACCGAAGAAGAATTTACGCGCTGCAGGCAGCCGTTCGTCGCAGCTAAGCTCACTCATTCACACTCACTGACTCACGTACTAAAAGCTGGCAGAGCTTAGTCACTGCTCAACAGATACTCGCTGCTGGGGCAACAGTTCAACACCAGAGAGGCGACAGCGAAGCTCACTGACCGCTGATCACTCTCAGTGCCGGGCTCAATGCGCGTTAAAACATTCGCGCCATCGTGTGAGAAACGACAAGGGTTAATTACTGCGATTCAGAAAGCTGCCGTGCTACTGTTTTGGCCTGGGCAAGTTCAAACATCTACATTCGACGGGGCAGCAGACAGAACCATGCCTTGCGAAGTCGTTTTTGCTCTGCTTTCAGGATCTTAGCGACTCTGCGTGCTTCTACCTGCTTTGGACGAAAGACAATCAAGACATCTTGTAGACACGCAGACAATACCACACCTTTGCATCCTGACGCTCCTGTCGCAGGCGGGCCAGACGGGCGGACAAAGTCTCCTAGCAACAGGCAGACGAGGAAGGACCATTTATTTACGAAGGACGTTCTACACTCCTGCGGCAACTCCACTCTTTGAGGGGGAGGAACAGGAGGTGCTTCCACGTCGGACATCGTTGCAACACATGGGCCAAAAGAACGCTCGAATTACGGAGCCAATTCCGGAAGCTGTTCTCTAGGATGCTTGGAAGGGCCTCCTCTGTGTGAGAAAGTTCTGTTTGCAAGGTTCACATGTTTGCGAGCGTTCCACTTGTTATTTTGAGTTTTGAAGGAACACCGGCAAAATGCAAAACAGAGCTGGCGAGGTTTATATACTGTTGCACGCAACGGCCAGCTGTGCACGCAGATGTGGCATCTGCTCGACGAAAAAACGGCATAACTGGGCCCCAGAAATGGCTCCCAAATCTGAGCTCTAATCTGGGGCCCCGAATTGCGTGAGCTTGTATGTCCAACGAAGAAAGCCAAAATCGGGAGCCCCGTTTCGGTGCCCGGACTAGAGCTGCTTTTTGGAACCCGTTTCAGCTGGAAAACTGCACGGAAAAACAAAATTCCTTCCGCATGCTGTTTGGATCAACGTCCAAGAAAGCCAACATGCTGTGAAATGTGAGATACTTTTGGAAAATTTGCCAAACTTGCCATCGGCTGCCGTTTCAAGACAAGTGCTTCTGTTCTTGTTCGTACAAGATCTTTCCCGCACAGGGGAGGCCCTTCGAGGCTTCCTACGATTCTGTAGGAAAAAAGAGCTCCTGCAAGTGGAGCTTCCCAGCGCAAAAACAGCCCACGTACAGCAAGCAATCGAAACAGTTGAAGCTACAAGCTGAGATTAACATCTGCCAGTAGATGCCGCAAAATCCTCGCATCAGCGTGCCAGCATTTAGCCGCAGCAAACTTATCAAGAGCATTACCACAGGAGGGCGGCGAGCCTCATGTGCATCAGAGGTGAGCCTGTTTAACGTCTTTGGTCTCGACCCAAACTGCAGATAGCAGACGTGCTTTTTGCAGCCTTACTTCAAAGCAGCAAATCCAAATGCAGCGCAAGATGTGCGATGGAACTGGGCCACACCTGCAGCCACTGTCCTGAACATCTTCTTCAGTTCCACTCTTCTCTGAAACATAATGCGCGAGCTGGAGAAACCATGGGAACCCACATGTACCCCACAGGGAACCGAGCTGACACACTGCAAGAGCCAAGGGA